ACTGGTATCCCCCATATGGACATGTTCAAGGCCCTCCACGTCCCTACCAGGCGCCCTACGGACCGATGATTGTATCCTCTTACCCTCACTCGCAGCCTGTCATGGCGCCCACGCATATTCCTCATTCGATGCCCATGCATCAAAGAACTCCGACTCCACTGCAACCGATAATGTCTCCATCTGTCCTGCATCCATCGATTCAACCCGTTCAGCCCGAAATCCAGGAATACCCTGCTGTTCTACCGCACTCAGCCCAGGGATATCCCATCGCTTCACCGCCACCGCGATGGGAGCCACAGTCAAACTTGCCGCCGAAGCCCACTTTTGCCCCACCAGTAAGTGTTTACTCTCAATATCAAATTAGACTTGAACACTTTTTTAACTCTTAGTCTAGATTCCTTGGCTCTCTGTTCCTGAGCAGCCGTTCCCGGCCAGAATCCCGCGCAGACGTCGCAAGGGCCGTGTCATGCAATCATCAGTTGAGCTTCCCACTAAAGACACGCATATGGTCACCGAGCGAGGTGAAAATGAAGCGACTCAGCCACCTTCTTCATCCGCCCGAGAATCTTCGGAACCTCACACCCCAACGACCAGCACCTTCCAACAGTCGGACGCAGACTCTACTCAGCCCACCACTCCTTCGTCAATTGCGAGATCACAGGCACAGTCGAAAGGCTCAAAGCCGGCTCCTGTTATTCCAGTGGTGCCCAACGTACCATCTACCCCACGTCGCCAAGCCAAAGATGGCAGCGTTGCATCTGGAACTCCTAAATCGACTGAACCTGCTACTCCTGCCCCAGTGGTAGAATCGGATAAAGCCCCTTCCACTGAAACCAAGACAATCTCGCCTGTCCCAGCTGCACCCAAGTCCTGGGCTGATTTGGTCCGTTCGAAGGAGTCAGCAAGAGCAGCAAGCGCCGCCGCCGCGGCCGCTTTGTCTGAGCCACACGGGTTACCTGCTCAGAAAAACAAGTCTCTCGCAGATGTCCTGAGCAAATTGGGAGAAGATGTCACACAATACAGCGACAAGATCGCGTTTCTTGAACCTCGAGGACTGGTCAATACAGGAAACATGTGCTACATGAACTCTGTGTTGCAAATTCTTGTTTCTTGTACCCCGTTCTACCAGTTCCTTGATCATCTTGGCCGACGTGCTGCGCACACCTTCCACAGTGACCTTCCTTTGATCGACGCGATGATCATGTTTATGAAAGAATTCCGTGTTATTGATGCGGCCACTTCCGAAGAGCAACTTCGGCTCAGGTTGAAACCCAATGAGCTTGAGCAATATGGTGACTCTTTCGTCCCTGAGTTTGTCTATGAGATGGTTCGACAGCTGCCACGATTCAGGGACATGCGGCGCGGACATCAGCAGGATGCTCAAGAGTTCTTAGGCTTCCTTCTCGAGGAAATGCACGAGGAGTGCGCTCGTGCCGAAACGCACACTGCAACGAAAGAAGGCGGCGATTCTTCTGCCGATGGCTGGTTGGAAGTTGGCCACAAGCAAAAAGCAGCGGTCACCCAACTGTCTGGCTCTCTTGCTGCCGAGTCGCCGGTCACCAGAATCTTTGGGGGGAAGCTTCGGTCAGAATTCAAGGTGCCTGGTAACAAGACTTCTGTTACATTGGAACCCTATCAACCTTTGCAACTCGACATTGGTTCGCATGACGTTCACAACATTCTTGATGCGCTTAAAGGAATGACAAAACCGGAAAGCATCCAAGGTGATTTCAACTCGCCGCGCGGACCCAACATTACCGCGACTAAACAAATCTTCATTGAGACCCTGCCTCCTGTCCTCATTCTTCATCTCAAGCGCTTCCAGTACGACAGTGCTACAGGTGCCACTCAGAAGATTTGGAAGAAGGTTGGATATCCCCTGGACCTGGAGCTTCCGCGGGAGGTTTTCCCAGCTCATCGGCGTAACGCCATGGCATCCCAGGGAGGGCCCCCGAAGTATCGTCTTATGGGTGTCATCTATCACCACGGAAAGAACGCTAGCGGTGGTCACTACACTGTCGATGTTCGGCGGCAGGAAGGGTTGGAATGGATCCGCATGGATGATACCGTTATCCGTCGCGTTCGCAGCGAGGAGGTGGCAGAAGCTGGTGGCGAGGAAGACCCTAAGGTCCTCGCTGCCGCTCTTGAGCAGCACAAGCACGGCAAGATCCCGAACGGCAATATTTTCGACCACATCGATCAGGATGATATGGAGTTGGCTGACAGCGACAAGGGCTGGAGCCAGGTCAATGGCAATGGTGCCAACGGACATGCAAGCAAGAAATCCGTGAATGGAGTCACTCCACCTCCCGCGGCTGCCTCTGGGGTCCGAACTCCTCTGGGTCGCTATGGCTCTCGTGACAACAAAGTTGCCTATCTATTGTTCTACCAACGAATGGATTGAGGGTTCTCGCCCAAAAGCTAGGCCATTAGGCTGGGCGTCCATTCTTCAACGACGTATTGAAAAAAGCATCATACCCACTACATCCTGAGACACATCAAGTTCTGTGTCTTCCACAAAGTCATGCATTTTGATCCTCGCTTCGGAGGACGATCTGCCGCCTGTATCAACAGGCCATACATAACATCAATCAATCTTGGCGAGCTCGTTCCATTTTTTTTGTTTGCAGCTCTCGCCTTTGCACATGAAACACCGTTCACAACGGAGTCATCTGGAGAGAGGAAAACAGGAAAACAATCTAGGGCACGGCGGTCCCTTGATGCCTACTACCTCTCACCTAAAGGCTCCTTCATCATATCTCACTTTTGCTCCACAAGAGCATTTACTCAAGACTCCGTTTTGACCCCCTTTTTCTCTTGCTCATTTCTTTCAGTGTGATGAACCCGAATCATTTGCTACACAACCCATTGTCTTTTGAGCCAATTGAGTTTTTTTTTTCCCGTCTACCTCTGGGCTGTATCTTATGGGATATTGACCTCGGTTTATACCCCTCTCCGTTTTCGCATGGATACATTCTTCAAGGCCATCTTGGCCCTATCGCACAATACCAGGCCAGAATGAGTCTCCATGAACTGTTCCTACCAAATTCTTATGTACTTTGCCATGCCATTCGACATCTGGCGTGGATACAGGAGATCCTGTGACGAAGTCACGAATTTCCTTGTCTTGATATTGATTGCTCTGTCTGCATAGAAGGGTGTTGAAGAGGGCTGGGGTTGTTCCGGGGTGGGGGGCGTTGCTGTTGGGGAAGAGGGAGGTTAATGCCAAATGTGTGGAGGTTTGGAGAAGTGTGGTGAATGCGAGAACGCAGAATACCAGGCGTGGTATGTCAAAAAGCCTGTTTTTATCCAAAAAAAAAAAATTTCAAAGGAAGTTTCAAGTTATCTCCAGTGTGTAGTATAGTAAGTAGGTCTCGTAACTGATATCATGTATACTCATGGATACTATATACATCCTATATACATCCTATATACATCCTATATACATCCTATATATGACTATATATGACTATATATGTGCCCCAATAGTTCTGTATTAAGGGCTCTCTAAGTACATTTATTTACCTTTATTACAAAATCAATACGCATTTTCACCTAGAGAGCCCTGTAACTGTATGTAACTTCTATACACCTAACCTCGGGAGACCCCTGAAAGGCTTCATGTTTTGAACTACATACATCGATGTACATCTATGTGCCTAACATACATATATATGCCATGAATTGGGACAGCCTATTCTTTAACACAGCAACGTTGATTGCTGGGGTCTTTGTCCTTGACTATGGTGCAGACAAATTCATTGGTCACACTGTGATCGTAGGACAGCGACTGGGCATCTCTCCAACTCTTATTGCCCTTTTGACTGCTGGAGCTGAATATGAAGAGGTAAATTGTCTCGAGCTCCATCATCCAACTAATCTATGCTGACAAGCTCCCCTTAGCTCGCTGTTGTTGTCGCTGCAATCCTACAAGGTCGCACCCCTTTAGCCCTGGGCAATGTTATGGGATCTACAATCTCCAACATCCTGGGTGCCTTCTCGCTGGGGCTTTTGTGTTATCCAGACGGGAGACCTTTTGATAGTAGTGCGAAGATATACTCTGCACTCCAATTCTTCATCACCACCATTTTCATCATCTTGGCATATTTTCAACAGCTGAATAGAGTTACCGGTGGGCTTCTCATCGCTCTCTTCGTACTTTATATCATCTCTATTGGCTTTGCCATCTATAGAGGTATCAGTGAACCACCTCAGCTGTCGGACAGTGAAAGTGACGACGAATCGATCAATGTTTGTGATGAACCAATGCCAGGGCAGAGTGCCGGACAGCCAGCCTCGGAGACTTCTCCTCTATTAGGAGATACGAACGTGCCCGAGGAATTAAGTGGTGCATCCGTCCATAAGGACAAAAGACCTCGGCCGCTTTATCATCATGTCCTCCAGCTTATTTTTGGGCTGCTAGCACTCTCTTTGTCGGGATATATCCTTGCCCACAGCGCAGGCACCATCGCCGACTCTCTCAATCTGTCAGGCACCGTGTTTGGGTTAACTGTGATCGCTTTCGTCACAACCTTACCAGAGAAGTTGGTTGCTATGCTCAGCGGCTTTCGTGGACAGGGAGGCATAGTTGTTGCGACCACGGCAGGGAGTAATATCTTCCTGCTAACACTATGTGTCGGTGTTGTGGCGGTGGCGGGAAACTCTCTCGATCAGTCAGATACATTTGTTCTGTTTGATCTGATCACAGTTTGGGTGTCCTCGCTGTCCCTTCTAGCGGTTGTCTTTCTGGGACCGCAGCGAATCGCTGGCCTTGTACTTCTCGCTGCCTATGTGACTTTTCTAGTCATGGAGTTCACCATTTACAAGCGTTGAACCAGGGCATTCGGCTTTGATGCAAGTATCGCGAGCCCAATCTAACACGAAAACCCCAAGTGCACATACACGCTTGTATCTTATCATCCCGGACGTAGTCTTATTTATGTACATAGAATATAGGTCATACCTGATATAACATACAGCGAACAGATGAATATATGCAATCAAGCATGGAAGACAGGCACTTCAGCCTCACTCTCCACATCCCCATTTCCATCCTCCACAAACTCAAATCCAAGAGCCCTCCAGTTCAACTCCTTCCTCCAATGAAGCCCATAGTACCCTCTTTCGTCCTGTCTATCCACCGCAGAAGCATCGGCCTCTCCAGCTTGTTCAAGCTCATCGGCCACAGGGCCAACAACCGGCTCGGAAGACAGGCCACCAGTCCCTAACCTTCCACGTCTGGGGAAGATAACAGACCGGAACCGGGAGAGAAGCATGCCCATAGAGCAGCACAGACAAGGCTCATGGGAAAGGTAGACGTCCAGGTCTGTGCAAAGGTAGCCGCCCTGCGAGCGGGTGCGAATGCGCGAGGCTGCGGGAGTGGTAGTCGGGGTAGAAGAATCCGCAAGTAACACGGTAGATGGGGGAGGAGCGGGGGGAGGTGGGTGGTGGAGCTGGATTTGAGAAGGGTCTGCAGAGGGGTCGATCGTCAAGGCGGACTCAGGATTAGCGTCGTCGTGCTTCCTCTTCAATGGGGAGGACGGAGACTGAGGTGGGTTTGAGATGTTGGTGGATATACCAGGACGGTGGCGGTATAAGAAGTATGATTCCAAGGCGCTCAGCTCTGGCTGTTCTAGTTCTGGCTTCGATGGATATGCAGTAGGCGTTGATGCAGGCGCGCCGTCGAGACGATCGTGTTCTCGGCGCCAGCGAGCAACAAGCTCGACAGCACGCATCAGCGCGTGCAGTTCGGGCCCGCCCTCAATATCCGCGTTGTATGTCTTGCTCGCTGGGTTCGGCGCTACCCCGGGGTGCAACTGGGCCTGGGATGACGCGCCTGCCTCAGAGCGGGAGTACCGCGCATCACCGGCAACTGCGAGGACTGCTTCCTCCCATTCTGTTGTAGTATCGTATCCGGCCTCGTAGGCTGCCTCGGTTATCTCTTCTTCGATGGCAGGGTCGACTATCACTGCGCCGACGCCGCGGCCTAGCCCGGATTGTTCTGCTTCCTCTGCCACTTTTCGCGCGAGGGATAAATAGTACCCTGCCCGTGGTTCAATGGATTCCTGTGCGCGTTTTAAGGTTTGAGGGGGCGGCGCGACAGTTGAGCGGGGTGCGGCTGGGTTGAATACGATCGGCCAGAGGGTCTTGGTCCATGTTTCGGCTTGAGTTGTGTTGAAGGGCGGGGCAAGGGGGATTTTGATGGGGTGAAGCTGAATATTAGAGGTTGAAGTATCGGAATGTGATGCTTCGTCTGGCGTTTCATTCGTAGTTGGGAGATCATTTATAGCGGCCGGCGCTGGGTCTGGAGCAAATGGAGCGAGCAGAGCCTTGAGTGTGGTGATATCGGGCAATGGTGGTGATATGAGGACGAAGATGGTTTGTGTTGGGTCCGCTAGAGGGACGCTCTGGCTTTCAATGGCTGCCCTCAGCCGCGGTGGGAGCATTTCTCTTTTGGCGAAGCGACGGAGATGGGATAGCGGAAGGGAAGGGTCTTTGGGGAAAGCCGTGTCGATAGCCCTGATTAAAGATTGATTAATTTGGCTTTTCTAACCTGTAAAGTATCCGAGTCTGTAGCTTACTTGATCACTTTGGATGCAGCCTTCACTTTGACTTCTGCGACAAAGGCATCACCTACTTGTCGGTTAATCATGATGTCGCCAGAGGAGGGCAATATTGTAGGTCATACCGAATTCTTCTTGGGGCCTTGTTTCTTGAACTGTTCGAATGGGGACGACTTGCCCTTCAAGGGGCTTGAGGCCTCTGATAATCTTTTCCACGGCCATTCCTACTATCTCAAATGGCCGGCCGAGCGCGGGATGAAATAGAATATATCAAGATAGGTCACGACCAATTGTCATAGCCTTGAAGTGGTTGTAAAAGACAATGGCTTAGAATTGCGCACTTGATCCTCAATTGCTAACGGCGCAATAATTCAGCGACAGAGGAAGTACATGTATATTCACATGAGAACTTGAAGAAAAGAAGCTATACAAAGTTCAGAAGCAAACAATGCAAACCTCTAAGTTTGTCCCACGGGTTTGCCGCTAGGCCGCTTTGGGTCTCTTTTGATCTGGAGATTTTCACTTTTCACATTGTTCGAGGGGTTTACTCTGAGCATTATTGATCGAACACATTAAATGGGAAGCAAGACCGTGGAAAGGGCATGGGGATATATATAGCAAACGGTAGTTACTCCATATGTACCTTGCCCCTCAGCCCTACAGTGCATACAATGCAAGAACCGATATGTAGTACCGACATAAAGCGCGGAAGATTTACAATTTCAAGAGATTATTATGAGTGGATATTTGAGATTTGTATGGTTCTAAAAACAAAAACAGTTTAAGATAGTAGGTGATTTGATCGTAGATATCACCTCATCATCCCGTAAGACATCAAACGCCGCCCAGTGAAAAAAAATCGCTGAAAAGCAGGAACAGGGTATCGCCCATTGACCTTTTGGTATATGCTGAGACAGATCCCATGTTCTAAAGCGCCATGCCTGATGCCAGTGCTCCTCGATATTAGATCGAAAGTAATGGTGCATCGAGATCTGACACCATCACCCCCCCTAATGCAAGTGGGATGTATTAAATCACACCGCCAGTGACTCGGCGGGTGACAGAAGAATCCACTCATCCATGGCTGACTCGAGACCGGCCCGAGTGATCCAGGGCAGAACGTAATTTGTGCAGATTTCGCATTGGCGACGTAATTGGGGCATGGTTCCAGCTTTATGTTGGAACAGGACCGGCTGCTGGAGCAATACCCGTTACCCCGGCTTTAGCACTGCCATTCTGGCAGATGCCTTCAATTTCAAACCCGTCGCATCGATCGACGAGGCTCTGATAATAATCCACCAACACTTCCGGTTGTGGAACAATGCGCCATTCAACTCGGAACAAGAAATCTAGTTCGAGCATGGCCAATTCCGTCATGCCGATTCCACCGACTCGAGCATACGTTTTGTTGGTCCAGAAACTGTCGCTGAGTCCCTTACTGGCGACTGTGGCGCTGGTGATCAGGAACCGATGAATGGTCAGACTGGAAACGGTGAAGGCGGGGTACAGCGCGCAGAGTCGATCGATGTAGTAGACCATGCTGAGGAGGATAGGGGGGGAGAGTAGCATGGGTCGTCAATCGCTGTAGGTAATCTTGCACGGAGATTCGGGGCGGTGAGCGCGAGTGGAAGCGAGTTAGACGACCCTGGTGTAGTGGAATCTTGTCGTTGAATCGGATCAGTTCCATGAGCATGCTGGAGATCAGCACGACCATGTCACGCGGGTCGGCCAGTTCATATTGCGTGGGCAGCATCTTGACATCTGGTTTGGAAGGTCGCAGACGCTTGGACTGCGACCTCTCCAAATCTGCGCCATCATATTCGGCCGGCGTCGCATCTGATTGATGGCTATTGCGCTTGTTGGAACCCGAGGTAGGGGCGGGCATCGAGGGGGCGGGGGAGGAGATCGGGGGTGGATTTGTAGAGGTGGCAGTCGCCGGGGTGGTGGCAGTCAGAGCGGAAGAAGTGGCTGATTGGGGGGGTCGAAGCCAAGGCCGAATTATTGACCAGGGTCTTCAAAGTGTCGGATGTGGATGCGCGCCTGCATTGAAGATCCCCTGAAGTCTCAGGAGAGGAGGGATCGACAGTATGTCGATTCAAGGCCGAGCGAAGTTCGTCAATGGCGAGACGCGAAGATCGAGGACTATTGAATTGTGGAGCGCCAGCCGGCTCATAGTGGGAATGAGAATGCGACCCCGAAGTTGAAGGAAGCGGGGAGCGTAATGCAGCCGTTGAAGGCGAGGGCGAAGACGCCAACATGGTTTTGGGGGTGTAACTAAGTTATTAAGGAATGCTGGGAATCTGAGCATTCACAGTGCAAGGTGAGACCACGTGGGCGCACAGTCAGGGCGCGCTGTGGATGGCGTGGGTGCACAGCCGGCCTCATCCTCAGAGGCTGAAAAGGCTCACAAGGAAAGTAAAAGGGACACAAAGGTAATAAGAGGTAAAATATTGAAAGAGGAAAGAGGGGGTCTAGGAATAATACTCCGAATGACCTTGGACAAGAGAACAGGAAGGGGGCGAAAGCCGGTTTGAAAATCTTGTTCAAAGTTCCTCAGTGAGGTAATATAGATCCATGCTGTCAGTGGCTAGTTGCTTCCGGCGACTGTATTGTTACAGTATTTGTAATTTTTTCAAATTCTTGGCTTGATTATTACTATTATTACTATATATTATATCTTGACACCTATGTACATATATAGGTAAGGGTATGTAGTCGACACTAGGTAAAAAAACAAGAGGAAATCTTTAATCAGTTCAAACAACCCTAGATACCACGTAGCGCTCTTGATATTTCACACTATAATATAAATAAGTCTGTACTTTTACGGAGTACAACATTGTATCGACGGGAAGCGGGGGTAAACTACATGTACCCTAGCTGGATTAGGTTAAAATGCCAAGAAAAATTCAAGTATACAATTGGTTATACGCATGTTGGAGTTGGAGTTCTATATGCATCTTTATATGACAGACAGCTAATAACTGGGATTCACATGATCTCCCTATATTTGTTTCTATAGACTCAGGTCAATAGTATACTGAACTTACTGTAGTTGTCGCATATAATATGAGAACTGAAACCGACAATCAAGGCCTTACGGATATTGGGCTACTTAATATAGATCATAGTAGTACGGAGTTACTCCCGTAAGCGAATATTGACCAAAGATGCATCCACTGTTGATACCCTTACGGACTTGAATATGCCCCTCTCTTTTTATGAACAAGCAAAACGTCTTGGAATGTGTGGCGTTAGTCCATATGGCTGTCCTCGTGACACTCGACAACCTTGGAATGGTCAGGTTTTTCATGACAGCTCTTATTATATAAGCAGTTGGGGTATCCATCCATGGATGGATGGATGGACCCGTGAACGGCACGCAGATATTTTCTCTAGCCATGTGACCGGTAAGGCTGAAGGCCGCTCTTTCATTGATCCGGGGCTACTTTTTTTGGGACCGGTGTGTCCTGGCAGAACCAAAGTGCGGAGTACCTCTAGGCCCGGCTCTACAGTTCCGGTCTGCCATCATCTCCATGTTGTACATCCAGGTCTACACGATCTTCACATTGACGGAGATAATTTCCTCAGTATCATTCTAATACCTTTGCCAATTCCTTAATTTAAAACAGTGAAACGCCGAGAACCTCCCGCTGGGAGGAGGTGATAGCCAGATGATGACGCGAGCTGCCGCACCGCCGATTCTGCTGCAGCTACAGAGCGCCGAATCGGCTTCCTCTCAGATTACAGCTTTGCGCACTCTGAAGAATGAGCTGATTGGTCATGACCAACGCAAGGAAACCTACGTCGTCGAGGGAATCATACCTACTTTGGCACAGGTGCTGACCTCGAGATGGCCGGGAACGGCCGAGTTTAATGAATCGATATTGCACCACGGCCGGTCCATGCCAAAAGCCCCAGAAGATTATGAAGCATGCCTTCAAGCAACTTTAATTGTTGGAAGTTTGGCACAAGGTGTGTGAAGACTAGATCCTTGTCGCCAAGACAGACATTGACTGTACTGAGCAGGTGGTCCGACGTTTCTCACCCCACTATTCGCCAGCAACATTCTCCAAACCTTACTTTCAATATTTTCCTCCCCAGACTGCCCGGAGTCATTCTGTCTTCCCATTCTACGACTCTTGAACACAATCGCAGACCGGATACCGTTGCAAAGCCAGGAACAATGGCCTCGGGACACGCAGCTTGCGGATCTTGTTTTTGCTTCTGCAAATATTACCTCTCTTAGACGTATAATCTCCCAGGAGTACAAGAACCTGCACAGCCAGACCACGATCGAGCTAGCAGCCGCCCTGATCGGCAAGCTTTGCACGGAGGAAACACATAAGACGGCACTAGCAGAATCCGGGGTATTGGATGCCTTAGCCCTCAAGATTGCCTCCTTTGTCGTGGCCAAGGGCTTTGTCTTGCCGGGCGCGGAGGATCGCTTTCAAGAACCCGGCGTATTGGAGGATCTGCCACTTCCGGCCCCTGAATCCGCCCAGCTAGCACCGATTCTGCGCGCAGTTGCTGTGATAATTGAACAGTCAAAATGGAGGGCGGAGCACTTCCTGTCATCACCTGGCATTGTGACGGTGTTTCCAAAACAAGTCGCTGGATTCGCCCCATCAGACATTAAGAAAGGTCCGTGGGGATCCACATATCTGTCGGGCTCCGCAGTACCTCGTCATCTTGGCTCCAACCCCATAGAACAGCTTCTGCCGTCGGTCCCTCTAGCACATACAAAATCATCATCTAGTTCTGCGAATTTCCCACCTCTGGGGTACGGAGGCTCGCAGCGCCGACACAGCCATTCTTACCCCACACCATTTTCACTAGCTGAGACACCTGTCCCAGAAGACGACGAGAATGCCATTGTTCCATGGCTGCTGTGCATTCTCCGCTCAGAGAATGGCATGACACGGTTGATGTCCGCCCGTCTTGTCACGGCCCTCTTCCGGTTAGGACTGGCGAAGAAACATCGCATTCCAATGTTCAGTTATCTGTTGATCCCCATCTTGATTCGTATGCTTGACAAGAATGTCCGATTGCCGGATGAAGAAGGCGCTATTCACGATGGGCTGCTCTCGTCGAGCTTACGCTTAAAAGAAGAGGCGCCTGCCGTATTAGCCAACTTGGTCGTGGACGACCAGGAGCTGCAGAGACACGCAGTAGAAGGCAATGCGCTTAAGCGACTTTCACAACTTCTCAAGGAGACTTACAACCCAATCACAGAGACCTCCCGGCCGATGTGGCACGCAGAGGATGGCCCAGCCCGAGACCTTGAGTCTCTTTCACCAGAGTGCCGGCTCGGGCCTTCTGGTTACTCGCCGACCCTTTGCCATGTAATGCGTTACCGAGAGAACATTCTCAAAGCTTTGGCAGCACTCGTTCCATTCAAAGACGAGTACCGCAAGGCGATTTGCGAACATGGCGTAGTCCCTTACATCATTGACGCCCTCAAGCCAAGACCTAGTGATGCACTGGCTGATGCTGCGATGCCCAGAAATACCGCAGAGGATGGAAATCCGATTCCGACAATTCTGGCTGCTTGTGGCACAGCTCGGATGCTGACCAGATCCGTGAGCGTGCTAAGAACTAGTCTTATTGATGCCGGCGTGGCTAAGCCACTGTTTGCCCTTCTTCGCCATTCCGACCTCGAGGTGCAAATTGCAGCAACGGCTGCGATCTGTAACTTGGCATTGGACTTCAGTCCCATGAAAGAGGTTTGTGTTTCTATTTCGTTCATAGACTTTGCAGCTAACATGCTCTTCCCAGGCAATCATTTCCCACAATATCATTCCCATCCTTTGCGAACACGCTCATTCTTCCAACACCAAATTACAAATTGAATCGCTCTGGGCTCTCAAGCACATGGTTTATGACACCGCAAACGACATCAGAATGAACATCATCGAGACTTTGGGTCCCAAATGGATTATGGAGGTCATCTCCCAGGACCCGGTCCGCGCAGTGGCTGGACGGGGGGTAGAAGAGGAGGCGGATCAAAGTCCCGGGTTCGCCATGGGTCGATCCAACTCAGCTGGCGAACAGGTTGATATTCTGAACCCCATGGAGGATGCAGCGGAGTGGGACGAGGACCTCAAGATGACCGATACCATGCCTCCCTCCAAAATGAGCCTGGACATGTTCCTTCCTGATGCAAGACGTAGGCGCAAACTCGTTCTGCACGGAACTCTGGCTCAAACCACACAGTCTCGACAGGACGATATCGCCGTCCAGGAGCAGACATTCGACTTGCTGCGCAACATGATCTGTGGTCGGGATGCACCTGAGATGATTGAATATCTCTTCAGAGAGCTTGGCCAAAATGAGTTCCTCGATACAATCGCAGATACACTGCGACCACGTACCATCCAACTGCCTCACCGCCGAGACTCTAGCAGTCAGTCCCTCCATGTCCCTAATGAGATCATCAACGCAGCCGCCGCTCTCATCATCCACTTGGCGGCCGGACATCCACGCCACCGGCGCATCATCACATTCCACCGTGAGTTGCTACGGTCTCTAGGCAATTATTTCAACCATTCCCACAAAGACATTCGGTCGAACTGTGTCTGGGTAGTAATCAATCTCATCTACGAAGAAGATCAGAGCGATCATGAAGGTTGTCGGGAGCGGGCAGTGAGACTTCGTTCCCTTGGTTTTGCGGAACGGCTGGCTAGCCTCGAGGATGACATTGAGCTGGACACTAGGGAGCGTACGAAGACTGCGCTGCATTTGTTGAACAAACTGTCTCCCGCATAGTTTGATAGCTTTTTTATGCTTAGAGTTACCCGTGGACGTTCTGGATGGATTGGAGTACTGTAGGAAAATGTGGATAATTCCTTTTTTTATATATCTTCTCTTACTGTGACGATCCCATCTGATATCCTAACTGAATATAGGGTCTCCTCAATGAATATGTGCCTGAAAGCTGTAATTTCATGATAAGCACTCCATTCTCGATGTGGGGTAAAACGTCATAGCCCTTTGCAATCCGGTCTATTCACATTTTATGCATCTTAAAATATCTGTTCACAACCAGTCTAGTTCTTCCTAACAAAAATCTAGTAATGTCTCCAGTACCAGAACCCATCCTTCAAGCCCTCTCACTCCCATCCGAATCAAAAGCCAGCCTCTCGACATCCGGCCTAGGCTCAGGCTTCACAAGCACAGGTATCATCCACGCCCAGATCCCCGGCAAAAATGGCGCAGAAGAGCGACGCTACTTCGTAAAAACCTCATCAAATGGCAAAGCCGCAGAAGAAATGTTCCAAGGCGAATCCGAGTCCCTCAACGCAATCGCATCTTCAGTACCAGGATTCTGTCCGCAAGCCCTAGCTCGGGGGCCACTCGACGAGCCAGGGACAAAGGGCAAAACGCACTTCCTTGTGACAGAGTTCCTCCAGCTGGGCGGCAAGATGGGCCGCAGCACGAGCGACGAAACCACGCTCGCGCACCGCCTCGGAAGACTACATACCACTCCCGCACCCCCAGATCCGAACACCGGCCGGCGCAGATTCGGATTCCCCGTACCGACCTTCTGCGGAGATACCAAGCAGCCCAATCGGTTTTGTGATAGCTGGGCTGAATTCTATGCGAATGAAAGGTTGCTTACAATCCTGGCGACATCCGAAGAGCGCAATGGACCGGATGCTGGGCTGCGCGAGACGGTTGAGAAGACGGCACATAAGGTTGTGCCTCGGCTGCTTGGAGATGGTCATTTAGGGTATACTTCCAGTGGTGAGGGGGAGGGTATCATGCCTGTTGTTGTTCATGGGGATTTGTGGAGTGGGAATGCTGATTGGGGTCGGATTGTTGGCTCAGGTCGCGATGAGACGCCTGGGGATGTGGTGTATGACCCGTCGGCTTGCTACGGACATAGTGAGTTTGAACTTGGGATTATGCATATGTTTGGTGGGTTTGGGTCTCGGTTCTTTGATCAATATCATCGGATTGTGCCGAAGACTGAACCTGTGGCGGAGTATGTTGACCGAGTGGAATTGTATGAATTGTGAGTTCCCGATCTCTTTGTTCTCTTGCTGTTGGACAATTACTGATTTAACCCCCAAAAAAAGGTATCATCATCTAAATCATCATGCTATTTTTGGGGAGGGTATCGATCTGGTGCTATGTCGATTATGCAGAAGTTGATCAGGAAGTATGGAAAAGACTAGAGTCTGATAGTTCATGCAAGGGTTTCTACTTTCCTTTTTCTTTCTTCTTTCTTCTTTTTTCCCTGTTATTTTCATTATCAAGCCAGTATTAAAATAACAGACACGAAGCAAGCAGAAAGAAAAGTAGATAGGACGCTTAGAATATGATGTCACACTAATATCCCAGGCTTGTCCAACTGATCTCTTCCTCACTTCACCTTTCACTTCTCCCTTAAAGACGCCAAATTTCATTTCGCAATGCCGGCTCATCCTGATTCCAACCTCTACCCTGAGGCCAGCGGCCCGGCCAAGACGCTGGTCGATCAGCATCGCGCTGAACAGCCATTGAAGTTGTATGCGGGGTGGTTCTGTCCGTATGTTCAGCCCCCTCTAATCTTATACAAAAACGACTGCTAACAAGGTACAAAGCTTCGGTGTGTGTACAGCCACTCATCCATAGGCAATAATATTAACAAAACAAAGTGCAACGAGTGTGGCTCGCCCTCGAAGAGAAAAAGATTCCATATGAGTATATCGAGGTTAACCCATACAACAAGCCAGACTCCCTACTCAAACTGAATCCCAGAGGCCTAGTCCCTACACTCTCAACGCCAGCAGGTCCACACCCACGGCCACTGTATGAATCCACTGTGATTCTAGAGTATCTGGAAGAAGCATACCCAGACCATAAACCCCGCTTCCTGCCAGAGGATACCTACGAGCGTGCCCGCGCACGCATCTGGATTGACTATGTGACATCTCGAATAATCCCATCATTCCACCGTTTCTTGCAGTATCAGCCTGCAGATGGCAGTGCCCAGAACACAGATACGGGGTTGAACCAGGCTCGGCAAGAGTTTTTGAATCACCTGAAGGCCTGGACTAAGGAGATGCACACCGAAGGACCCTTCTTCCTTGGTGAGGATATTGGTCTACCGGATCTGGTGCTGGCTCCGTGGGCGGTACGACTGTGGGCGTTTGATGAGTTTAAAAATGGTGGATTGGGAATTCCGAGCGAGGGAAAAGGGGGTCCGGAAGAGGAGATTTGGAGCCGGTGGAGGACTTGGCTGGCAGCTATCGAGAGCAGAAGGAGTATCAAGGAGACCACTAGTGATCTTGCCCATTACCTTCCCATCTACAAGAGATATGCGGATAATACAGCTCAAAGTGAGTTAGCTAAGGCGACACGGGCTGGCAGGGGGGTTCCTTGAGGGATTTATGAGACAGTGTCCTGTCATTCATGTATATCCAGCATGATTAATATGTCTAATTGCACATCCTCTCCACCTGGGCAGGGAATAGAGAATGACGGTAGACACAAATATATACACTTCGGAATACGGGAGAATGTACTTCCGATTCGTCCACACGTGATTAAGAGCTCTTGGGTTGGCACGTGATCGAGATATCAATCCAGTCACTTGTTGCGCGTCTTCATCTTGCAACTTCTAAAGATATTGCTTGATAGTGCCATATTTCAAGGAAATCCGAATAAAATTGCCATGGCACGCAATACGAGGGACGAGTCTCCCCGTGGGAGCTCAACGCTGGAACCCGGCCTGTCAGCCCCAGCCATCCACCCGTCTTTTATACAGGTGGCCAATCCATACATATTCGAACAGACAATTGAAAACTGCATCGAGGCAATGAACGTCAATCCCCTTCGCGAAACTTCATTGCGTCTTCAGGGCGTGGCGTGGATCGACAGCGTGCGGAGAGCCCTCAACCTGTAAGTCGTTTCCAAGGCAGGCAAAATGCATCAGAACTGACTGGAAGTCCAGTCCCATTCGCACTTTCGACACAGCAGTGGGATATTACCACCGTTTTAGACTGGTGCATCCAGACAATGAGTATAATTTCACAGTGAGTTCTCCCGGAAATCCCTCAAGGAGATCGACCTAACCCGGGATACAGGATGCTGCGGCTGCGGCTCTATTCACAGCATGCAAGATCGAAGATACGCTTAAAAAGTCCCGAGACATTGTCTGTGCAGCGTACAACTTGAAAGCGGCCCCCTCGGAGCATTTATCGGCTGATGATCCCGTAAGTCATGATGCAAAACGAGACCAGACCCGAGAACTGACGCATGTCGCTAGATGTTTGAATCCAATGCGCGTGGCATCATCGGTCTCGAACGACTCATGTTAGAGGCCTCTGGGTTTGACTTTCGAACCCGGCATCCCCATAAGACCCTCATGAAGCTGGGTCGGCATTATGGACTACTACAAAACTCCGAAGTCTCCAATCTTGCCTACCGCATTTCAACGGATCTTTACCGCACATTTGCACCCATCAAACAAAACTCATCGACGATGGCCTTTAGCTGCCTTGAGCTTGCAGGACGACTCTTGGACCAGCGTGTCGAACAAGTAGAATCTGGGCTGAGACTATGCGCAATGGAGCACCAGCCGAGCAGAAATCATGGGTAAGTATTGTTATTGCCTTCGCATACACCTAGTGAATACCACAGTATTAACAATCGCCCAGAAACTCTCTTCGACCTCCTAGAACTCTACACCCACCACCGCTCATTAACCGCCGTCGGCTCGGAATTCCCAGCAGACCGGTTCCTGACAGTCCGCATTCCGCTCAACCAAGAAGCCAGCGAACACAACATCCCGCGCTACCACCCGTGGATTGGCCAGCCACGCAGACCATCCAACGGCACTGGGCCCAATGAGCCAGATACTTCACGGCCTGCTCATCCCTTAACACCAATTGCCGCGAACGGGGACCGCCAGAGGACAGGCGAGCGAGGCCGTGACGCTGCCGTGCGATTCATGCTCGATCCCGCATGTGCGGATGAGGAGAGGCGACAGGTCGCAGCGTACTTCAAGGTTGAAATGGAAGAATATGAAGTCGATGACTAAGAGATGGTTCCTGCTACTTGCGTTCCTGGCACCTGGCGTGCCTCATGCAGCGAAGCGCAGCCGAGAGAAGGAAGGCCTTGGTCTGTTTCCATGGACCGATAATATAGCGGGGTTGGTAATGAGCTGGGATAGGGGCCATATATATACTACATCCCATCTTGGTTTCAAGCGAACAATGCTCTGGTCACGGTGACTTGCTGTCGTCTGTTCATCCTGACTCTTGTTGGGATACGCCGATATCCTTGCTAAGCTCTGATGGGGCCTTCGACCGCACTTTTCTGGACAGATGGGCGAAACATCCGGTTTCTTGCTCTGCAGTTTCGGAACTGAGTTATCTCCAACACGAGGCTGGTATTCCAGAAATTTCGCCTCTTGATCCATATTTTCCACGATTTCCCGATACCCCAGACATCTATGACCAGCAATGAATTCTCGATAGACACAATGAAAAGATCCATTAACTATCGATAATTGGTTTCTCATTGTAGGACGGCACCGTGGTTGATATTGCTGTACCCGGACCTATGCGGAGTGAAATAAAATTAGAAATCAGCTTCAAAATTTGAATTGAAAGCTATGTACAAATCTACGGTCCATTCCCTTCGCGCGTCAAAAACCAGCGAACCTAGAGACAAGACTGCCAGCGCAAAACAGACAAACGTGTCCCCATCATCCCCTCTTCTTCTACCACTTCTGTAGAGACCCGTCCGTTCCACGCATCGGGAGTATAGCAGAGCTCAAGGTCAAGATGAACCGAGCAGCACAAGTCATCAAATTTAGATTCAGTCCATGGCCCGGCATCAGTCAGAAGGAGAAGAGAAGAGAATAAAAAAAAAGAGTACTAAACAAAAGTACAGGGAAACAGTCGTAAATGAAGAAAGAGAAAAAAAAATCGTCCCCGTGCCTCCGGCGTGGAAGATGTTCGCTCTTCGGGCCGGTTCATTAGAGCCCTTGCCACGGGTGGTTTTTGCAGGGGGTTGATGCCGTGTTGAAAGGCGGGTAACGCGAGCGGGGCCCATGTATGTACATATCATGCATGCACACATTGGCGCTTGCATGCATATTCGGAGAACCCGAATAAAGTCCCGAATGAAGCAAGAAGCAAGAGGGGTCGTCGGCACAGCAGAAACAATCGGAGGATAGTTGCAGGGGGGAAAGCGCGGAGTTGAAAGGTCGTCCTCGAATGATAGAAGTCAAAGTGAAATATGAGTGTCATAAATTTGGGTGTGTTCAATCTGAATGCCGGACAATTTTAAGTTCACCGACGCTTGAGCTCAGTGACCAGGCAATCCAGAATCTAGGAAAGGTTAGTAAGATGATCATGGTAATTGGTTGAAGGAAGCATACCGATTCTGAGACGGCACCCTGATTGTACAAGTACTTGCCCAAGCCACGGACGACCTCGAGCTGCTCGTCAACTGTAAGACCGTTGATGGCGGTCTCGATGATATCGCCCACGCTGGCCTTGTAGACAGCAATGAAACTGTGGTAGTACATGAAAGAGAAGAAGCCCATGATGAATTGGCAGTCCATACGGTCAGTGATACCGCCGTGGCCAGGAATCGACTCGCCAAAGTCCTTGATCTTGAAAGTGCGCTTCAGACCAGAAGCAAAGAATCCACCAAACGGAGCGATCAGCGAAGCGAAAGTGGCGAAGGCCAAGATGTGGAACTGAATAGGTTCCACCCAGAAGGTCTTGTCCAGGCCAAAGACTTCAAGAGAGTACGGTTGCAACGTGAAGACCGGGTTCGGAACACATTCCAGACCAGTCAGAACATTCGAGCCCAGATCGTTGACTGGACAGATGAAGTACTTGTAGCGGATCAGCAAGTTGGTCATGAAATAACCAAAGGCAACGGTGCAGGCCCATGCGCCAAGGAATCCCTCAACAGTCTTCTTCGGGGAGAGCTGAATAAGTTGTGTCTTTCCAAAGCTAATACCGCAGACGTAGGCGAAGATATCATTGGTGATGACCAGCGCAGCGGGGAGGAAGAACCAGATCATGCCCTCGAAAATGTTGTTCATGACGAAGTGAGCTTGGACAACAATCAAGTACAAAGCCATATGGGTCCAAGCAAACTGGGTGAATTGGAATCGATAGTGGCCCTTCTGCAGAGATCCGACAAAGAACACGAATCCTATCGACCGGGATTAGCGGAGTAAAAGGGGAAGGGTCGAAACACTTACCCATGACGTAAAGGGTGAAGCTGATGAAGCGGTGGTGGTTCGCCAACGGAAGTAGCACCTTGTCAACAAGCAAGATGTGCTTGAAGTAGTAAATCACGCTCTCTCCGTACAAGAAATACATAGTGGTCGCCAAGAAATACCAATTCAACGATTTGGTGAACCGCAGGTTCTTCTCCTTATTAGGGATACTGGCGATAGCGATGACTTCCTTGAACGAGATGATTTGGATGCCAGTAATTAGGGCAATAATATAAATGTGACCGGAAAACAAGGCAACGAAGAAACCGGCGATCATCACAAATGTCCATATCGTCCGGGTGATGAAGGTCTGCTTCTTCTTCTCATATTCGGATTGGGGAGGTTTCTAGAAGTGAAGATCATGTCAGACCGAAAATCCGAGGCCATACTTTTGCTATACAGAAATCTAACCTCTTCAGTTATTGTAGGTGGTTTGGAGACGTTGCCATTTTTGCCGGGGCTAGTGGGCTCTGAGGGTGCATCGCTGACGTCGGAGGACACACTGAGACGTCGCTCATCATTTGACCGGTGTTGAAATCTAACATTACGACGAGATTTCGACATGATGTAGAAAAGGGGGCCAGAAACAGAATTCTGGGCAATAGAAGTGGAGAGTGTAGAGAGCGAGAGAGGATCATCGGATTAGAAGTTCATGAGCTCATGTGAAGTGCCGAAAGCGGTCAGCTTCAGCTTCAGCCCCGTGTTTACTTTTTTTACTTTTTTTTTTTTTTTGCTTGTAGTTGTTATACCTCGGTGTATTATTCGGGTTTATTAATTGAGTCAATCATTACTTGACCTTCAAGTATTACATTCGTGACTAGAAATTGAAATTGGATGTGCAAGGGTTGTCGTCCAGGTGCCTTGAACTGCCGTGTTTTTTCTCTCTCTCCCCCTCCTCATTCAACCCTCAGAACCACTCCAAGTCGACAATGATCAAAAGCCCTCCGTGAACTTAGAACCCCTCGATTCCCTCTGGTAGTCCATTCATGGCGGGGGCATGGAAGACGACGACGACGACTACGGCTCCGATGAGTTCGACTCCCTGCCACCGGGGACGTTGTATGAGCTGGAACAGAATGCGTTCCAGGCAACTCAGGCATCGGCCTCACAGTATCACTCAAAACCCCTAAATAGCAACCCCGTGCTACGCACTCAAGCAGTGCCATTAAACAACAATGCTGGATCGCTGAGACCGCCGCCTCGCCTCCATACCGGGTTGACGAACGACTACAATACACTGGAGGTGGGGGAGTTGGAAGCCGAGGTGTACGATAATGTCGATAAACCCTATGCCGTTTCGCATGGTCAACATGTACTCGCAACGAATCCTAGCTTTGCGGTCAACGAGCAGTTGGGCGATGCCATGGATGTGGATGAGTACTATGGGCAAGGGAACGCCGCCGCTGAGCTCAATGCACGCCTAGTACAGGTGGGTTAGATGAAATTTTCTTTGTATAAACTCTAACAACCTTCATAGATGAAGCAAGAAAGAGAGCAAATGTTACAGGAGCTAGCTGAAGCGAGGATGCAAGTGGAAACGAAAGCCGGTGAAATCTCGATCATTCGAAGGAAACAGGCGACCATGACCCAAGACTATGACCGGCAAATAGCGTCTCTGCGGAAATCCATGGCCGATGAAATGGCGAAACACAAGCAAGAAGTTGAGGCAGCCATGTCCGAAGGCAAGATATTGGCGACGGAGAATGTATTTCTTCAACAGGATCTCGTGGATGAAGCCTACCAGCTTCGGAACTACAAGTCTAGGCATCGTGAGGTGGAAGCCCCAGTGACGCCCCGAAAGTCCCGGGTTCTTCCCTTCCGCGATGGATTTGATGATGATGAAATCGCCATGGTATCGCCCAGCAAGTCTGCAGCACGTTCCAAGCGAGCCACGCCGACAGTGCCAGGAAAACGTAAACGGCAATCAAGCCAAGATGGCCCTGCGCCACTGCAGCTGAATCCTGCTGGCGTGGAGCTTATTATGGCCGATGCGACTGATGCTCCGGCCGAAGTCGACGAGGCGAAGCGCAAGTCTGCAGAGGCGGGTCGCAATCAGCGATTTATGCTGCGACTTTTGAGCCACCGTACGCGTCCCGACCAAGAAACCGATTTTGAAGCCATGGCCAAGCTTGCATTTCCCTCGGAACCGCATCGACCCATGTCCAGCATCGTTATGGAGGTCATGGCTCGTGTCGACCCGAGCAGCTACGTATCAGAATACACGCGAACGATTGCCTCGCTATGGCAGCGCGCCATCAACGAGAAGTTCTACGAGCCGATCCCCCGATTTGAAGCTATCACAAGATACAGTTTGATGTCGGATGATGCCCCGCTCTCTGAGCTGATCACACCTTTAGTTGGGGTCTTGCAAGACACCGTGGAAGTGAATGCAGTTCCTCGCTTCAAGTACGCCCCGGCATCGCGAGATAAGCGAATTACTCGACAGACACCACAATCAGATCTGCAGCCCCTGGTTGACTCCACTGGGGCCATGCGTCTACTTTATCAAATCGCCTGCGGAGTATTGCACATAAAAAGTGCAATGGAGACATTCTGGCAAAATATCCGGATCTCGTTCATTCTCGTGATGCTGCACCCGTCACATCCACTGGGTGACATTGTGCTTTTGATGAATCTCCTGTCAACGAGTATTCGAGCAGACTCCTTCGGTCCGATTAGAACCTCTGACCAGGACCAATTGGACGTGCAAAAGTGGATTGTGGACCGCCTCACACACATGCTGAGTGAGCCCGCAATACCGGACGAAGGGGTGGAGCCGTACACTGCATACGACATTTGTGCGATGCGTCTCGAGGTCCTGCTGCTGCTGGAGTCGCTGGCGTTCAACCCTATGGCCCCATCCCAAAAGCATGCCAGTATGATCCTCGCATTACACCCGAATGCACTCGCTCGTTTATTCCGGTCAATGCACGATGAGCTGGATGCACTTTACTCCTCCCCGCCAGAGTCAGACCTGCGTGTTGCACTGGTCAATGGCCTTATGCGGCTGATTTTCGGGGTCATGCGGCAACATGGCTCCTTGATCAATATGCAGGAGAAGCTGGCATGTGTACCTGGCAGCAAACAGAAACATCTCGTTGTGTTAACTCGCTTGGCGTTTTGCGATGGGACTGTGCTGGAGGCGGGCATCGATGATGAAACCGTTGATATGGCGCACGAGCTACTGGAGGAATGGACTAATCCCCAAGAAGCAGAGTCATTAGCGGAGGCCTTCCCAAGTTCTAGGAGAGACTGACACAGTGGTAACAAGACGTTTAATGTTGAATGACTGGGAGTTTTGTATGCATTTGGCATGGCGCAATGAGTTCTCTGGAGTTACTAACATATTCCTTCACCATATACCAGAACAATTTCATTTTCTTTTACAAGCATTCGAGATATGAGGGAAAAGCTACAGAGACGTAGCTCCATAAGAGGTTTGAGACATCCAACAAACGTGAGCTGCAACAGTGACAGGGTTTTCGCTATCCGAGTCCCAATGCTCCAACAGATTCCCACCTCTCAGTGGTTAAAACTGTGCAGTAAGGGACCAGGAAAGGGAATGATTCAAAAGTGGAGGAGTCATGTCTAGAGGATAGGGGCTTGGAGACATTCATTGTACAACATAGGCACCACACGACACGTCAGACACGTCCTGGTGGGATTTCCAGGAGGCGCGATCTGTCCAGAGCTTCATCGACAGGGTCAACATTGACGGGGCCACGAGAATGGGGAGATCCTTCAGAGGAGAGCATTGATAGAAAACGACAAGTCTTCCTGGTCTCACTTCAAAATCCTATGACTACATGTACAGTACTCCATATGCCAACTACAAATATCCTCTTCTCCAAGCTCGAGCCACTGGCTCAAGGATTGATGAAAAGAAAAGACTCCACGAATGGAGATGCCAAAGAATACGCCTGTCAATGACCCATAAAGAACCATTGAACAGACTGTTCCGCCACGCTGTGCAATGCAGGGACCAGTCTGTGGTGAGAACGTCTTGTTGATCACGGTCACCCAAACAAGGTAAGTATGAAGAAGAAAGAAAAAGAAGATGAAGAGCCGCGGGCCAGGCGCCTATATATACCCCTTCCTACAGGGCGGTGGCAGAATCGGTCCAGGCAAACATCGAGTTCCCCCTTACATGATATGCAAACTAGGCAAACATCCAATCCCGCACTATTTTTCAGGCATCAATTTCCTAGCGGTCACGTGCATTGAAGTTTTGAGAGACTGCCAATTTGGCCTGGGTAACATATCATTTGCTACAGCATTGTGTCTAACGAGTCGCCACAATGAGAAACAGAGCTAGCAACACATTGTCGAAAGGCGTATGTCTCCCCTACTATACTGGGTTGCCCCAATTCCAAAAAGGCTAACAAGACACTGGTCAGAAAATCCGTCAATCATGGAGCAAATACAACCTGTATAACATGCAACGATTCCGCAGCCCACCCACCACCAATCGCACATTCTTCCAGCAGAAATGGTCTGCTAAGGCTGCCTCCCGTGCCTATCACGGCGAGCAGGTCCGTGAGGGACAGTGGAAACGCATGTTCAACCATCGCATTCGCAGTGTTATCCCAATGAATGCATCCGACTTGGCCGCTGATGACGGTTCCCTAGTCTCGTCCGGTCGAGGCTCAGGACTTGATAAGGGTGGAAAGCCCGCTTACCAGACACGTCCTACACCTTACACCCACATGACCTTTGCACCCCTGGAGCGCCGGTTGGATGTAGCCATTTTCCGAGCTCTGTTTGCTAGCAGTGCCAGACAGGCGAGACAGTTCGTCATCCACGGAGCGGTCACTGTTAATGGGCAAAAGGTATGATGCGATGTGGGAAGCTACCGATTCCTTGATTACTGACACGCTTTGTGTGACTAGATGAAACACCCCAGCTACCTCCTCAACCCCGGTGACCTCTTCCAGGTCGACCCAGACCGTGTCTTGTACGCTACTGGTCACACGAAAACTGCGTACGAGCGACGCCAGGGCCGATTGGCTCGGAGAAAAGCAAAGGCACAGAGAACAGAGGGAGCCGAGGAAGCCGAGGCCGCACCCCAGACTGAGGAGTCAAAGGAGACCGCCAAGGAAGAGACCAAGGAGACTGAAAAGGAAGATACTAAGGAGACTGAAAAGGAAGATACTAAGGAGACTCTCAAGGCTCTTCTGGCACAGGCTAAGTCTGTCATGTCTGCCGGCAAGAATACACTCGCGCCCCAGCGCAAGCAGGAGCTCCGCGGTTTCCAACAAGCCGTCCGCCGCGTATTGTCCCGCTCCGAGTCCAGTACCGTCCTCGCTGACAGCCTGGAGGCCCAATTCTCCCAGCTAACCCTGCTTCTCAAGGCCAAGCGGAGCGAGAAGCCAGAGAAGAAGGATGCGAAGCCCCGTCCAGAAGATGCTTTCGCGACCGACAGGGGAGATGCAGAGGTGGCTTCCGCCAGGAAAGATACAGAAGCCACAGCCAGCGACAAGCTCTCCGAAGCCTTCGCGCAGGCAACGCTGGGTAATGAGGTGGATGCCTCGGAACTCAGCGACGAAGAGTTCGACACGCTCAAGCGCGCTCTTACTCAAATGCGCGACAACCCTCTCGACAACAGCAAGACCTACTCCACCCCCTGGCAGCCACGCCAATACATGTCTGCCTTTGCCTTCATCCCGCGCTACCTCGAGGTCAACCAGAACATTTGTGCAGCCGTGTACCTGCGCCACCCCGTGGCCCGCCCCGGTTCCGCCGAGGTGCCCACTCCCTTCGGCGAGTCCATTGCAACTCCGGCTTATGGCTGGTACCTGAGGAGACGGTGGTAGAGGATGCGATTGGCTTGTCTTTCTCTGCCTAGCCTGTCCTTTCCTCGTTTCTCTCTACTGTTCTACTATTTTCTCTCCCCTAGACTTCCCGTCTGTGTATTAGTGGGCGCTTAGATCTCCCTCCCTTTCTGCATATTTCTGGATCATGTTGACCATGGTGTTGGTTCCTGTTTTGCTTGTCTTTGGGGCTCTTTGTGTCAGCTCCACCCCCTGTACCACCATAGCCATGATGTGTTGTAAATGGATATATTATTGATGCTATTGTTTCACGCTGTATATTGGCCGGTCATTTGTATGGTCCTTGAGTAGACCTGGCTACTTTACTCCCTTATTGTGGGTTGGATATTGTGCCAAACGGCCTGTTCTTGATGTACTGCTGGATTCTAAAACCATAGGAGATATTAAGTGCCTTACGCAAAGTTGTACGGACACGATAAAACTTGTAGGCAATGACCTACCTACAACATAGAGCTGGTCGAGTGTCCAATATATACTCCGTACACCGCACTTATATAAATATGCAGCCAATGGATACTACCTAGGTGGAATCCCACGGAAATTATAAAACTTAAACGATAAATATAATTAAGTACAATCTAGACATTACCAATGTGTAAAATTGTCCAATTGAAGCTCTACAAACTGTATAGCCAGAGCTGCAATAGATGCTTGGCGCACGGGCCCCATGGAAAACCCTCAAGTGAAATCCATCGCAGCTTTATCTTTATCCCCACAGATCGACAAGGACATTCTACATCGGTCTGCTACACTATTGTCACCCTATTGATGGCTACTTTGAACTAAGGAGGCTATCTCCTGGACCCCCATAGGCCAGCCAACTTGCACTGTTGGTATCCCATAGCGCCTGCTCGACTGCTATTGCTACTGCGAAAGCTGCTGTCCTCATGACGCGCATTCAACCACACGAATACGGCCGTCCTTCGTACCACCCTCCACAAAATTCCTTTGGAAGAGTACCATCTGGCCTGCGCTCAGGGTTCAGCCCAGCTTCTCAGTCCGTGTCCGTGGTAGTGAGGAATCCACCTACGACCGATAACGCATCAGCGAGCAGCGAAGAGACACCTGGAGGGGCAAACCTGACCGGAAGTGATTCACACGAAGGAGACATCCTCCAAACCGATCTATACTATGCGCCGATGCCTGTGGGCGTAGCTCAAGCCAGCGAAGGAGATGGATCAAGGCTGATGTCGGGATCGACCACCAACAGAGGGACGAAGCGCAGTCACAACCGCGACGATGAGCTCGATGGCGACACTTCACGACAGCATAGACGTCTCACGACCAAAGAAGAAGTAGCGCTCTTCGAGATCTGCAATCGAAACGCAGACACCTTCGGCAGCCGCAGTAATCTGTGCAAGTGGTGGATCTCCATCGCCGCCGAGTTCAAACGTACCCATGAGGGCCGTTCATACTCGTGGCATTCGGTGCGGCGCAAAGTTGAAATGGTTACGAGGCAGCGCATCAAGTTCCTGGAGGACCAGAGACAGCGGGGCTCAAACGCACCCGGTTCGACGGCCGAGGAATTGATGAACCCGCAATGGCTAGCTGCCGTAGATGCCTGGCTTCCGACCTGGCAACGGTGGGAAGAATCTGAGAACCGGCGTATTACAAAGCGGGATGAGCTCAAGAAGCGCAGACAGCCGCAGCCCTGGCGCCAGAATTCGAATAACGGAGACCAGGAACCATGGCGGAACCTGGCTGGATCATCTGCCACCACCCCGACTGATGTGAACGGCGCAATGATGGGTATGCTACACCAGCCTATTGCGAATAGCGTCGGTGACGCTACCCTCCCGGCTACCAGCCCCACGCCTTCGCCCTCAATTACGGGCCCTGCACCACCCGCGCATTTCCTCGAATCACCCTCCACCCCTGTCTCTGCGAGCACATCACTGAAACTACCACCGGGTTTCGAGAATATGTTCTCGACCCCACAAAGCACATCACAAGTCGCGCCTCTTCCCTCCATATCCACACCACCAGTTCCACAACCCGACGGCCGTATGGTCTCAGCCGTTCTCGAAACCCTGGGAAAACTCAACAAACACCTAGACACCACATCGGGGGGTGGTATAGACCCGAGTGACGCTTCACCTGTGATCTCGGCCTTGGTGCAGGCCGCCTCGGAACCACCGGTTCTAGCTTCTCCCCGGCAATCACAGCACCCGCAGGTACAGCCTGCGTTACAACCACAGCCACAGCAAGGTCCTACTCACACCCAGCTTGAGCAAATGAAGGAAGAGCTACGTCAGGAGATGCAGGCCCAGTTTCGAAGTGAACTCGCGCGCGAACTTGTTGCGATGGAGGAAAAGCTGGATTCTGTGCAGCGGACTCAGGACCTGATTCTTGAGATGTTGAGACAAGAGCCTGCTTGATGCAGATGGAGTCTTAGTCTTGCACTTTTTCTCTCTAGGCGCGGCTTGTGTTGTCTCGCATCTATTCTTATTTGTACTTGTACTTTCTCTTTTTCTTTCTGATATGATACCCATTATCGACTGCGAAGGACGGCGGGCCTGCCATATCTTCGAGAGGGCTGATATTGCTACCCAAGTCTTTACTTGATATTCTCGATGAAGACCTTGCAAGACTACTTCCTAAAATTTGATGAGCTTGAAAAGGACCCAGCCGATGGCAATTGCTCTCTACTCTAGAACAGAAAACAAGTAAACAAACATAAGAGAAAATAGTCATCGGGCTAAATTACAGATAAATGATAGAATGACCCAAGAATTCCTTCCCGAGCCTTCACACAACGATTAAAAGCTCTTCCATGATGCACAGAAGTGCCTATAGGGCGAAACAATCTAGTAGTAGAAGGTCTCATCGACGGTACGACCACGCATCCACTTGGGCTCAGAGCCACGGACGTAGATGTCCTCGAAGAGAATACGGGCAGTGTTATCGGGGACGGGCATCTTCTCAGCCTCGGCGACCTCGGCGTCGACGTTGGCACGGGCGGTCTTGTCGAGACCCTTGAGCTCCTCCTCGGAGGTGACGCCCCACTCGAGCATCTTCTGCTTGAGACCAGCGATGGGGTCGTGGGTGCTGCGCATGCGCTGGATCTCCTCACGGCTGCGGTAGGTGGTACCGGGGTCGGACATGGAGTGGCCACCGTAACGGTAGGTGACGTACTCTAGGACGAGGGGTCCATTGCCGGTGATGGCGTAGTTCTTGCTGTACTGGACGGCGGCCTTGGTGGCAAGGACGTCCATGCCGTTAACCTTCAGACCAGGGATGTACTGGCCACGCTTGTAGTACTCGGTCAGAGCGGAGGAGCGAGAGGCGGAGGTACCCATGCCGTACTTGTTGTCTAGAGAAACATACACGTTAATACATCTGTGGTTTTTCTGAGGCTGCAAAGTCTTGGAATAAACCACTTACTCTCACAACCGAAGAGAACGGGCAGGTTCCACAGCTTGGCCATGTTGAAGGCCTCGAAGACCTGACCCTGGTTGGAGGCACCGTCACCGTAGAGAACGATGGAGGTGTTGGGCTGCTCGTTGTACTGCTGGGCGAAGGCCAGACCAGCACCGACGGGCACCTGGGCACCGACGATACCGTTACCACCGTAGAAGTTCTCGGCGAACATGTGCATGGAACCACCCTTTCCGTACGCGATACCCTCGCGGCGGCCGAGAAGCTCACCAATGATGGACTTGACGGTACCACCACGCATCATAGCGAAACCGTGGCAACGGTAAGCGGTAATAACCTTGTCCATGCGGGTGATGGCGTGCTCAATTCCGACAGCGACGGCTTCCTGTCCGGTCGACAGATGGCAGAAACCCCGGATCTTCTTCTCCTTGTACAAACGATCCGCGGCCATCTCCATACGTCTGCAAAAAAAGAACGAGCAGTCAGTCAACAGCTAGTCCAAAACATCCACTATCCTGCTTTTCGTACCTCATCGCGACCATGTCGTAGTACATCTGCTTGAGCTCCTTCTTGGAGGTCTCGAGAGTGTACGGGGGTGGGTCGAGCTCGTAAGTCTCGAAGCTCTCATCGGAGAGACGGACAGTGAACAGCTTATCATCCTCCTGTTAAAGCGCAAGCACAAGCATCAGCAATCGAAACTCCGGAACCTTTGGGGCGAGGTTTTTCAGATCTTCCGGATAGGGCTCAACAAACCTGCGGCACCGGGCTCTCGACGTTGGCGGAAGCGGCGTCGGTGGTAACAGTGCGACGGGCAAGAGGAGTGAAGGCACGACGCCTCAAGGGCGCAGCCTGACGGACCGCAGCACGGAAGAGCATTTTGTGAGGGAATTGGAGATGGTACGTTGTAGATGATAAGCACCTTTTTCCGTCCCAACAACTCTCTTTCAATTTTGCCGTCTTAGTCAGCTTCCAGATCGGGGCCGCCCGGTGAGGAACGTCAGGCCGGTTCCGATGTTAAAACTACTTCACTGAACATTGATTCTGCTATATTTGCTCGGATATTCTTGTATCTGGCGATTAATTCCCTTGGAATTATTAAATGGGCCATCGCAGCTAACAAATGGCGTTTCTGTTGTGCTTACCTGAGATTCTGTTCATCTCCGATCCAGTCCCAACGGTTCGGTTCACCTCTATATACAAGAGGGATGGAATTCAAGTTTCTCTCTAGGGAACTAATTACCTCTTCGATACCTGTAGGTCATTGAATCTGCTTGTAACGAGCTTAACAAGCAATAATATTCTACAACAAAATATATGTATACAAGGCTGGGATAGATCAGTGATCAAGAGGGCACCATACTAACAACCTAACTTGGTAAATGGCCAAAATTGCATTAGCAGTCATGAAAATAAAGTCTCAGACAACCAGACTTGAATATGCCAAAGTCCGAAATATGTCTGTTTTCGACTGCGAGGCAGAAAAAGGCCACCCCCAAATGGATATCAAAAGGTAATTGACACCAACCGCAGGTCTATTGAGACGAATAGCTATCGAGAGACTCAAAAGGCAAAACCTTCCTTCTCACATATCCTTTTCAGCAACTCCAGGATTCTTACTCATATGAATAAGATCCCAAGATGATGCTTTATTGACTTTATTGACTCTATTGACTTTCCAAATGGAAGTGCAGTTTGTTCAGGTACTGCGTGTCGAAGGCCGAGCCTCATTATTTAAGATGCTGATTTCCCCCTTCATCGTCCTCTTTTTCTTTTCATCAGCTTCTGAACCGGTGTGACCAAGGTATCTTTGCACCATGCCTCTATCTAAGAACAGGAAGCTAACAAACATCAAGCAGCACCAATCTCGATATGGCGGAATCCACTGCCAGCGCAAGCCTTCCGTTGGGTCCTCCCACTGGCCCTCCCATTGGCACTGCCATGGAACCTCTGGTTGTGTTCGTTGCTCGTGGCGCTCCGGGCCCCACACACGTCGACATCGGCCAGCTGAAGCACTACCTTCGTCCCGCCCTGATTGAGCTCCAGGGAGAGTTTGAGCGCAAGTATGGTAGTCTGGAAGGACGTTCCTACTGCTACTGCCCATTGATTCATAAATCAATCACCCCCCCTTGAGCCAGATTCCGACTCGTTTATGTCTCTGACCGATATTCTCATGTATGGCCGGATCCACCGCTGCGACATCATGTTTGTCTTGAACCACTGGGACGCCATCACCTCCGACGGACCGAGTTTTGCCAATATCTTCAAAGGTTTCACCGACGTCAGAGTGACCATTCGCGTCCACGGCACAATTTCAGTGGACCACAATAGCGAATTCCACGACCTCGACGCCCACAAAGTTAGCGCTCACTACCAAGGCTTGATCCGACTGGAAGAACAGTTTCTTATTGATGATGCACTGCGTTACGTGGTCAGAGTCGAAGAAGTCCGTGGAGTCAGGATCGGAGTGGAGGAGTCGGTTAACCTGATGAGGGAATTGACTGGCGAACCTGAGGAACAGCTGCTGGAGAGAGTGCAGTGGATTCTTTGATACAGGGAAACGAACTGAGGAAATGGGCTCTTGGATATCCATGGAGATGCGAGGAACTCTGACGATGGACGCCCCCCCCCCCTCTGGGTTGAGACATGTGACTCTATGCCCAGGTTCCTTTGTGCGTGGGTTGAAGCACCGATGTATCTTAGCGCCAGCCTTGAGAAAGCCCACTTACAATGCCCGAGCAAGCCTTGAGCTCTGCTTGTCTTTGGGATCAAATGAAACCGTTAATACATTAATATCTCCTTACTTTCGGTAAATGATTATTTCACGTATTGTATAGACTTTTTTCTTAGCCAAAGCCGAAATCGGTTCCATCCATGGGTTGTATATAAGAACCCGTGGACTCGACGGTGAAGCAATAGCTTACATATGTACTTACTAGAATACCAGGGCTATCGCCCATATGAGATCAATCAACGGCTGACACTCTCTGGGCCACAGCTGAGTATGTTACCCTACAGAGTTATGTAAATTATTAGCCCATTGGTGGAAATATACCTTGTCTAAAATGTCGTCTCCTATACCCTAGACTATAAGACCACCTGAGATTATTCTGATTGACGATCCTAATTGACTTAAACGAAGTCACCACAACCCCATGCTTTGGGAGAATCCATTCATACTGACCATGAAAGTATAAGCCAAACCTCATCAAGAGCTTTAGGCTAACACAACTCTGCCTACACACCAATCGGACGACACCCATACACCACAAGTGTGAGAGCGCTGTTATACCAATCATACGATCTCGACAGCTTGCATTATATAGGGTGTTGATAGCCGAGCCAATTAAAACATACACATCTAAAGTACGAACTCGACACGTCATACCGGCACAATCAAAGCCGTTGGACAAAGATCAGAAAAGACATGTCGTATTGACCCAACGCTCAAAAGAAATACGTGTCAGAAATATCAATGAACAAAGTAGTATGGAGAAGAACAGATGTATCCGAAATTGCCCTGCGAGTGTACAAAAGTGATGGATCTTAAACACGCTAGACGCCATTAGCACTCCATTGGCACTATCGGGTGAAAAAGACAGTACACCAAAGCCCCGATATCAGAATTGGCGAATAACGCCACGTCTCCATCAGTTCGTGCATTGGCTCAAGTTTATCCATAACTTAGTTATGTTAACTTATATTAACTTATATTAATTTATTCCAACGGCCACGTTAACCTTTACAAATGATAGACATGAAACACTGAGTTGATTCAGGTAAGACAGATTGCGATCGGATAAGACTCATAGTGGCCCAAGCTGATAGGATTCAAGACATCCCGCCGTAGGACCCTACCCTACTCCGTACTTTGTGTGAGGGTCTGTGTGTGAGAGAACGAGTGGTGAAGGAGCATCCCAAAGGATCTGAACCATCCGCTTGCACGGACGATCTGCGTTGCAGGTGTACACGGGACTATCGTTTTCTGAAACTAACCCGGTCAATTGTAGAGGTATCGGCGTCATCGGACGCACCATTGTCTTAAAAGACACATCAGCCTGTGACAGAAGTCAGTTCTGGATTAGTCTGACCCCGAAGGATCTATATCCTCGTCATGAAGTGGCTGCAGTCTACTGCATCTACTGAACTTTGATCACAATTTCAAGTCCTCGAGTCTTTTATGCTAACGATTATCGGTTCGGGATCAGCCTGGCCAATGAGACCTGCATGGATATGCACTTACCTGCAGGTAGGAATGCACTCAACCGCATTTACTATTAAGGGAATAAAGGGTTGCATTTCTAAACTTATGTATATACGGAGTACAAAGTAGGAGACTGCTAGATAATAGCCCTAGGTATGTTACTCCCAAGTTGGTCAATTCTTTTACAAGCGACCACTTCGTACTCTGAAACACTCGACCATTACAGAATTGAGAAAGAGGGAAAGGATCAACCCGCTAAAAGAAGTTAGACTGTGTTTATATTACTATCTCCGCTATGGAAACTTTCAACGGTGATGATCATTGATCAATGCACTTCAATATCCAAAGTACATATATACATATATGTGGATCGTTGTACAGAGTACTCCGTATTGTTGTAAGCGGAAGAATAGCCGAACATGCTAATTTTACGGTCTAGAGCCAACAAAGCCAACTGAGCTGTCAGATAGGGTTTGCCACATCTCTATATGCCTAGACTTGACAGCTCCAGGGCCGAGCAGCAAGGCGTTGTTACCAGTCAACTCCGCTCTTGTCCGTTCTTTGTAGTTGCAATTAGCCTGCATAGTAATTCTCCGACGCAGATGACGTGCAGGCCAGCATAGGGGGTGTCCCGACATAGTTTGTGATAGATCCAATATCAAAACCCCACCTCAAAGGGGGAGGCGTTGCCAATCGTCATCTACTACTGGGATTTGACAATTTATACAGAGCACTCATTGGCGATGCCTTCGGCAAGCCAGGATTCCGAGACAATGGAGAAGTAGCTAAAGTGAGCACAGGCACTCTGTAGCACCCAAAACAACATAGGAGTATGTCGATCACCGCGTAAACGACATTCGCACCCACCCGGGCATCGGAACGACCCATAAACGGGGAGCTGCAGTCAATGATGTGCAAATCAATTTCTCCTAGTTTCGCGTCTCCTATTACCAGGACAGATGATTTAAGCGCTAACGAGTGGGACGAAATACGATAGACCCGCCAGTGTCGAATTGCAGGCGCGACGAAGGAGATCAGGAGTTAAAGTGAAGACGAGCCACACCAATTAGGCCAAGGGGTTTTTTTCTGTTGACCCATTTCTGGGAGCTCGGGGAGTGGCCTACTACGTTGCCTTATAGCAGAAAATCTCCGTTGGAGTCCGCTGCTGGAGGAGTGATCGTCAAAACTCCGGAGGTGTGTCTCGACGCCCATTTAGGATATCCAAAGCCGAGGACCAATTTTGTTGTTCCGGATGTCGATCACAGGGGGCAACGGACTTGGGCTTGAAGCCGGGGGATAAACCCTGGAATAGTTGAAGAGAAATTGCGTCATTGCAGAATGATTTCGACAAAAAGAATAAACCTTGGAAGTCTCCGTTTTCCAGAATCCTTCTCCAGAACGCTTTTGACAGGGAAAGCCGTTCGGGAGGATCGACAGAGAACCTTGGAAATTTGCCACTGTTCCAGGGGCGTGGTCCTTAGCCAATTATAGAGTGGGTATACGGATAGTGGATAAATGAGCCGCCTACAACCACGTGAGTCGGTAATTCGTGTTAGCGGATGTTAAATTAATCCGATCCGAAGTAAATCCACTAGTCAACCTTGTTATCACCACTCACGGATTTAGGTTTCCCGTTCTTAGAAGGTCTGGAGTAATTCCCAAGGTTGGTGCCCCAGTGGATATTCCGAATATTTGAGTGTCGAGAATCCATGGAAAAGATGTGGATAGCCCAGAATGAAGCAACTTTTGGAAGATTTAGAGTGCGAGTTATGAATTGCAGCAGAAGAGGTTAATGAATAATACGAACGTCTCCGTACTCCCGTACTCCATTTGTTCTCCATAGTAAATTAATTAACCCGATTTCAGGATCAGATCCCTTAAATGGATTGTAGAGCCGATCGGATATCCGTGTCGCGTCCGAAGAGGGGATTGGAGTACCGAGGGTTGAGTATAACTATTTACACCTGTACATATGCATCTAATCCTTATCCTACATAAATGTACATATGCACAACATACAAGAATAAAGAATAATAAGATAACTTCCGATAATAACCTTGGAAGGGGGTGCAATAAGGCTAACCTTGGAACCTTCAGATGTTTGGAACCGTAAAAATATCAATTCAGGGGATCCCCACCTCCATATCCATGGTTAAGAGTGGGACTTATTGTACTAGTAAGATCTTGACCAATTCCATGGTTTTTTTCCTTTTTTTCGGTTTTTTTCAGTTCCTTTTTTTTTTCCCTTGCAATTTATTTTCCCATGTCTCCACTCTAAACGTGTGGTGTATACTCCGTGTGCCCCCTGTTCAGCTCCATCTTCCTCATCTTGTAAACACACTATTACACTTGAAATGCTTGGATTTTAATTATTATTATATTTTCTGTTTAATTATTTTTCTGTTTAATTATTTTTGGATTACTTTTTGCTCCTGAAGGTTCGCCTTGTTTTTTTTTCCTTCTTTTTCCCCCCCCACCTCTTTGTTTCCTTTGAGTCGATGTGGAAACGTTCACCTAGATCGGAGGACTACTCTGGGAACGACTCAACTCAACATCATCTATCTGAGCTGGGTTTCCTAGGTCGATCCAGAAAGTCCAAAAGTAAGTGTGTTCTGTGTCTATGTCTCTCTTTTATTCTTCTATCAGAGTTGGGATTTCCAGTCTTGGAAATGTCCTAGATCTGAGACTATTGTGGCCTGTTCTAGATGCCTATGGGATAAATCGGACTAAAAACCACCCTCCCCTGAGTACTAGTATTGTTTGGGGGTGTTTTTCTTTTTCTCTCTCTTTTCTTATCCACATCCTCAATCCTTGTGCTTCTGCAAAATAGCCTCAATCTGCTATTAGCCTTGAAGAGTCCCCACCTTGCTAACCAGGTTACCTGTGACGTACAGAATTTCAATCGCAGCCAGAATCATCCTCTCGTTCACCTCTCCGTTCATTTCGTTCATTCAGTCGAGGCGTGATAGACCGACCTAGCAGCAGTCTTTCCAACCAGACCGATATTACCAGGAGAGCACCTTCGACTGTCGCTGGATCGATTAATTCTGCCTACCCAGAACCCGGCCAACTTGCGCATTCAAATCGCTCACGAACATCATTTCATTCAAGATCGGGACGGACCACCGGCCTAATGGAGGTAGATCGCACCCACACACGGAGGGAGAGGACTTTTGTCGGGAGCGAATGCGCTGTCTGCGAGGAACCTTTGGAGCATACCCTACGCGGCGAGCGTGTTCTGCAGCTCTCGTGCGCCCACGTCTCCCACGAGGCCTGTTTCTATGAATTCCTACGGGAATGCGATGGACAATACTGCCCAACTTGTAATGCGCCATTGGCCTTGGACACGAGTCGCGGTGGAAATGTCTTGGATATCGGTATGTCCCTCGTGCGGGGTTTAGAGGGGTGGACCAGAAGGCTAATATGATTCCCCAGAGAAAATTAGTAATATTGTTCGCTCAGTGACGTCGAATGATACCGCAACGGTACGCAGTGGCTTGACAACACCCACTCCATGGGAGCCGTCCAGTCGACGAGCACCGAGTGAATCCGGCAGTCGCTACACCTCGGGTACCCGGGAGCCACCTTACACAAGGGACGCAACTTACAACCCCTCAGCAAAAGAACCACCCTACAACCCCTCGAGAGATCCATCCTATAATCGACGAGATAGCCGTGATACCAGCAGCCAGCGTGAGCGCGTAGAGCGATTGACCGTGGGCTCTAACCCTCGTCAACCCCACTCCCGGAACGGCAGCGCGGCCGGCTCATCGGGCGAATACAACGAAGGCCACGCTAGTGGGCGGCGTCATGATTACGATGTTCAAGCTATGGAGTCAGACCTCAGTCCTCGCCCCAAGGTCGCCAAGAATCCCATTCCTGCGCCGATAGTCACTGTCCGAAGCGAGTTTCCGACTATGAACCGATCTCGCCAACAGCAGACCCTCACGTGTCTGATTACGGTCGAGGTGCCAGATACCAATTGGCGTCCTGACTTGGATGACCTACGACACACGCCTTCCGGACAGTCGCAGCCGGATGAGGCATACGCCGGACGATTTGGTGGTGGACAGGATGCTCGATCGATCCAGTATGAACCAACGGAGAATATGGAAGAGGTAGCCGAGGAATTGCGCAACCGAGTGGACAATTGGCACGGTCTTGAGTTCCAACGGTTCGGCAAGCTGCTCCTTCACGGACACATGCGTGTGGGCAAGGATCGGGATTCCTGGCAGGAGTTAGAATGCTATCTCTTCGGAGAGATGCTTATCTGTGTCAAGGAGAAGAAATCGGGTGACTCCCAATTCGATGCAACCGGGCGACGCAAGCCCGTTCGTTGCAGTCTCAAGGGCTCGATATTGATTAAGAAGCATTTAAAGTCCATCGAGGTGTCGCCAGATGAACCCATTCTCTCCTTAAGCCTTTCTGTCACTGAGCTGCCCTGTTTCTACCTTCGCTTCCAGAATCGCAACCAGCTTGAAATATGGCGTCGGTCTTTGATCGATTTGCACCCAGAGGCCGTTTCACGCCACAATGACTATGACTACGACAACTCGGGGGCGGAGGAGGATGACTACCGCGGTAGCCGTGGAATACAACGACAAGCTTCTATCAATTCGTCTTACGGGGCAGGAAAATCCATTAATACCGCGATTACAGATTACACCAACCCCGACTACGCCAGCCCCGACGCAGAATTCCCTGCCATCAATACTGTTCATATCCCCCTCGATCTTGTCGTGGTCATTCCGGTGTCTTCGTCTATGCAAGGCTTGAAGATTACTCTCCTGCGTGATGCCCTCAAATTCCTCGTGCAGAATCTCGGCCCTCGGGACCGGATGGGCCTCGTGACTTTTGGCTCGAGTGGTGGAGGTGTGCCCCTGGTTGGTATGACCACCAAGTCCTGGGCTGGATGGCCCAAGATCTTGGAATCGATCCGGCCGGTTGGCCAAAAGAGTCTCCGCGCGGACGTGGTTGAAGGTGCAAATGTCGCCATGGATCTTCTGATGCAGCGCAAATTCAACAACCCTGTCTCGACCATTCTTCTGATCAGCGACTCTTCTATCTCCGACCCTGAAAGCGTGGATTTCGTGGTCTCCCGTGCGGAAGCTGCCAAGGTCACCATTCACTCGTTTGGACTTGGATTGACCCACAAGCCCGATACCATGATCGAGTTGTCTACTCGTACCAAGGGATCTTATTCGTATGTGAAGGATTGGATGATGTTGCGAGAATGTGTTGCTGGATGCCTCGGCGCGTTGCAGACAACCTCCCACCAAAACGTCAAGTTGAAACTCCGCCTACCTGAAGGGTCACCCGCCAAGTTTGTTAAGATTAGCGGCGCTCTTCACACCACAAAGCGTGCAACTGGCAAAGATGCGGAAGCCGCACTGGGAGATCTCCGATTTGGTGACAAGCGCGACGTCTTGGTTCAACTTGTCATCCAGCCAGACAACGCTACGCAGGACAACATGCCGCAGGATCCGTGGGAGAGCCTAGTCTCCGGATTGGAGGCTCTCGGCGGCGGTTCTGATGGTGACGAGGGCCGAGTCTTAAGTGTTGAAGAGGTCCCATTGATCCAGGCTGATCTAACCTACGGCGACCTGCTCCGCGATGGCCATCTCACCCACTCCCCCCGCCCTTCACTCCTGGCCATTACCATGTTGCCTCCTAATCCTCGGGCCAACGGCCAGCGATCCTCGACCCCTCCAATTCCTCCTCACCCCTCGATCGTGCAGCGCCGGATGGAGCTACTCACTTCCGACATGCTGACCCGTGCTCTCACGCTGGTTTCTCGGGGCCAGCATGACCGCGCAATGCATCTCCTCAACGAAACCCGCAGCATCCTCAAAGGCCTGGGCAAGGGTGGCCTACCACCTCTGCCCCCGGGTGCTTCCAAGTCCGACGATGCCGATAGCCGCGGCGACACTCCAGTCTCGGCCTCCTCCCCTAAATCGTCTACCTTTGGCGGAACCCATTCATCCGCATCCGATACCAACACCATCACGCCAGCCTCCGCAGTCGATGCCCAGACGATGATTGCCCTGAACGCTGATTTGGAATCGTCCCTGGAGTGGATCAACCACCCGGCAGTCTTCGGGCGTGATTCACGCAAGGCAGTGCTCCAGAGCATTGGTGTGATCTCCTCACAGCGTGCCTACACCTTCCGCACTCCATCCGAAGCTCACTGGGCCCAGCGTGTCTCTGGTGTGCGTCGGTTGACGGAGCGATCCCAAGACTGGCGCGAGACTGGTGACGATGCTTTGACTGAGGAGTAGGGTGTCGACTCTCCGCAACTCAGCACATATTTCTCCCTCTTATTTTTGATTTCTGAAACGGTCTCCCTTGTGTCATATTCCCGACTTTCTACATACATATCGAGTCGACATTATTTCCCCTTTGCCTTTTACCCCCCTTTGCGATTTCTCTTTGCGATTTCTTTTGCCATCCCTATGATACCACTTTGTTCCCATGACTACGCAACATGATACCAGGGGCTCTGTTCTTGATGTGTTTCCGCTGTATTTGGACATAACATCTCTGTTTCTATGTAATTGCTCTGACGGTCTCGGCTATGGTGCGCGGGTGGGATGGGGTTCTGTCGGTTTTCTCCTTTAACTGTTTGAACATATGACGATTTACCGGACTTCTTTTTCTTTTTCTATACGTCCAGCCTTGCTAGTTTATCTGAACCTATTACCTAGTTGCCTTGGATTAGTATATAACCTCATCGAAACGATTCTTTGGTTCCAGCCTCAATATCTCAGGTGGATCGACTCATGGGCCTATGTATGTGTTGCGAGAGGAGCGGTAAGCTAATCAAGAGATCTTTAGGTAGTGAGTCGAGTCTTCGTTGCCTTTCTGGGTCGATTCCAAGAAGAACGAAGGATATCCTCACAATAGAGGATCTTCAAGGTTGGAGACATCTGATGACGTTGATCCCAGGCTGCGGAATGTGGCTGCTTATCGTCGTGTGGCTCAGCTCAACCTTCCAACTTGCAACTTCCCCGGGGAGGTTTGGTTTACCTAGACCACTGCAAATACTTGAATCCTCTTCTTGACAACGGCTATTATAGAGCTAGACAGGCTCTCGACCATGCTCCGTCAATCTATGGCGCGCGCATTCCGCAGCGCATGCGCATACCAGTTCTTATCGCCGAAGCCCTCCACCCACTTCAAGGTCTCCTCACTAGCAGCTCAAACATCACGCTCTTACAATACCCTGCGTCCTCAACTCTTTAGCCGCTGGGCTACCTCTCTGCGCTCTCATGTCGCACCTCTACGACAACCTCGACTCCAGTCACAACTCTCATTCCACACACCTTCCCCGAGCAACCGGCGCACTTTCTTCTCAAGTCATAAATCCCCCTACCAACAAAGGCAGAACCAATACAACCGATTCCGAGGGAGCGCCCGACAACCTCTCGTCTTCCGCTTAGTGCAGAATGCAAAACCGCACCACTTTGTTATTATTGGCGTGGGGATATCGGGACTGTATCTATACAACACGGAGATAGTGGAGATGACCGGTCGACGACGGTTCAACTGCGTCTCCCGCCACCAAGAGCTCAACATGGGCGAAGAGAGTTACCGGGAGGTCCTCAATGCCGAGCGTGGAAAGATCCTGCCCCATAACCATCCTCTTACTCGCATAGTTGATGGTGTGCTGCAGCGGTTGATCCCGCAAGTGGATATCGAGGGCGCTGATTGGAAGGTTCATGTTATCAAGGATGATGGAATGGTTAATGCTTTTGTGCTTCCTGGGTAGGTTTTAATGGATGTTTGGGTTCTATAGTTGTAGATATGGCTAACATTGTTTTGCTTCGCTTAGGGGAAAGGTATTCGTCTACACGGGTATATTGCCCATTTGCAAAGATGAGGATGGCTTGGCTGCTGTGCTGGGACATGAGATTGCTCACGTCGTGGCCCATCATCCCGCAGAGCGTATGAGCAACAGTTTCATTACACTAGGAGCTGTGTTCGCTATCTCTTTCTTGTTCGATGTCTCCGGGCAGTTTTCTTCTTTCCTTTTAAACCTCATGTATAGCTTGCCAAACTCGCGGACGCAAGAGGTATAATTGGTTTTTCTCTTTTATTCTATGTCACTTGGCTAATTTCTGTCTACAGGCTGAAGCAGACAATATCGGGCTAAGTATGAACCCTTGGAGTTAGGATCAACTTGCGATTGTGTCGCTAACGATTGTTTCCAGTGATGATGTCCAAAGCCTGTTTCAACCCTGAGGCTGCCGTCAAACTGTGAGTCGATATGACAAGTGATAGCGTCTTGGACTTTGCTGATAATTGCTAGATGGGCTCGCATGCATGAACAGGAGAAACAGGCCCCTCCACAGTTCATGTCCACTCACCCAACGGTAGGGTTAGAAAAGTTCCATACGTGGATGATAGCTAACTCATAGTAGAGTTACAACCGAATGGAAGCCATTCAAGGATGGTATGACCATTTCCCCTGCGTTGACTTATTGATTTGCTACTAATTCGACCATATAGGCTCGACAAGGCCGAAGCAACCTACGAGGAGAATGGGTGCAGCTCTGTTAAAGGATACAGTAAGAGTTTCTTCCTTCGTTTGATATACTAAGTAGCTAATAACTCTAGTGCCTGGTTTCCGAACTGCTTATAATTCGCAAGTCTCATATTTGAGATGATCAAGCATCCCAGTCAATAGTGCAATTGATGGTAACTGCACATGTGTATAATAGCATTGGTCGATGTATTAATTAACATGAGAGCATCTCCCATTACAGACCTCATGAAACATGAAGTAAAATCATATAAAACATATAAAGTATGAAGGATTATAAGATTGTAAAGTTGCTGATCTATAGCGAATGACGCCAAGCAACTGGGCAACTGGCTCCCCCCTCGTGCAAACCGAGCAAACCCACCACCGCAGCTCCAAAAATTGCCCGGCACAACAGCTCCATCCACTCCATCACATTCAACCTATTTGATATCCAGTCGCATCTTCTTCGGGCGCGACCTAATATTATGTCGCTATCAATTCCAGGTCCCTCCCAGGCGGGGCTCTTCAAGCCCGGGTACCAGAGGTGAGTTCGAAAAGTCGGGGAGCCCGAAAACCCACCGCAATAGGGACCTCCTTATCTGGCGCCCCTCCAAAAAAAAAGAAGTAAAGCAATTGACTGATCTGCGTTTCCTACCATATAGCCACGATGCTGAAGACGGAGCCGTTATCCGTAACATCGAAGCCTGCCAGGCTATCTCTGGAACCGTCCAGACCTCCCTGGGCCCCTATGGCCGCAACAAGATCGTCATCAACCACCTGCAAAAGATGATTCTGACCTCCGATGCGGCTACTATCCTTCGTGAGTTGGATGTTGTTCACCCCGCTGCTAAGCTACTTGTTATGGCGAGTCAGCAGCAGGATGCGGAGATGGGCGATGGTACCAACTTGGTTATTGTGTTGGCCGGTGAATTGTTGAAAAAGGCAGAGGAGTTGATCCGTATGGGCCTCAAGACGAGTGATATTGTTTCTGGATACGAGAAGGCTCAGAACTATGCCTTGAAGGTTCTAGAGGGTATGTTCCCCTCCCCTTCCAATGATGGTTTGTAGATATACAAGTGAGGAAATGTTTCTGACTTCGTCTAGACCTCGAGGTCGACAGACTCCAGGAAATACGATCGGCAACAGAATTGAGCAAGGCTCTCCGCACAGTGGTGGCTTCTAAGCAGTCCGGTACGGAAGATGCTTTGGCTGCGTTGGTTGCGGAGGCGGTTCTGGCTGTGTTGCCCAAGAACCCCGCTAACTTCAACGTCGACAACGTGCGAGTTGTTAAGATCATGGGTGGTAGCTTGGAACAGTCAAAGGTGGTGAAGGGTATGGTCTTCCCCCGGGAGCCCGATGGAACTATCAAGAAGGCCACCAAGGCCAAGGTCGGCGTTTTCAGTTGCCCCATCGATATCAGCCAGACCGAGACCAAGGGCACAGTTCTCCTGAAGAATGCTCAGGAGATGATGGACTTCACCTCAGGTGAGGAGGATCGTCTGGAGATTGCCATTAAGGAGCTCTACGATTCCGGCCTCCGTGTGGTCGTTGCCGGCTCCACTGTTGGCGACTTGGCCATGCACTACCTCAACCGTTTCAATATCCTCGTCATTAAGATTCTGTCTAAGTTCGAGCTCCGCCGCCTGTGCCGCGTTGTCGGCGCCACACCCCTGGCTCGTCTGGGTGCCCCCATGCCCGATGAGATGGGCCAGATCGATGTTGTCGAGACGACCGAGATTGGCGGTGACCGAGTGACCGTCTTCCGCCAGGAGGATGTTAACGCCATCACCCGCACAGCAACCATTGTCCTGCGCGGTGCCACCCAGAACCACTTGGAGGACGTCGAGCGTGCCATCGACGACGGCGTCAACGTTGTTAAGGCCATCACCAAGGACCCCCGTCTCGTGCCCGGTGCCGGTGCCACGGAGATCGAGCTCGTCGAGCGCATCTCCAACTTCGCCGACCGAACCCCCGGTCTGCCCCAGTACGCCATCCGCAAGTTCGCCGAGGCCTTCGAGGTCGTTCCCCGCACACTCGCCGAGTCTGCCGGTCTTGATGCCACCGAGGTTCTCTCGCGTCTGTACACCGCACACCACCGCGCCAGTGCTCCTGGCGAGTCATCTTCCGAGGAGGATGAGGAGGAGGGCTCGTCTGAAGAGGAGGAACCCTACTGGACTACGGGTGTGGACCTTGAGATTGGCGACTCCGATGGCACTCTGGACACTGTCGAGGAGGGTATTCTAGATCTTATGGCTACGAAGATGTCTGCGATCCGTCTGGCCAGTGAGGCTGCCCGGACGGTGCTGAGCGTCGACCAAATCATTGTCTCGAGACAGGCAGGAGGACCCAAGCCTCCGCAGGGTGGAGGTGATTGGGACCAGGACTAAATTTTTTTTAAAAAAAAAGGAGCGATGAGGGTCTGGATGCTGTTTGATAATATGAGGCCTATAGATCTTCGTACGATGATACGCTTTTTGAGAACCATTGTAAATTGGACTACCTTTCTCTTCCAGTACTTTTTCTTTGCTTTCTTCGTAGATACTCTCTACGGATATCTTCTACAATGAAAAGGAGATCAGAATTGAGTTGATCATACCTTCAGTGCTACGTCAGTGTTTGCCTGATAGATAGAGAAAATATGCCTGAGGCACTAAAGATCACGTGCCGCTCCCAGATTTTCCTCGAGTGTTTCCTTTCGGTCTTGATATCAACGAGCCGCGATTCCAATCCCCACCACTTTCCTCTAGTTTTCCTTTCTCTCGGGCTTCCCTCATTCTCACCTCCGTCATGTCCTTCTCCACCCAGGCCGCAGCCCGCTGCGCCAGACAGCTCTCCGGCTCCGTCCGCCCGTCCTCCCTGCGCATCGCGACCTCCGCTACATACCTCACAGCCCGTCGCACACCTAGCAGCCGGCGATGCGAATCCACCGAGGCAGCCCCTGCTGCTACCACCAACCCCAAGATTTCCCAAATTGTCGACCAGATCAGCACGTTGACGCTGCTCGAGACTGCCGACCTGGTGTCTAGCTTGAAGGTGGGTTTGACAATCTACACATATTCAATGGATCTCCAAACAGAACATGTGGACCTTGCATATATGTGTTTATATATATCGTCACTCTACTCAATTGAAGTATTTATCCGAACCATTGCTAATCAAAACGCCTGCACAGACCCGCCTGAACATCCCCGACCTTCCCGTTGGCGGCTTCGCCATGGCTGCTGGTGGTGCCCCCGGTGCCGCCGCCCCTGCTGCCGAGGAGGAGGAGGCTGCTCCCGCCGCTGCCGAGAAGACGCTGTTCAACCTGAAGCTCGAGTCGTTCGAGCCTACCTCCAAGCCCAAGGTCATCAAGGAGATCAAGACCATGCTCGGTCTGTCGCTGGTGGACAGCAAGAAGTTCGTCGAGGCCGTGCCCAAGGTCCTGAAGGAGTCTGTGCCCAAGGAGGAGGCGGAGAAGCTCATTGAGACGTTCAAGGCGCTCGGTGCCAAGGCGACTATGGAGTAAAAGCTGTGTTATTATTTAGGTACGGGGAGGGGATAGATTGGGAAGAGAGTCGGGGGAAAGATGTTGTCCATTTGGTCTTTTCCTCGCTTCTTCTTCTCTTTGATTCTTGCTTTTGAGAGATCTTGTTGAGCATTTATTGTGTTTGGCCTGGCAGATCAAGGCAAAATGTACATTATACGCATTGTGTTCTGAGACCGTCTGGTACAGAGGGCTCGTTTGGTTAATTGATGCATTTAGCATATCGATGCTATTCTATTACTTTTAAAATCAGTAAATATCTTCTTTAAATACTACATCGCCGTATAGTAAAGTTGATAGATCTCAATGTCAACTTGTTCGGAGTAGCTTCGCGGTGAAGTTCCCGATCCCCAGAACTTCAGAGAAATCTTCCCCCTCACCCAACCAACCCCCACGATCTTGCCTCTGCGCTCTTTTCCATGGCCAGACCATTGATTTCCCCGTTACAATGGCGTCAATTACATCAAGGTCTCTGTCCAAAAGCCCGCACATTGCGCCACAACGGTCTGCAAGCTTGCACCGCTCGAGCTGTCACCAATAGCAACACAACCCCATCGAAACGACCCTTCCACACTACTCAAACTCGGTCAGCTGCTAGGCCTCCTCGCCGATCACCATCTGTTCGAGAACAAGAGAGGAGGGGGGCAGAAGCGGTACCCGAGGATGTGTTGAAAGGCCCAAATGGATTGAACCTAGACCGTGATGGGTTTTGGAACCATTATTGTGTTGCGCATGTTGAACCAACATTGGCTGAGTTTAAGAAATTCACGCGCCAACTCTATGAGACTTACGGCTACATCTTACCGCCGGGTGTCAACATGGCGACATTTGGGTCTGTAGGTGAACAGTTAATCAGGCTGTCACACTCGCGGTTCCCTTCCGCAAGTCTTACACGGAGTATCTCAATAGGTGAGTTTCAATTTCAATTGAGTATATAGCGGAAGGCTATATATTGGGTGATTTGATACTAACTCTGCACCTCGTTATAGATGTCGACGCTGTTTATCGAATCGCGTTCGCTCTGAGACCCCTTTCAAAAGGCCCCTACATCTACCAATGGGCGTTGACCGGCTGCGCAAAAGCACATTCGCGCCGAGCCCTTGTGGATCTCGTGAACCGGTATATCAGCATCGAAGGCGTGGATATTTACCGGAACACCGAGCCCATAGCGCAGATCAAAGACTTGGCTCTCAAAGATGAATTCCCTCAAGCGATTATGCTATATGCCAAACTGCTCATCTGGCGTGGCGAGAAAGGACAGGCTGCCCGGCTCCTAGAGCAGAAGATTCTGCCATATCTGCAACCCGTTAGCAAACACCCTCCCCTTTGGGAGGATATAAAGTTATTGGACGACTTTGAATCGCCCTGGCGGATGTACGCTATTGCTGTCGAGAAGGAACAGGGTCTACAAGGCATCCTGAAGGCCACGCGACGAGCCGCCTTGGAGTTCCACGACCCGCTTGCCATGACTGACTATGCCATCTCCGTGTTGGAAACGGATGAACCTCACAAATACGAGGTGTACGAATCGTACATGGCCGCCGCTGCATTGGGGCAAAACCCTCTAGCCTGCTTTTACCTTGCCAATTTATATTACCGCATCTCCCAAGGCGAATTTACCACCGAAGCAGAGAGAGACGCCAAGAAGAGGGAGGAGGCCTATGCCGCGCGCCGCGGCTGGTTGAGACGCTTCGAACCTATAGAAAAGTGGGTTAATAATTTGTTCAACCAACCGCTCGATCGCAAGTCATACCGCATGCTTGCAATGGATTGGTATGAGCTTGCGTTTGATATGGGAAACAACGAGGCTGGGTATATTCTAGCCTTGCTCCTTCGCGAGGATAGCGAGATGGAGAAAAGCCGTGAGATGTACAACCTTACTGCTCAAAGGGGTCTTCCTACCTCGTTATCGAAGAAAGGCCTGAAACAAATGGAGGATAAGTGGGAAGACCAGACCTTCAACCCTGGTCTGCCTCCTAAGCTCTTGAGGCTTACTTAGGTGGTTTAGAGCTGTTGTGTTTATATCTTTTATATTTATGCTGTACATTTTTCTGCTTGTATCCCATTATGTATCATAGCAATGTTTCTTTTTTGGGCCTTTTTTTCGGCCTTGATACTTTTTCTTCTATATATCCCCCGCTCCCAAGCATGCATGTCTCATCTCGCCTATCCCATGTCAAACTGACAGAAGAGAAAAGCAAAAAGTTCAGAACTGTCCTTATGATTGAAGAAATGAATCAAACGCCATGTTTCATCCCCGAATCCATTTTCCTTGTGCCAAACCCGAGACAAAGCCATTCACAGACTCCAAACTGACAAACCCAGATATTCGAAGGATGATAATATCAACACAACAGAAGAAGACGAAAAAAGGGACCCCCCCCCCCAAAAATTGACAAGAGCCACCAATCACAATCAAAATCACTGCCTCTTCTTCCCCTTCCCCTTCCCATGCCCCCTCGTCTTCAACTCCACAAACCCAAGTTCCTTCAAACCCTCCGCAAGAATCGACGAATCCCTCATCCCGGGGAAATCCTTCGCAGGATACACCCGGAAGGGATCAGACCACGCCTCCGCGAGAATCGGCATCGACTGTCCCGTATCCTCCACAGAGCCCCAATTCATCAATCGAAACTGCAGCCTGTATAGGCCCGCAGAGCGGATCGAGAGATCCGCGAAGATGAAAAAGGTGGCTGGTTGGTGGAGGCGCGAGGCGGCGTGGTTGTAGACGTGGTCAGGGGGGTTGGAGAGATGAGAATCGGATATGGAGGATGGGTGTGCGGGAGCGGAGTTGGGGTCTGGGTCAGCATCGACGTAGAAGGGGGACATGAAGGCTTTGCCGGATAGTAATGGGGTTGAGAAGTTGTCGTCTGTGCGGGCGACGCCGTCAGTTTCTCTTTCTCTTTCCCTTTCTCGTTCTCGTTCGTGTTCTCGTTCTCGTTCTCTATCGCGATTTCGGTCCCGGTCTTGATCTCGCTCCTGATCGCGCTCGCGTGAATGTGTTTCTGTTGGTTCGGCAAATGGCAAAGAAGGTGAGACGGGGAATAGTAGACAGCCTACTGTGAAGCGGGGGTCTTGGAGGAGATCCCGGTCTTCTTGTGAGTTGGAGTCGAAGTCGGTCAGGAGGATCTGCACGATTGGGGGTGGGTCGACTGGGCGGCGGTCTCTGTCGCCTGCGCCGCAGGCTCGTGCGGCAATGGGTTGTTGTCGGATGTGGAGATGGTATCGGGATTGGGTGGATGGTCGTCGGGGTGGTGGAGGGGGTGATGGTGATTGTGGCTCCGGTTCAGGATGGAGGAGCTTGTCGAAGCCGTGTGGCATTCTGTAGTTCGCGTTTCGGGATTGTGGTTTCGGGTCTTGGTGAATGCTGGGTAGTATAGGATTGAATGCGTGGGTGGCTGCGCTTTTATCTGACCAGACGGGACTGGGCATGGCCGTAGAACTGCTGCTGTGTCTATATAAAAGTCCGTTGTCAGAATGTGGTTCTTTTTCTTGTTCGAATGTCTCCTCTGCATTGTGTAACCTGTCACAGATGTGACATGAGACGAGGGATTGTGTTCGAATTTCTCAAGCCGAAGACATCGCATCAGGACGGAGCACTGACAGATAGAGGCGGTTCAATCGACAGAAACGAAAAGAGAGGGACTTTACTGGGACTCCACGTCGTATGTCCAGCTCCGGTGACTCTCATAGTCACGAGCATGGCTCGAAGTTGGGTATGTTCTCTCATCGTATGGGTTGTAGTAACCGCGGGCATCAGAGCTTCCCGGATATTGGTGATAGGGTCGGAGAGGGAGCGTTTGGGGCGTAGGTTGTGTGTTCATGTAGGCATTGTCGGACGAGAGCATATATCGGGGATCTGTGCTTCTTTCGGGAACAACCAAGGCAGGTAGCCTTGGACCAAGGGGAGCCCCGTGCATAGGGCGCCCATAGCTCGTGCTCTGGGGTATGATCTGTCGAGGCTCATGTCGGTAAGGATATGGCATGGGTGTCGGGCCGCGGTGTTGCGTGCGGGGACCTGAATCGATGTATGGCCGTTCCGGTGTGGAATTCCCACATTGCTGTGGCGGTGGCCTCGCCATATATTGTTCGGGGACTTGCGCAAGTCCCAATAGGTGGTCCTTGTGTTATAATTCAGATATTGCCGTATTGGGGTTGGTTTCAAACGAGGCAGGTTGCAGACGAGGCATTGAATAAAACGCACAAAGCGGTCAGATAATCACGATCAGGACAGAGTCGATGTCCCAGATAGAATTATGTATCTTGGGGATGGGAAAGAAAAAAAAACATATCCGGTCAATGAAGGCATCTGATGCTCCACATGTGAAAGCAGGCAGTTAACAGCGACGCCTCATGACACTACTTCGGTATGATCTTTTTTTTCTTCGCCCTGTCGAATTGGCTCTATACTTCCCTCGGGGGGAATTCTTGGCCGATTTTCCTCAGAGATCGGAAAGGAAAAAAAAAAGAAGTAAAATTAAAAACACCCCTGTCCAGTTTCCCCGAGCTATCCAACCACACGAGGGCTGGAATATGACAGGGAGTGGGAATGGCGAAGGTCAACAGTATTGAATATAATGTCCTTGTTTTAGTCGAAACACTTCGATACCCTACGATTGGCGTATCCACCGATTATGAGAAAGGGAAGAGCCGGGGGGAACGGGGAACGGGCCGAGCGGGTTTTGCCACGAGAAGGGGAGACCAGAACTACCAAGTGGGTGTGGACATGGGAGTGTGGGCTGTGCCTCCATGGAAATGGTGCGTGAGCTAGATGAACTGGGCAGAAAATGGTTTCTGATCTCTCGGTCTCTCGAAAGACGGTCAGGCAATCAAATATAAGTGGAAGCTGTTCTGTATTGTGGAACTCGCGTGTATAACTGGTAAGCTTTTCTTGGGAAGGTGCGCTCTGAAGTATCTCGTGTTGCTGGCATACGGAGTGCAGGCCCGGTTTCGACCTATCGGCATAGTGCGAACGGGGCAAGAGAAAAAAGGACAAAGACCTTGTCGAATTGTGGCTTTTTGCGAACCGGTCTACGGGGGGGGTTGTGGGCCGCATACGACCAGAGGGGTTATCGTGTGTTTTGGCCTTCAGAATGTGTGGACAGCGTACGGAGTGTACGGTGTAACCGGCGTTTTAGCGAAAAACTCAGATCTCCGCTTTATAGAGTACAGAACAACAAATTTGCCGATTGCTGACCGACAAGCCTCCGGCGAGCTGGGAACCGACTGTTCAAATCCCAAGTGACTGGATCTGGAAGCTGCTGTGAGGCGTGGTGATTGGCGTTCAACCGTTGCTTGGCAATACTTCAGAAAAGGATCTGCCTCCCCCCCCAACAATGGGGAATTCGGAAGTATTCACTGGAACTCACCGTGATGGTGGGATGATCTTGGTAGGGACACGAGGTAGTCCTAGGGCGATATAGTTTCGAGGGTGGCAAGGAGTAAGCTTTTCGGAGGGAAACCGTATAAAACTGGCAAGTTCATCAGCTTTCCTGGGATTCAGAGTCAATTAACATCCCAGGACGCTCTTACCATTGCAACCCCTGCTCGTGGGTCTCTGAGTGGACTTTGACAGCAATTCCAATTAGAAATGGCCAATGGTATCTTGCTGTTCGATCGATCGGCGTGCAATTTCAGCGAAGACAAACGAACTAGTACTAAGATTAGACCTGTTCAAATGGGTCCAAGCGCTTGAGACAATTTATTGTCGGATCGGAGAAGTGTGCCTCTTGTCATATGTGGCACTTTGCTAATTCTGGGGGCCATTTTTGAAGATTTTGCAGCCCAATGTTGGAAGAGCGAGTCTGTCCAACGTGATTGGAAGTCCTTGAGCTGCAGATGCAGGTCGAGTCCGTCAAGGGTATTTGAGTTCTAACCTTGTCGGCAGTTCTATGTTGTAGGGACTCGCCATGAGTTCCACGTCTGTTCTCATGCGTCGACTTTGGACTAGAACTCACTTTTCCAGTTCTTGGTGCATGAGAATCGAATGCCTTATGATGCACGGAGTACTCCGTACTCCGTAGGATTGAAAACCCATGCAAGTCAAAGTTTTTCGGTATGCAACCCCACGTAGCAGTGTGGCTGCGTTGACTGTTCGTTGTAGTTCCCTACAAGACGACTGCCTGCTTGAGAGCCTTGCGGATATGCGGGTTGCTGCGTGCTGCAGGAGTGCAAGAATCCGGGTCTCCATATGTCCATCACCACACAACCGGCCTGAATAGGAAGAGATATTCGGAAAAACTACCATTCGTAGCCGGGAATATCCAAGATTCCGAAGGGCTTCGATACCAAATGGGTGGCGTCCCCCCATCCTTACCGACGACCTTGATATTGCAAATGGCGTGGGAGGCTTGACTCCGTATTTGTGGGGAAGACGCATCTCACTGCGTGTCACTGGTAGACCGATAACATTTCCGCGGACCCCCAAGGCAAGCCGAGTTAGGGATTCGGAATCCTAGTCAGCTGCCGATCAAAACTGTTGATTGGCAGTAGGTTCATGGGTTGGGACATGTTCACTGGATTTTAGATGAAAGAGCAGAATATAAAGCTTTCGTTCAAGAATATGGGAGTCATATTGGAGATGGAAGAGTAGCTGAAAAGGATATGCCTACAAAGTTGTGGTACATCTAGGTTCTGCCGAAGCACATCACTGCTCAGTCATATCAGTAGTCCATGATTCATCTCGTCCCAGCAATTTAATGATTTCATGGATATTTCACACGGGAGGAAACTCAACACTCTAAATCTTCACTTGGATCTACATCCAGATAGTAAGGACCCAAGCAATTCCGAGCATGAAGGCGACCAAATATTCGCTCGTTACGATTGCCTGGGAGTCCGAGATGCATCAAGGCACCAAGAGGGCCATCTGAGGGTGCTGGTCCGCAGTCAATGACCCCGTTGTTCTGCCCAACATAAAGCCCGAGGAGTTCCCCGTAATGACGGTCCCAAACCACGATGTAGCCTGATCGTTGCCATGGTTCGTCTGGGCCATACCGCATATCCATGGAGCCAAGTTGCATCAAATGTAAGTTGTCGATCCCCATTTGAGGAACTCCTTGAATGATGAAACGAGCCCGAATAAGGCCTAGGGTAGATGGCGTCATAGGCTCAGACAAATCATGCAGCGCCGGAATTTGGGAGTTAGAAAATTCAATCGGTGAGTGCTCTGGTACCCAGCGGAGTTCGAGGGATTCAAACTTGGAGCGAAGTTCATCAAGCCGTGCTACATTGCAATCAAGACGAGTGACGATCGTTTGGGGCTGTCCGCCGTGGTCATTCAACAGATCTGCGACCCTGCCCAGTGCAGCCGGAGACTTGGAGCAGCCATGAACCAGAAGTTCTGCATACAACTGTCCTCCATGGTCGGAGTCAACGGATTTGTTGTCGACTTTTGGTAAAAGTTGATCATCAAATGCTTCCCAGATTGATTCTGAGGGGTCCAAGGCCGTACTGAAATGCCTTTGGCTTTCAGGGCTCCATTGAACACCTGTCCTTCGATCCATGTCCTCAAGGCAAACCTCGAGTAGTTCGAGGTAGTCCTCTCCCCTCACTAGGTCAGGCAGCGCCTCGCCCACAACAGGGTCACTAAGGAGGGATCGAACATTGGAAAACTTCGCAATGAATGGTAGGTTATCACCACAATGTTGAGAGATATCTTCCAACCATTTCACTGCTATTTCAGACTGAACATTTCGGACTAGAGCCAGCACTACCTCATAGGCAGCAATGCAGCTTTGATAGTTTTCAGGCTGAATGTTCTTCAAGAAGTGAGACCAACATGTGTGAAGTACCTCATCACTCCCAAGCCTAGCAAGTAGGCAGATATAATACTGGGCTTCGTTTTCATAATTGAATCGGTCGCCAATTTGATCAGTTGGTTGCGTCCAGAACAAGGTATCATGCAACCTGCGTTTTTGTGTCACGAGTTCTCCTTCACCTGTGATCTCAGCAAGGATGGGATTGGTATCATAGTAGGGGTTTTCAAAAGCCTTGCAGTCGAGTGCTTCCGAACAAAACCGGATTATCTGCAAACTTGTTCGGAGATTTAGGGCTCGAATGCCCATATGGTGATGGCTATCCAAGAAGTGCCTTAAATCTGAAGGCGAAAGAGCATAAGATGCAAAGTACAGCGCTATAGCATACATCCTGGGATGGATAGGGAGCTGGAGACGTTTCAGTCTTGCAAACAAGTCATGTATCACCGTCAGGATTTCTGCTAATGTGTTGTTCCGTTGACAGCGTCGCAAAACGTCACGTAATTGGGAGCAATTACGAGACTGCAAGATCTCTGCTCCATGTCTGTCGTTGACGTATCTCTCGATAAGACTCCGTAAGGAAGAGACATCGGCCATTTCGCTATTGGGATCCCACAACAACTTCTCGGTTCCGCGATGTAAGCCCTTTGAGGGAGGTCCACAACGGGGAAGGTGGAGTGTTGAACTTCCATTCGGTGACAAATTGTCCATGGAGGTATCCAGATAAGACCTCGTTAGTATTTGAGTCATGAATTGGCTCAGTTGAATCTGTCAGGGCGAATCGAAGCAGTTCAGATGGTGATGGGTCACGGGGTCGTTTAATCGTTGCGGGATGGAGGCTGCGCATAAATTGCCGCGAGAGAACATTCCCAGTGCTAAGCTGTCGTCTTGGTTGCAGCAGCAGCAACCGAGTAGGCGGCCCTCCCATGTCGACTGGATTGAAGCTGATCTCCAGGAGAAGATGTGGAGAAGATAAAGGTCCGATAAGGACTGCCCAAGTCTGGGGTTTTGGCCAGCAGATCAAGGGCGGCGTGGAAGGCGGTGTGGGGCCGCATTCGCGCTTTTATTTCGTCAACCAGCTAACTACCACTTCTTATCAACCTAGCTACGAACAAAACACTTACCGCTTTCTATCCATAGCTGTCGTTGATCTATTGATCAACCCAAGGGAATTATGGTTCGAACCAGAAATGCGGATAAATCCGTGATGGACGAGGCGAGCCAAGAACCGCCCATTGAGCAACCAACCGAGAACACGAGCGAATCACCTGTCGCATCTTCCGAAAAGAAAGCCGAAACTCAACCAGATGTCACAAAGGATGACGGTGCATCCAAAGCGCGTGAGAGGATGAACAGGTTCAAAGCCTTGCAGGCTCGAGCTGTATGTGGTCCTCAAAAATGGCTTGCGCGGATCAATAGGCTTGGCCAGCCCAACCCCTCCACATAACTGACACAATATATAGAAATCCGCAACGGAGCGCAACTTAAAAGAGACTGCAGCCGAGTCCCAACGTCTGACTACCGACCCAGCCCTGCTGAATACGTTGTCCCGCAAGCATGCATTTGCCTCCCACAACCTCCTCAAAGCGGACACGGAAGCCGCAGGAGAAGATTTTGAACGCAAGCGGGCATGGGACTGGACGGTGGATGAATCGGAAAAGTGGGATAGGCGCATGGAGAAGAAGCAGCGTCACCGAGATGACGTGGCTTTCCAGGACTACACTCAAGATGCCCGGAAGATTTACAAGAGACAGTTGAGAGAGATGGCGCCGAATTTGGAGTCCTACGAGAAAGAGAAGCTTGCTGCGATCGAGAGAGCCGCGGCCAACGGCGATCTAGAGATTGTGGAGACCGAGGACGGTGAAATGATTGCAATCGATAAGAACGGTAGCTTCTATTCCACTGCGGACTCGACTGGCTTTACGGAGAGCAAACCAGATCGGGCTGCTGTTGACAGACTGGTCAATGATATCCAGAAGGCAGAGGAGGTGCGCCTGAAGAAACGCAAGGAGCGCCGTGGTGGTGATGATGACGCGGATGTGACATACATCAACGAGAAGAACAGGCAGTTCAACCAGAAACTCGCCCGTTTCTACAACAAGGTCAGTTTTCCATTGCTGTCCTTATGTGATCCTTTTACTAACATTTTTTATAGTACACCACCGAAATTCGGGACAGCTTCGAACGTGGCACCATGATTTAATCTGAATGTGAAATTCATTGCGATATTTTACACGTTTCGAGATATACAGCTGTACCTGGATAGGCACCAATCAACCAGCAGAGATTCCACGCGTTTTCCCCTCTGCCCCAAAAAATTTGTTTTACAAACATACAAGTCACTTGATCAGCCAACAGGCCTAAAGCATAGTCTTTCGCCAGGCTTTTGTTGCAAGTGCCTCAATCTGTTTTGTTCCGACTGCACCCTTGATGGACTCATCCTCCAATGCCTCGACCACCGCTTCCCCTACAACATCGGCTTTGAGGGGCTTTTCGGCCATAGTTCCGAGGAACCCAAGCTTATTCCCGAGGAAGGTATTGAACTCTGAGGCAACAAAGCCACCCATTGCAATTGGCAGCGTGAACTTCCGACTCGAGTCGTACATGAAGCCCGGGCGTATGAAGATGCTCCGTAGGTCCGGGAGGGTGGATGTGATAGTTGCCTCTGCTTCTCTTTTAGTACTGATGTACCTGGCCGGCAGAATCGGTGCCCCGGCCGCTGCAGAGATGTAAACGAAGGTCGGAACATGCTCATTAGTGGACTCCTGGGCTAGTGCAATTGCTAAATCACACATGTGTCAGCTTTCAAAACAGACTTTAGAACTCTTGGACGCACCTGAATCTCGGTTCATCAGCTCATAGGTCAGCTGCCCGTCTTTCTCCTTTGGCTCCAAAGCCTCGCCCTCTTGTCTTGTTAGAGGATTCTGGCTTCCAAGCTTAGATGTACTAAAAGCTCGTTGAAGGCCACTGAGAATTGGTTCTCTCCCTTGCACAACGCCCTTGTAGTCAGCTTCTAAGAGAATGCCCATTGAGTGGACAACAGCAGAGGCACCATGTAAATGTGGCTTGTAGCTCTCTGGTTTGAGGATATCGGCCTTGGCCCATTCCACGGAACCTGCCCAGCTAGGCCGTTCTCGAGAATCAGTGACTGCCTCCCACCGGGGCTCACCAGATCGACTAGACAAAGATCAGTATTGTTCCATAGATCCATACATAAGCGGGAAAGCTACCTTAATGACGTGACTGTCCATCCCCTTGCTGTTGCAGCTTTACAGATCCTGGATCCTGGAATAGCTAGTCAGTAAAATGATATTGATATTTCTGCACTGAATGGAAAACACAAACCCAAAAAACCGCTTCCTCCTGCGACAACTAGTCTTTTGGTCGGCATGCTGTAGCTTTGGGATAGCTCCGGAGAATGATATCACTAAGGAATCGGAACAATAGTCCAGGCTATTTAGGATCACAATTGAGATTTTAGAGCTGAGTTGAGGAAGTGAATATCATGCTCTTCAATAAGCAAAACAGTTCAATTGTTCAAGGTAATTGTCTCTTCACCAGGACTTTTGAAGTTTAGCGTTCGGCATCATTCGCCTTCTTGTCGGGCCACTTGAGCCCCAACGGATTATCCTTCTTCCGTTTCGCCCTTGCTCTGGGCAATCCGTGTTCATCGGTTCTACAATCTAACATCAACGTGCAAGATGGTATCTGCAACAGGAAACAAGCGTGTCAGGGTAAGATTCATGTCCCGGGAAATACTAAAATCAAACTAACACGCTCGCAGGGCGTCTCAGCCTTCCGACCATTTGGTATGTCCCGCAAAGAGCGCATTATCGTCAAGCGTCGCAAGCTAATAAACACAGTATTTGGCAGTGTAGCGCACCCCTTCGATCCCGATAATAAGCCCTCAGACTGTCCTCCAGACCACACTCACAGTTGGACGATATTCGTCAAGGGAGTCAACGGCGAGGACATCTCCTACTGGCTAAAGAAAGTCCAATTCAAGCTGCATGAGACATACGCCCAAAATGTCCGCGTGGTCGAGCAGCAGCCCTTCGAAGTTACGGAAACTGGCTGGGGTGAATTCGAAATCCAGATCAAGCTGTATTTTGTGCCTGAGTCAAATGAGAAGCCGCAGACCCTGTGGCACAGCCTAAAGCTACACCCTTACGGCCCTGATGCGGAGGGAATGAAAGAGCGTCGGGAGAGTGTGATCAGCCAGAACTACGAAGAGGTCATCTTCAATGAGCCAGTTGAGCCGTTCTACGAGATCCTCACTGGAGGCTTCGCTGGTGGTCAGGCTGGCAAGAGCAAGGGAAAGAATACCAAACAGATTGGGCAGAGGACGGCGGATATTCCCATGAGCGATACGCCCGGGAACCCATACAGTCGGACGACCGAGAGGAAAGAGCTTGATCGCATGGCCGAAGCCACTCAAACAGTTGAGCAGATGATCAAGGAAGAGAAGGAGCGTTTGATCGAGAGAGAGAAGTATCTGGCCGAGCTGCGAGAGAGTGAGGGTGTGCCCGCCAACACGAAGAAGCGGTGATTGCTCCAGACGCCCTTTTTAGCCGAGAACCTAGGCCATTGCTGCAGTATGGTAGGCTTTTGAGCACCCCGTCAGGATTTGCCTGACCAGCAACCCTCATCACCCCTGTCCAAACGTTCCTCAGTGCCGGGCCCCCCCTGAGTGGCTCTACTGCCCCCAACAGTCGAAGTTTATGTCTTTACGCCTCTGCCAATCGCCTTGCCACAAGATCCAGCCTCTCTGTTTCCACCGAATTCATCATGACGATTGCATTATGCCAGACACGACCAACAGGCTCGAATATCTGCGTCATCGCAGGTTTGTCCCTGGGACTCGCATGGGGTCCTTTCCTCTTATCTGCCAGGTGGGACGTTGCGGAGCATGCTTTAGGGGGATCTTGGGATTCTGTCCAAACCATATTCATACCAAGTTTGCAACAAGGTTGACTCCGGAATCGGCCACTTACATGGGAAAGGGAAAACCCTACAAGAATACAGTCCTATCGCCGTGGATGTACCTCCAGATCTCGGGATGTATCCTACTCTAGATCGTGATGCGATTCTTTGTTTAGGAAGGCCATTCTGAACCATAGTACTGGTGGCAACCAATCTCAATTTACAATACGAAAAGACAAATCTATATCACAATATGTTCGTTCAATCATCGCACGTCCATCTGAACACCTAGCACTTAGCATCTTGGACTGTATCTCTGGTCTTTTTCAGGAAGGGTATCAAATCCGTGCCCCCAGTCCCAGCAAGCTTAGTCTTCGTGCCTGCTTCCTTCGTTTGAGAGCTAGCCGTGGCTAGATTCATTCTACCTTTTCCCTGTTCAGTTGGATTAGGCTGTCTCGACGCCATGACAATGTATCGAGTGACCATCTGGATGTGTGTATCGCGGAAAGCCTTGAGCTCGTTCACAGCTGCGTTGTACGCATCCTTAGGCTGTTGAACCGGCGACTCCAGTATAAACGGACGAACACTAGCTCGAGCAGATAGTTCATCAAGGAAGCGCCTATGCGGACCAGGCATATAGTCTCGCATTTGCTGTCGTTGGCGTTAATACTTGGGTGAAACATGTCTGAGACAATATCCCGTGATGTTCTTACCTGAATAAAACTCGGACCACCAGTCTGCTTCCCATCCGTCGCAAAGTGCTTAATACCAAGGAAAATATCAAGTGCTTGGATCAGCGAGCTCTGTGCATTACTTCCACCATTCAACTGGAGCCAATTCTCTGATCTTTCCACCCCATCACTATCACCGACGTCATAGTACACACCCCTGGGAAGACCAGCATGACCCATATTCTTGCTGCCAGCCAGGAACGGCCGAAGCTGGTGGAAGAAGACAGCCGGATTGTTGTGCTCGTACATTCTTTTTAGAGTCAATGTCAGGTCGCATAAACCATCGGCAAACCTGTACAAGAGGGCAGTGAGAAGGTCTACATCGTTGGCAGCAACTGCCTTAAAAGCGTCCCCTCATCAGCGAGATGAGTTTGATGCCCTTGGCTTCAACGGCGACGGAGATCACCATGAACCATTCCTCGTCTTTCGTGCCGGTGAACGAGGTCTGAACATGGAGGTTATCCGGGTCTGTGATGTCTGCTTCTGGGTGGGAAGGTATGAAGTTCCATAATGTGAGGCCGGCGTAAGTGGCGCAGGCGGGAAGCTCAAGGTGTGCTGATATTTCAAGGAAGGGCTTTGAGATTGAGGGGGGAAGCCTCTGTTGTCTGGATGGTTAATGGGGATTTCTTTGAACGGAAAGGAACCTTGGAAAGGGTGACTGGGTGCTTACGTCTTTTGGGGTCTCTCCTCCCCAGATATAGGCATGAGCGAAATATCCCATAATAACACATGCTCGTCGCCATTCTGGTTCTGTTTGAAGATTCTCAGTCGTGTATACGGGCATATTGTCGATTTTCTCGCGGATTTGGTTTGTTTGGATGAGGTTCGGGAGTTGGCTGGCTATATCCTCCCAAATCTCGTAATAGGGGTTTGAGATTCTGGCCAGCGGAAGGCCATCTGGGAGGAAGCCCTGCTCAGCATAACATTCGAAGAGATCATTGATAACAGCATCTGTTGATTGCAACATTGTGGATTAATGGTGTAGGAGGTTCCGTTCGAGAGGGAGAACACGGCAGACGTGGTATAATGGTATAAACAAAGACAAAGGGGAACGACGAACGACTGCCTTTTAGGTTTATAGTGCGAGGAATAGTCTTAGTACTATATGGTCTCAATATTGAAATATCTTCCTGCATCGGCTTGCCTCGGGGTCATTTACTCAAAATATCTATACAACCCGGAAGCTATCCGGATCTATATCCGTCTTCCGCCTCTTGAGATACATCAACCGTCTCTACTGGATCGGCTTAGTTCTACCCACGAAGGATATAGAAAATGTTTTGACACATAGACTAAGTCTCCTGTCAAGTAAGAATACTCAAACAGGAAATAACTCCTTTTTGAGTTTGAGGATGTGATCAAAGGCCTCGAAAGACTCGGGGATGATAGTCAATCCAACAAAGAATCTTGGGTTATTTTGCTAATCAGAGTAGTTTGATTGCTTTTCTTTGCTAGCTGACCTGCATAGAAGGCAAACCATTTGCAAATATTCATGCATTATGATGCATGTAATGCATACCTAGGTAGTTAATAGCCTATGAGAAAGGGATTTATATATTACGTTATACTCTGTATAACATCAGCTTAGTAGAATCCATCCATGGATGGATATAAGTTATTAAGTCTAATATGATGTAACGATAGGCTTTATACGGATGTGATGAGAGACGGATCGGGGAGACGGAAGCGGAACGACATCCGGGTTGACTACAGTTGCAGCTGTCCCCTCGTCTCCGATTCGGCGAGGAATTATAAAAATCAATTGCATTTCCGTTTTGTTCGTTCCCACTCATTCTTGGTTATAACTCAAATTCTCCTGGACTTGACTTACTACAATATATTCGAATTCACAGCATTTATAGATATGACGGGTACCGGAGCTTCTAAGCCAGTCTTCCCTACAGAGGCAGCATCACAAGATTATGCCGCCTCTCTGGATGCAGCGGATCCTCTGCGTGAATTCCGCGACCAATTTATCATCCCTTCCAAGGCGAACCTTGCCACAAAGAAGCTGGCAAAGCCTGGTGAGAACTATATCCCAGCGGGGACACCAAATATAGTTTGATCATTGCTAACAACGTTATGGTAGGTCTCTCGTCAGAGCCAAGCACGTACTTTTGTGGTAACTCATTGGGCATCCAGCCCAAGGCCGTGTCCAAGTACATGGAGGCTCAGTTGGATACTTGGTCGTCCATCGGTGTCTGTGGACACTTCACCGATCTTGAAGATTCGCCATTGAAACAATGGCAGCTACTGTCTGAACAGGCCGCTGCTTCAATGTCCCGCATTGTTGGGGCCGCGCCTGAGGAGGTCGCAGCCATGGGAACGTTGACTATGAATCTCCACCTGTTGCTTGCAAGCTTCTACAAGCCGACTGAGACCAAGCGGAAGATTCTCATGGATTGGAAGGCATTCCCCAGTGATCATGTGAGTGACAACCTACAATGGAAGTGGTCCTTTCAGGATTAGCATTGGAATAACCTGCTGCCCCAATTACCCATTACTAACGTGTTTATAGTATGCAATCGAATCACACATTGCCTGGCATGACCTAGATTCAAAGGAGAACATGATTCTCATTGGCCCAGATGAGGGACAATACGAAATCTCAACAGAGAAAATCCTGTCCTATATTGACGAGCATGCTGAAACCGCAGCGTTGCTTCTTCTGCCCGGTATCCAATACTACACCGGACAGCTATTTGACATCCCCACAATCACCAAGTATGCCCAATCAAAGAATCTCGTTGTTGGATGGGATTTGGCACACGCATATGGAAATGTGGAGCTGAAGATGCACGACTGGAACGTCGACTTTGCAGCTTGGTGCACGTATAAGTACGGCAATGCCGGGCCCGGCGCAATGGGTGGTCTTTTCGTGCACGAGAGACATGGTCAGGTTGACTATAGCGCGGGACCAGATGCTCCCCAGTTCCGTCACCGCTTGACAGGATGGTATGGTGGTGATCGGTCGGTGAGATTTAAGATGGACAACAGTTAGTTTCTTCCTATTTGTATCTCGCAATGCGTCTTCTAAGCATATGCTAACCAATTAACAGAGTTCAAGCCTATTCCCGGAGCTGGAGGCTTCCAGGTCTCCAACCCCTCAGTCATTGATCTGACCTGTCTTTGTGCGGCTTTGTCCGTCTTCGATCAGACCTCCATGGCCGACTTGCGCCAAAAGTCACTGAAATTGACGGCGTATCTGGAGTTCCTGCTTCTGAAGGATACCGACGAGGAGACTCGTCTGTATGATATTATCACTCCATCAGATCCCAATGCTCGCGGTGCTCAACTGAGTGTTTTGCTCAAGCCTGGCTTGCTGCACAAGGTATCCGAACGCCTACAGAATGCGGGTATCATCTGTGACAAGCGGGAGCCGGGCGTTGTCCGCGTGGCGCCAGTGCCGTTGTACAACACATTCTCTGAAGTGTTCAACTTTGTCAATGAATTCAAGGCCGCTTTGGCCTCTGAGTAGTTGGTAAATAATTTTATGACGAATGTGGATAAACGTCGAGTATGATAATGCAATGCACTATAAATAATATGCCGTGGACCTTCCGTAACTATTCAACCTCAGGATTGAAGACAAGATAGATATACATAACAGTTGAAGCCTGCTGGGGCAAGCCCTTAGAAATTCCCAACACTTTCCCAGTTATCTCCACTGCGCAAGAACTCTTGGCCCTGAGAAAAGAAATTGGTAGCAAGAATAGAGAACTCATCATTAGACATCGTCAAATGTTGCGGCGAGAGCAAAGAGCTTGCTGGGTAGTCCTGGCTAGGAAAGGCGGTGTTGGCACTGTACGATTGAGACCGAAGATTTGGTGTATCTTGTTCCTGGACAGTTAACCGGAACGGCGGAGGCAAAGGAGACGTCTGAGATACTTCTGCGCCTGCAGAAGACGAACCGGCATATATCGACTCTCCGAATAGGCGCCGAGCAGAGTCTGTATCGCTGTTGGACGAGTATTCGAGGATTTCCCAGAATCGGGACAGGTCGATTAAGAGGCTTTGGTTTTGCGCGCCTGGGTCTGACTGGTATGTTGCGGAGACTGCATCTTCTAGTCTCTGCAATCTATGAGCCTGTTGACACGACAAATGAAGTGTTAGATTGTTGATTTAACCCACAGGGGATCCGAGGAGATGGAGGTTCATACCAGTCGAGCCATGTGCGGCCACGTTTCTCCCTATGCCTTGCACAAACTTGACACACTTGGCGAATCTTTCACGCTTATGTTCTCTGATAGTCAAATCATCTGTGAAACTGAGTTGCAGCTCGATTGTAGCGACAACGGCGGCGCTGTAGCCTAATAGCGGATCTGATACTAGAAAAGCCTTCTCCTCAAAGCAGTCGATAAAGTGGATGATCCAGGTTGTATGCGAGGAGATCAAGTCCGAGGTGTGCTGTAAAAAGATCTCTGGGATAGTGCTGCGGAAATTCCGAAGGCTGAGCGAGAGAAGCAGCGGATGATTGAGTAGACACAGGCTGGTATGATACATGAATTGATTCAGAAACCACGGGCCCCAGTATTCACGATGTGCCTGCAATTCCTCGAGAGAGCGTTCACCGAGGTTGGCTGGCTTGAACCGATGAAGATACGGCATGCGAGTCTCGAGGTCCATTTGTAAAGCGAGAATTTTCGAGTATTCGGAATGAGGAGACCATGGTGGGACATTGCTTGGGCGTCCGTGAAGGCGCACGTATCGCGCCGTCCTTGCGAACACCTCGCTCAGCATTACCACATAAGCAATTATTCCTTCGTCTTGCATGTCACTTCGCCGGATTTCGACGGTTGATGGCCCCGGAGAGAGAAAGCGTGCTGGTCGTGCTGGGCTTTGGGGATATGGAGGGCCTCCAGCTTGGGGTATGTCCAGGATTGGGAAGTCGCCGCCATGTAGTCGTTTGAGAAGACATATACTCCAGAAGCAGCGTCTGCGTTCTTCGCGGACTATAGTGCTGGTTGATGAGCGGGGCTCTTGTCCGAGATTGGCACATTGTGCAAGGTTCATTGCCAAGCTGCTGTGGATGCTGGACCTATGTGTATTACCGTCTGGTAGATATTGTTAGCTCGAGTTTAGATGTTGGAAAGATGTTGGAAATGCTGGGCCCGTACTGGTGAAATCAACCAAGCTCAAAATACAGAGACTTTGGAGGGTCGAAAGCTCCACTGGCCCTTCTGAGACTCTTTTCATAACGAGGCCCCGAGCAACCTCAGCATAGCCATTTATCAGGCTAGTGGAATCGGCCCTGCTATGGTAAGCGTATGAGAAACGAAAGGCGAGTGCCAATATAGCAAAAAGGAGCTCTGTTTCACGCGTTTGTAGACTGGAGAGAAAGCTATCCCTGTAGAAAAGAGGCAAAGGCTGAGAGTCACAGTATAGCAAATATAACTCTGCAACGGGGATAATCTCCTCCCACGGTGGCAGGGGAGTAGATGAACTCGGCATTGACAATGCCACAGATGGAACAAGAGATTCGGTGGGTATTTGCGGCTCACTCCTCGAGCTGTAGCATGTTTCTATGAGTAAGTGGTTGCTCAAATAGGGATCATGTATGGTCCTTACCCAAGTACATCCAGAACCTTTCCCACTTTGCTTTCAAGGCTTCGTAACCTATCTTCCTGTGGTGGGATTAGTATTTGAAGAAGAACTCTTCGAGCTTGCATTGAGAGTTAAAGATACTTACCAGAACATGGGATGTCCCAGGGTCTGAATCACTGAGCCTTGGATTCATCTCGGGAAGTGGCCGACGCCTTTCATCAGCGTATAGACATTGTTGCCGTAGCCGGGCACACAGAGAACAGACCGGCTGCTCTCCCGGGCATTTAGCTTTTTTACGCCTGAGGAGTTGGTTAATTGGCTATCTCTTTGTACAACCCGATCGGCATAGTACCTGCAAGGCTCACAAGCCTGACGAACCCGCTTGGCAGGTCTCTCTGAATAGTTGAAGCTCTCGTCTTCCATTGTTATATTCGCAATATTCAATGCTCCCAATGAACAGTCATCATAGGAGTATGCTATCTCGTATTTTTCGGACCCCAATTGACAAATTATATCGAGGTAGGGGTATACTCAGTGCATGCCCTTGCTTCAAGGGATACACAGATTGGAACGAGCAAAGCCGTTGTACATTTTGGCGTAGAGACGGAAGTAAAGCCGTGAAATTGGCCAGTGGACCGCGTCCGATATGAAATGGCTGAGTAATCACTTGTGAAGTCCCGCGGGTGCAGCGAGCGGTTGGCCCCGGGACCCGGGCGTGGACTCGCGCGCGGGGCGCCTGGGCTCCGGGCCTTGAATTCTGTTCTGCGATACCCATAGACCTCTTGGGCACGTTCACGTCCAGCCTCATCCATCATTAGCTTTCCTTGCGCTCAGTTGGTTCCATATATGCCCTGAACGGATTTTATTGAATGCCCTCGTGTTCCTAACCATGAGAGATACATACATGGATGTATCTTTTAGTCTCATCTTGAAATTCTACGACCTCAATCCCCAAGACCAACACAGTTATACGAGCTCTAGATGTGCAAATGAAGGCACTCATTTGAAACTGAAACTATGAACCTTCCCAAGGCTGTGCTGAGTGTTGTGACTGCTATATCCGAACCTTTCGTAGTTCCCCAAGCATGTCATAAGAGTATCGAACAATCGGACGTACGCACTACGTATGGCTACGACAGACGTTATATTACAAGGTTCTTTAGAAGAGGATCGTCCGTCTCCTGCGTATGCCTCCTTGGAATAGCCCAGGCAAGTCATGAGTCATCCATGTCGACCTTCCCGAGGTCGCCATATACCTATCTCTCCATTGCCGTGTACAGGTATAGGCGAGCAATACTGTGCTTAATGCGTAGACAGTTGTTACTGCCACCTGAATGTCTAGCAGGACCGATAAAGGCCAAGATAGCTCGGCTTCCGCTTGTTGCGGGTCATAGCGCAACCATCTCCATTCTATCAAAAACAGTACCACCCAATGTGGGTTAAGTGGTTTGAACGACTGCTGTTCCGTGAGACCAGGGAAACGATATATGGCAGCATCTCTTGGATTGGCGCTTGAATTGATCATATGTACAGCTCCAAATCTGCGTGGCTGCCAACCCATCTAACCCCTCCCCGGAGTAGAAGTACACCATACAAAAAACAATTGATGCCGCAGCTGAATAACCGACGGAACTGGAAATGGCATCATTTATCTTTGCCAGACTAAGACTTAAGACCTATAATTTAGATCCAAGTCTTGTGGCCCTGTAAAGAAGTCAGCATGTGAACGTACCAAATCGGTTACTCGTGCTTCTTGTCGGAAGATGAGAGGTGGAGGGTTGGGTAAAACTCACGAGAACCATGCGGCACATGGCATAGGTGGTAGCTATTGTCGATTAGTTTTCTATCCTCAACCGGATCTCGTATCGGAAGACGGGTTTACTCACCAGCACCGAGGCCGTAGACCGAGATGAGGTAGGGGTACATGAGGTAGCCGGAGCGGGAGGTCTGCGAGCCAATTCCAATGTCAGTCTCTTGTTCTTTGCGAAGCTCAATTGAGAGTATATGTGCCCCTTCCGGAGGTACTGACCTTCCACCATTGGCGCTTGCCATCGTGGTTCTGGAAGAGACGCTGGTAGTAGGGCACACGGTTCTCACGGAACACGAAGCTAAACAGAGTCAATCAGTCAGTATAACTTGCAATTATATGGCGGGATAGCGGGCCCCGCAGCCGCGTCTATCGCAATTGGACTCCGAAGATCGCGGGAGGAAATTCGATGGTCGCACTCTCAAGATCGGGTTTGTGCGCGGGGTGTTTATGCAGCGATTCGAAGGGAGGACGTACCCAGCCATGCGGGAGCTAGTAGCACGGAACATTTTCGCGGTTGGAAGCGAAGAAGGAGCGGGGATGTGAGGTACGACGTGGGCAAGATGGGGATGTGAAGTTGATCCCGGAATGAGCTGGATATCGTGTCACGTGTTGAGCATCACCTGATCGAATCAGACGTTGTATCTGGTCATCATCCCAAAAGGGAAAAGCGCCAGAAAAGTGCCCGGACGCGTATCAACTTTTGAATACTCGGCAACGAATCTTTTGGATTGACGTCGGGAGCTTGAAGAAGGATGTTTGGCGTCGAGAATTTGCTTTCCCGACCTTCCTTCCTTAACCACTCATGCGCCCGGCGCTTCTGCGACTGTTGAAGAGGCCGTCCGCCGTCTCGATTCTCGACACCCTCACAGCTACACCCATCGGGATTGAGCAATTGGAGTCCAGATACAAGTGTCTACGATGTCATTCGGGCAGCGGCAAACAAGAACCGCTCGAGAAACCCGACAATAGGCCGACCCGGCATCAGCTTGAGGATTCATGCCGAGCGAAACGGCCATTCAGCTTCCCCATCTACGACCTTGAGGCCTCGAACGAATCAAATACCTTTGCGCCCACACTTGTGGAGAACCAAACACATAATAACACGACACAATGCCCTATCAGACTTCTATCTCTCCGACCGGACAAGCTTGAATTCGAATCGGATGTCGGACACCTCAACAACATTGGAACGCGATTAGTGGACAATCCGGAGCATCGAAATAATCTCGATCTGTGGGAGGAGCTTCTTCGATACCGTCAGCGCCATTACGGCGACAATGGCACACTAGAAATATGGGAAGGGTTGAGGGTCCGAGTGGATGGTGTACGGCTTCCAGTTGCAGGAGGGCAAGCGGACTTCTTTTGGCAGAACTTTGTGGACATGGGATTGAGACGAGAACTTTTTCTCAAGGAGGTTATTGACTATGCTGTCATTCTACGTGAGCAGCAAGGCAACGGATGGCCACAGTTGTATGAGCGTGTGGTCGGTGGACTTCTTGACCAAGGCTTGACGAAACGTGCGGTCGAATGGCACAAGAAGCTTCAAAGTTCTCATTTAGCCAGCGCAAACGATGTGCTGAAAATTCTTCCCTCGGCGATCCGTTCCTCGTCTCTTCCGGCTGGCACGGAATTTGCGACTTCGGCTGATCTCCAGCGGTCGTCCTTGTCGCCGGGATTGCAGGCATTCCAAGCCATATGCTCCACGACACCCGACCATAACTTTTATGGCCCTGTCATTGCGATGCTCATGCAGCAAGGCCACGGCGAGGCGGCGATCTCAATGCATCATTTCCTTGCTCGACGTCAGGATCACCCACAGAGCCCCGACGAGATACAACCATTGCTGGAATATGTTGAGAAATTTGGGCTGCGGAAAGAGTTCAATCGGCTCCGTGGCTATGTCAAAAAACGGTTTGATACCGAAGCTTCGATTGATCAACCTGGCCCAATAGATACAGCCCCGAAATCCGAGGAGAAGGGGTCGCAAGACGAAAAACCCTTCAAGGACGACATTGGTGCTAAGCTGTTTGCTACTCGCGCTCTCAATTTCGATATGATTGTTGGCGGCCTGAAGATGCTCGGTGTATCAGAGATCGGTCACCGGACGTTGCGCGAACTAGCCACGAGAGCTCACGGCAACCAAGATCTCCTGGACAAGCTTAAAATACTTAAGCAGTCCGGCATTTCTATAGGAAGCACTGTATTCTCGCGCTTGATTCAAAAACTTGCCTCCCAAAACCGCGACATCCTTCTCTCCGACTTCCTCCGCAGCGATCAGCATCCTGACATTCTCGAAGACAAGCGTATGCAGGAGTCAATGTTGGTATCTTACTACATGGCCCGGGATTGGCGACTGTATAATATGACTCTAGCGGTGTTGACGGAACTATACCCGGGCGCACCAGACCTCTACGACATCCACTTTCGAAAGCATATCGCGGCCTGGGAATTGAACGCGGCATCTAAGGTCGCCGACGAGCTAGCCCTCCGTGGGCGGACGTTGGGCGAAGACAGCGTGGATTTCATGGCCGAGCAGATTCTCACCCCTCGGCGAATGAACCATCGCCCGCCGCCGGGCCAACGCCTGTCCGCCGTCGACGAAGTGATGTTCATCTTCAAGGTTCTAAAGCGTGTGGTTCCCGCCGGAGGGTATGTTAGTGCTGCATTCTGGGTTGAGATGCTCAAGCGTCTTGGCATGGCAGATGCGTGGGCAGACTGGGATAAACTCCGAGATTGCTGCCAGTGGCTCGTCCGACAATACGCTGAAAGCCGTGACCAAAAGCCTGGGGTGAATTTTGCACCCGCGAAACCGTCCCTTGATCCCACCAAGCAGGCCAACGGTCGCGATCGGCGGATGCTCGATCTGGTCTTTACCCCACAAATGCAAGCGGCCATCGTCTCCTGGGGCTTCATGTTCCGAGTATTGGACACCACCGCATCTAAATTTACCGTCGCCCCGCCCAACTCCCGAACGGATGAAAAACTCATTCCATGGGTACGGGGGCTGATTCTACTTCGAGAGCTGGAACAGTCCGGTCTTCGTCTTGACAAGCGATTGATCTCACAGGCAGTTCGCCACCGGCTGGCCATGCTTTACAGCCACCATGTTTTGTCAGCGCGGCGCATGAACCGCATGCTGCGGCGGCGGAACCCGTATTCCCTACAGCAAGTGTTGAACGATGTGTTCCAGGCCTGGGGCGATCCATCTCTCTTTGATGGGATGGAACAGAACTTGGAGCAGCTGGTGAACCCGCCACGAGCGAGTAGAACGAAGCGACGTGCTCCTGGTATACGTTTGTCGCTTAAAGGACTATGATACTTGCGTCCCATGTATATTAGCAAATGTGTAAATAATTGATTACAATACCCATATTATTCGAGAATCGTACGCGTATGACCCGCAGTTGAGACATTGATCGTCAAAGGAACAATAAAGAGTCCATCAGTAAAATCGGATTATAATAGTTATGCCTAAAAATCACTGGGCTATGTCACAAATAAAAGAGGTCGATTGGTGTAAATGGCCCAATGGCAGTGCAATTGTCGATCCACCGATCTAAGAATAGTTGAGAGGGCAACGCGGCCTTGTAAACATTCTGTTTATTTGACTCCTTTTCTTCTTCATCATTTTATATTCGATTCAAATCATACTGTTACATCTCATACATCATTTGTGTACAGTTATGCGGGTATTCAATTTCCTGGCACTGTTGCCTGTTGTCCTTGCGAACCCTTTGACCCAAACGAAGCGTACGACAGCATGCAACAACTCTCCTGATCTTTGCTCCAAGTCCTATGGAGAAATTACACATCTCGGTGCCCATGACAGTCCCTTCGTGCGTGATGGTGATAGTGGCAACTCGATAGCTGCCAACCAGTACTACGACACTCCAACGCAACTATCAGCCGGCGTCCGATTAGTAACAGCCCAAGTCCACAAGAGCAACTCACAATGGCGCCTATGCCATTCTAGCTGCGACCTACTCGATGCAGGGTTGCTGAGCGATTGGCTGAAGGATATCAAGACATGGCTGGATGATAATCCAAACGAGGGTGAGTTAGTTCCGCGATGATGTTTAGAGAGGAAACTAACACTCCGACCAAAATAGTCGTGACTATCCTCCTAGTCAACTCCGACGGCGCCACAGCCTCCGAACTCAACACCGAATTCACCACAGCCAAGATCACCGACTATGCCTACAAGCCCACCTCCCCAGGCACCGCCCCAACAACCTGGCCAACCCTCCAGAGCATGATCGACGACGGCAAGCGACTCGTCGTCTTCGTGGCCTCCCTAGAGACCAGCACCAGCTACCCCTACCTACTGGACGAATGGAGCTACGTCTGGGAGAACCCCTACGACGTAACCTCCGCGTCGAACTTCACATGCGAGCCAGACCGACCGTCAACATACAAAGGCAACAGCGCATCCGCACTAGCAGCCAACCTCCTCCCGCTGATGAACCACTTCCTGTACTCGAGCAACCTTGCTATCCTGGACGTTGAGTACCCGAACTCCAGCTACGTGGGGACGACGAACGCCGCGTCTGGCGGAACGGGTAACCTGGGCACTGCGGCGACAGACTGCAAGGAGGCGTGGAATGGACGACAGCCGACGTATATCATGGTGGACTTCTTCAACCGCGGACCAGCGATTGATACCGTCGATAACTTGAATAATGTTACCAATCCGGTTGGTCGCAAGTCTGTCTCGGCTTCGGATGCGACTAGTGCTGCCTCGTCGACGAGTAATGTGTTCAAGGCGCTGGTTGAGCTGGCGGAATCGGCTAGGTCGGGCACGTCGGTGTCTATGGGGAATTGGATTTGGACTGGTGGGAACTGGGGGAATCTTCTCGGTGGGGGGGGTTTCCTTCTGAGCTGAGTGGTTTGACCTCGGTTTCTGTTGTTTTTGCTTTTTCTATTTGGAGCGTTTTGACGTCGTTTCTTGGATACCTTTTTGAGTCCTGTGATATGGGCTGTGCCCTGGCTGGACAGTGCATAGCACATGGGTATAGGGGTGTTTACATGCAAGGGCAAGGCGTTTGGGATTGGGAATTGGGATGGGATGGCGGGTTTCAGCATTTTCCCAAAGGTCATATAGTCATGGTCTCTACGAATGGAACGATTCAAAAAGTCAATTGCCTGTGTTTTCGATTTGCGGAGTTCAACTCTTATTTTCCCAATATCTGCTGCACCTTGGCCACCTTATCCTCGAACGATTGCACTTTGTCAGTCCTAATAAAGACAATTAGCAAGAGAAATGGATTACGCAGGATAAGATGAGCAAGGAGCATAGCACAGAAAAAAAGCAAACTCACCTCGTTCCAATCCCGAACGTCAGTATGGATACGAACAACTCCCTTCTGATGGAGAATTGTATGCGCCTGTCCGATAACCTGATGAACCCGGTCCCACGATCCTTCTACATAAGCAGAAAAGAGTCAGTAAATATATAAATAGCGTCACACAGGCCTGTCAGCTCTCAGCTCTCGGCTCTCAGAGCTCCCCTCTCTTTCCTGTGATTTCAGTTCCAGCTGCAGACAGAGACAGCCCACAGTTGGTGGAGATGAGATGAAAAAGTACAATTTCCACATAGGAGCTGGAACTGGAACTGGAACTGGAACTGTGAAGGTGGCCAAGGTAATACTATAATACTATACTACTACATAGTGTAGTATGTATTATAGCCTCGAGACACTCCATACGTACCGAGGGTTGTGCCTGCGGAATGCATGACATATTTCAAGCCGCACGTTTCAATCATCCGATGGACGTCAGCGACTTGGTCTGAGACCGAGGGCGAAGAGGTGCCCATCTGGGGTTATGTTAGTGAGGAGAACGTGAGTCTACATTTAGAGATGCTTACGGGGACTAGACAGAAATCGGCGACACAGTGGTCGGGGGTTGCAATGTTAGACATGTTGATTATTGATTTAATGGTGAGATGGTGAGATGGTGGGGTAAAGATGGATAGGAGATGGAGATAAAGATGGAGGAGAAGATATAAAGAGAGGATGTGGTCAGTGTGACCATATCCGGCTGAAGGACATTTACGACATCTTGACTCATTTCCATTTTTATTTCTATTTCCATATTTAGTAGGCATTTCTATTTCTATTTCTATTTCTATTTCTATTCATTTTTACATATTTACTAAATATTTAGCCCTCGAGCCCTCGAGCCTCTTTACATATCACATCTGCACAGTCTGCATCTCTGAGATATCTTGCTGACCGCCATTGCCCATAAATACAGCTTCATGGGCCTTTTTCCCTCTAACCTTTAGCATTTCCCTAACTTCATGGAGTTCTTCCATTCCATGACTCCATGATTCCATGGTTCCTTGTTCCCTCTCAAGACTCTTATGACTTCCATCCATGGATTGATATGATCGACGGGATAGTACGCCACACTGGGTTCTTATCGATTCCCCACAACTAAACCTTTGGGATTTTTGAATGTCGGGCTTCTTTGTCCGGCTTCTCCGTTCTGTCTTGAAATCTTTTTTTATTTTTTTTTTTCGGTCCGTGAAGAGCTTTGTCTGTGTTCTCTTGATTTCACACTTTCGAAGCTGATTGGATATCCCAGCCTTGGAAGATCGATCCGGTTAAACTTGGTTGAGCCCCTTGGGATCGGGTTAAGCCTATCACCACTGGGATGCATATGCATATCATCTGAAGTGGATTGTTTCAAACACATCTCTCCACCTATCTTCCTCTCCACCTTCGGATCTATTCAATCTATTACCCTCTGGCGGTGATAACCCAATTGCCTACTATCACGTCATGATCACAGAGATAGTTTGGATCTCCACCATCCTTCTAACGGATGACCAAACCCAATCTCCTTGAGCTCCCCTCGGGAGTTCAGCTCGTTTACCTCGCCGAGGGAGGAGCAAATGTGATTTATCGATTTGTCAGAAAACCGGTTCTCACCAGAAAAGACCCAAAGAGGCCACTACCTCCACCTACACACGACACGGATCATTGCAACCTACCAACCCAACTCAAGGGAAAATTGCTCCGACTCCGCAAAGAAACCGCAGCCGACATCTCCTACCCAGAGATTGTCAGAAACTTCGACACTATCATCCGACCGTTATTCAAACCCGAAGAACTAGTCGACCAAACCCTCGTCAGACTCCCAGAGGGTCTCGTCGCCAGCTGCAATGAGCAACTCCGGACTGCCGAACTGAATGGCGCACGTCCAGAAAAACGCCATGGCAGCTATCTCTGTCTACATGAGCCATTCGGGCTACTAATCACCGATATGACGACCGCCGGAGACCCCGGCACCACCCTAGCCGAGCTAAAACCCAAATGGCTCAACCAGTCACCATCAGCGCCCGCGACAGCGCATAGGTGTCGGACCTGTGCGCTGAGGGATATGAAAAACCGCGAGTCGCAACTCCTAGGTCGCAAAGAGCAACGGTCCTTCTGTCCGCTGGATCTGGTGTCGGAGCAGTATGAGAATGTGCTACGGGCGACGGGGTTGATCAAGGGCTGCAAGGATCGCTCGCGATTGGCTCGCATTTTGTATCGAAACCCGACGCTGCAGAGACTGCAGTCTCTGCAGAAGATTGAGAGGGATGTTGGGCTGCACGGTCCGGCCGCGCAGTCTCGGGAGATGTCGCTTGCGATGACGTTGCGGGACTGTACAATGTTCATTAAGGTAAGTTCATGCTGCGAATCAGGGTCTGTCATGGCCAAGATCAAGATCAAGATCATGTCGGGAAACATCATCCAGAGTCGAATACTGACCTCTCTACAGATCCCCCATGACGAAAGGTCATCTGTTGAAATCCGCCTCGGTGACCTCGATCTGAAGACCGGCGCCGGCGGGAAAGCGGGCTACTGGCGAGATCTGGAAACACGGCTGATTGACCAAGGCTGGTATCGGGGAAGTAATATCAGTCAAAATTCGGGCGAGTGCGCTTTGCATAGCCCGCGGAGACCCTCTCAGTCTTATTTAGCATGAGACTGTATCAACTCGTGTGGAATGGCCAATTTCTTGGTGATTTGAACAAAGACAACAGTTGCCTTGTGTGATTGGCATGGCTCGTTTGAGTTGTATAGTAATTCCTTTATGACTTATTTTTCGGGGGCTTTTTGGGACTTCTTACTGTTTTGGGTTGGTTTTGGGCAAGGGTGGTTTTCTGATATTATTCTTTAATGACTGCACGTTTCGAATATGATTTGTAAAAAACATCCTCAACTGATATCGGTGGAAAAGAGTCATCTAAAGCTATGCGCAACTCCACAATTCTTTACGTACGGATAGAGCGGATAACTTGGTATTGAAGTCGCCGGCCAGCAGGTCTGGCAAGTCTGTGCTCGGACCCCCTCAAACAAGGACTCCGCGAATGTCCTGGAATTCTCGAGACGCATTCTCAGTAGCAGCTACTTTAGCATGCTGGTCGGCCTCTGTATTCCATTCTCTTGGAATACGCCAGAAGTGAATGCGCATTCCTTCTTCATTCCATCGCTCCACCTCCCCGAGTAAACACACCCAAAGGTCCTTGTTTTTGACAGGCGCTCCCGAACTCGTCTTCCAGTTGTTCCGCATCCATCCCTTCACCCACTTCGTCATACCCTCAACGACATACTCGGAATCAGTAGCAATGACTAGACAGCGACATCCTTCCCCAGTCCATGCTCGAAACCGCATAGCGGCAATGACAGCGCGCAGCTCAGCCCGATTGCTTGTTTGCGGGTGCTCTCTGCCCGTGGGACCTTGCGTCTCGAGAGGAAAGCTTGTGTAGCCACAGATTGTAGGGTTCTGGGTGGAGTTTCTGTAGACAAAGCAACAACCAGCTCTTGGATTGGCACCACCGTTGTCTAAGCATGCGCCATCCGTGTAGATCAGGAATTGGGTTTCATCGTTGCGACGAATGAACCGATACACAGGAGGCGTGGCGTTGTGAGTTCTGCGGAGTGGGAAAAGCGTCTGCGGGGTGTTGCTTGGATTTGAGGGATTGAACTTTGTGGGGAAGATGCGTCCCGTGCCGACTCTGGGCTCCGCGCGAGGCAAGGGCGCACCGATAACACCAACAGGAGGCCCATCAATGTCGTCTGTGTGATTGCCAAGGTCTGAGGCTTCTGCGTCATCGTCATCATCGTCCTCCCCCTCTAACACCTCGTCCATAAAGCTGTAGTCAACGGTGCAGTAGCCGCAGACTACGAGTCTGTGTGGTCTGCAGACTAGGCGACCATCGGGAAGTGTCACCGGGTCATCTGGACGCCAGGCCATGTTGGATACAATGTTTTGAAATGCGGAATGAGCCGAAAGACCCGTGATCCTAATATGGAGTGTTAGGTGTAGATGTTGAGGTTTCAAAGGCAAACTCACCAGAAGACTATTGAGGGGTTGAGCCCTGGAGAGGAGGTCGACTTATGAAACGAACAAATTACCTAGGATCTGCCCATGGATCCATGGATATCATGGCGGTCAGAGATGATTACATGTTTCTCTGTTTGCTACGGATGTCTGCGTCTCTCGTTTGTCGTCTCACGGTATACTACATCTCTCCTCTAAACCAATTTATTCGTATTCCTATAAATATTTGATTTTCTCACACCTTCCCCATTTTAGTGTTCACATCTTCTTTTGATAAAACTCAGCAGTCCATTTTATCCGCAGTGCGTGCTGAGTGATCACATAATTCCATTCGGTCAGCTCGTCTTGATCTACTGATGTTCAAAAACATCAACATGGTCACTATGGTCAACCCACCATTTTCCCCTTTGAGAAATCGTGAAGTCCCCTGGATTTTGTTTCGCGCATCTTGCGATGGCAGGGAATGTGACAAATGCTGCGAGGAAGAACCAAGGAGTCTTATGGACTTGTCTAATTCGCCAGAGTCCTCGGCATTCGATAGCCACCTCTCATGGAAAAAGGTCCCAACGCCATTCGTCAGCTTCTTCAGCACCTGGACAAGAGCAATGCGATGGCGTGAATGGTTAGAGAAATATCATCATACGGACATCAAAGTGGTTGCTCTCTGGGCAAGAGACATGGGCCACGTTTATAAGGCGATGACGGTCGCTTTGGGCTTGGGATACTCAGATACGGGCTCTGACGATCGACGAAAGCTTCGAAATCATGAAGATGAATACCTCATTGACGCTGGTGTGGATGAAGACCGAATCTTGGCTGTGTTTCGAGGCGGCGGTGATCTTCGAGCTATCACCTTTGACGGCCCTTTCTACATGATCACAACATCAGTTCCTAGTGAATACTTTCTTGCCCAAGAAAGGAATCCCCTCAAAGCCTTGGAGGATGTGATATTCATGAACACCGGAGTGCGTGATGATCTTTGGCGGGATCAGCTCGTGAAATCAATCAGCAATTCCACTTTCCCAAGGCGGATAGATTACTCGAGGGGGCCATTCCGTCCGCAGCTTGAGAGTGTCTATTACTAGCGGCTTACTCTCCTCCTTTGTGCTTGTGAAGGTGTGTCTGTAGCTCGTGTGTTGTGTTCGATTTGAGCTGTGAGATTGGGATAATCAATAAATAGTCCTGGTAGCCATCGGGCGAAACGAGGGTGATATGACCATGTACCTGATATAAAAAATTGCAATTAGCATTTATTTACTCGACAATATCACAGCAGAACCGAAAACTTATGGAATAAGATACAATGACATAAGTTAAACCCTTTCCCTCCTTCAACCTTCACATGAAACACCAACACAAGACCCCGGTGCCTCAAGTTACTCAATTAACGATCCGTATACAGTAGGAGACTCCCTACCCCAAGTCGAGGATGCATCCGAGAACGCACCACCAGGCGCCATCCTCACCCTCGCTATCCTCCGCAGAACCCAACCCCGAGGATACCAGCTATTCACCGACAAGACCACCCACCGGATCCCCACCCAGCAGGCCACCCGTTCCCGAGGACTCGTCACCCTCCTCCGCGGATCCCGGCTCTTCATCAGGCGTGTCGGCTCCTCCGAGAAGACCACCCATCGGATCCCCACCCAGCAGGCCACCCGTCCCCGAGGGCTCATCACCCTCCTCCGGGGATTTCGGCGCTTCATCAGATGTGGAGCGTCCACCGAGAAGACCACCCAACAGGTGACCCGGCTCGTAACCCGGCTCTGTATCAGAGCTGTCTCTAGCGTTCAGCGCCGGGGCGGGCAAGGTAGACGCCTTAGAGGGGAATGTGGTTGGCTTGGCTGGTCTCTTCGTCAGGGTGGGGATGGGCGTGCTGGATGGGCCTGGGGTTTGGCTGGATGGGACCCCTTGACTGCCTAGTCCACCGAGGCCATTGAGGGCGCCGAGGGGGAGTTGAGCTGCGGCATTGCTGCCCAGAGTTGTCAGGGTGGACAGTGTGAGGAGGATGTTGATGTGCATTTTAGCTTCTTAGGAGATTGGAAATTATATGGATTGATGCTTGGTTGGATATGAATTCTGAAGAGAGTGTTCTCAATCGAGGGTTTGGAGTTTATTTGAAAGAATTGATATGCTGGGAGTGTATGGGAAAGGGTATAAATATACGGAAGAGAGAGTAAGGAGGTGAATGGACTTGTATAGATCACATCGCTATACGATGGAAGCGGGAACTAGACGAAGATCGTGATCCCCTTTATGAAGATCATTGAAGATTTCGTCTCAGCCCTGGCATATCATGTCCTCGAGAGGCCGTGATAGGCTGTAGGGTTTGTTTTTGTGTGATGGGATTCTTATAGTTCAATATTGGTGCATAAATTGAAGATCGCTGGCTACATTACTGGATTAAGCATGTACTTCTCTTTTTCTTAAGCCACTGCATATTCAAGCGTGGGAAATAAGCATATTGCCTGTATGTGATGCAGATCAGGTTCGGTTCAGGATGTGATTGTTTTGGTCACACAATAGCGCTTTATATTCAAGGTAAGAGACTACTGTGCCCATGAGGCATTTCGAATACATATCATCAAAATACGGAGTAACATCTTACATTGTAAAATATACAATAGTCTGATCTACAGAGTAAAATATCTAAAAATATCTGCAATATACCGAAGGATCTTACCCCCCTAGAGCCAAGAGATCACCCCACATCCTGATAAGAGTCACACTTCAACCTCTTCTCTCCAAAACACCCGCACAGCATAAAATGGATCCAAAAGTCGGAATCGGTGTCTTCGTCTTCAACAGTGCAGGCAAATTCGTCATCGGCAAGCGAAAGGGAAGTCTGGGCGCCGGTACGTGCATACAATATACCCTATAAACCCCTACACATGCAACAAACAAGCAAATATAAGTTATTGGAATCAATCCTTACCATTTGTAATTAAAGGCACATGGGGATTACCAGGTGGGCACCTCGAGTTCGGTGAATCCTTCGAGACCTGCGCGACCCGTGAGACCCTCGAAGAAACAGGTCTGAAGATCCAGGATGTGCGGTTCCTGAATGCTACGAATTCTATTATGAAAGCGGAGAATAAGCACTACATTACCATTTTCATGGGTGGTGTCTGTGACGAAGGTGTTGATCCACAGGTAAGTTGGTGTTTGCTTTTTGTGCTTTTTGCGATTTTATGCGAACGTGCTTTTTTTCGTATGTTTTATTGCGTATCCCCGTATCCCCGTGTGGCCGTGTACCGGAACAGAATACCTAGGTAGGATACGCAGCTTACATATCGGTAGATACTTGAGCCGGAGAAGTGCGATGTGTGGGAATGGATCTCATGGGATGAGCTGCGGGGGTATGGGGAGGAGGAGATGAAGGCTGGTGCTGGGTTCGAGGGGAGGAGGTTGTTTTTGCCTCTTTTGGAATTGTTTAGACAGCGTCCAGACTTTCGGGTTTGAATTTTCTTGCACAGTTCAGAATTCATACTGGAGGTAACATATGATATTGGATCTTCGGAAACAACTTCTCTGTATACGATTCAACCGAGAGATAACGTAGGTCTCATGTTTTTCATTCTTTCACCCCCTGATCATTTCATATACAACGTTGATGCTTTGTTTCAAAGTTCCATTGACTGTAATGTCGAGTTAATATCCAACCCGAATTAAGGAACACGCGCGCCAGAATTTTCATCAGCAGCCCGCTTGATACCCACTCGCAGGATAATACTCGAGAAGTATGACCGAATTGCCTCTTGTAGCCATAGTGGCAGGGCCCTGAGCGAGCCGGCCACCGAGGAATGCCGAGGAACGATGGTTTGCCCACTTTTCCGAGTAACAATATGTTCCACCACTGCCTGGGAGACGTCCTTCGGATCCAGGAGTGGTTGACCGAAGTCAGCTTGATATTTAGTGAAGCCTTCGATCATGGGCGTCTGGACCCAAAGAGGGTGAATGATACTAGCTACTGTTAGCATGATCTCTCTTCGAAGAAAGGCTTTCCCAAGCTAACCTCGTCCGCACATTCGGAGCCTTGTACCAATATTTCAACTCTTGCCGAAGGCCCTCTTGGAAAGAAAGAGCGCCAGATTTAGCGCAAGCATAGTCCACCATCTCGCCTGGAGTGACAAAGCTCGCCATACTCGCTACTGTAATGACATGGCCACGGTTCATACGGATCATGAATGGAAGGAATTCTTTCATGATGAGAAAATGGGCGATGATGTTGACATCGAACGTCTGACGCAGTTTCTCCTCTGGCATTCCGAGAATGGTGCCATGGTGGAAAACGCCTGCATTGTTCACAATGACAGTTGGCTCTCCGTGTGACTTTCGAATAGCAGTGCCCGTTTCGGAAAGAGACCTGGCCGATGTTATATCTGTTTGATAGAATGTGACGTTCTCTGGAAGCTCAAAGGTAGGCCGATTGATATCGAGGATCACAACGCGTACTTTCTGGCGAGAAAGATCTTCCATTATTTGTTTGCCGATGCCACCACTGCCCCCGCTTAAGAGGACTAGCTCATTCTCTGGGACCCATGTATCGCTGGCTTGGAAGTTGTTTAGAACTCGTTCTGCGATCTTTGTATGGAGGTAATAGAGGACTATAGAGCCCATCAAAACACTCAGCGAAGATGTGATGATTGGCGCGCTCAAAAAGTCGAACATGGTGTCAACAGAGAGTTTCGATAGTCACGGAGTCTTAGTAGTCCTCAAAGGTAGTCCACGAAGGGGAAGAAATAGAAGGCGAACTTGTTCGAATTCTGTAGCTGGTGTGCTGGCAAAACTGTAGTCGGAGTGTTACGCTGGATGGCGTGGAATTGAGGGAAAAGATGATATTCTCAAGCAACTGATACAAATGAGGGGCAATGTGTTATTTTATCATGTGAATAACTAGCCAACATTAATGGTAACACGGAAGGTTATTCAACCTACCTAAGTACTCAAGTAGTAATGGATCTGCCATTTCTGCAAAGGCACGGCCTTCCTCCCCACGCAGGGGCCCAAGGGCCTTTTTAGCTCCGAGTAAGAAATTAGAGATAAGAATCCCCGAGGTTATTGTTGATTCTTCGAGACATGGGAGTCAAACAGGGCCCAAAACTTTGATAATTAAGACCCGATGATAGAGCCAAAGGGGGAAAGACCCGTGCATGCCAAGCTATAGACAAGGAAGAATTAGAAGAGCACAAAGGGCCTCAGGAATATCTCTCGGATTCGGCTCGTTTAACAGACCTATTTAAACCAAGAACAACTGAGTGCTTTACATTGAAGGCCGTGAGCCTATCATTACCCGGTCACAGAGTATCAGTATGTTATGTTGACGAGGCTATAAGAGAACATATAGAAACTGTTGTAACTACGGCAACTGAGCTATTGGATACATTAAGGGAGAAGAATTTGCTGCATTCGAACTAGCAAAGGAAAGGCCTTTTAGAGGCCAAAAGGGCAAACAAGTGAACAAGCGAGCTCAGTCTGCCTCGAAGATCTGGCATCCACAGAGGATGGGACCATCCCAACAGAAACAGATATTATTTGGTTGAGGGCACAGGAGACAGAACGAGCTTGATTCTCGAAGAACAAATAGAACCCAGTTGGTATATATATAAGAGGCCAGAAATCCAAGGCACGGGTGGCAATCGAGAGGGCCTGTAATAGGTACACCATCAGGAATCACAGGACCTGAGAAGCGAGATTTCTATAGTCTTTCCACGAGACCGACGACCTTAACTCCAGTCGGCCCAAGACTGGGCATCAATATAAGATATCCAGAATAAAGGATCGGGTGCTTCCGAACTAACCCTATAAGATAGGCCCCACGAACTTGTTAATGCAAGTAACTTTTTCGATGTGCAGTGCCAGCTATCAGGATGAACATGGTGATAGATGAGAAACTTCAAGGCTAGATAGGCGTAGGGATTCTGATATCTAGTCAACAGCCAGAATGGATAGTGAGTATAAGGTATATATGTATAACACAGAGTAGTAAAGTAGAAGGAAGATTCATGAGGGATTCATTCTTTTATAGCATGTGGCATATATGGAATTGTTTCCACAAAGGAATAGAATGTGCTAGAATCCTGGGTTAAATTGAAGTAGATAGAAAAGACCAGCTTCTCAGATATCCGCCAAGCCCAAGACAAGAATCGTAAACACCTTGGCATTTGCTTGATTTCTACTTAGAATATTAAAGAGGAACTGAATCAACTAGAACCAAAAACCCAGTCAGATACAATAACAGCGATAGTCGAAACCTGTACAACTGTCAGTCAATCTATATATACCAAGAACCAAGAACCCAAGGACTTGAATACTCACCAATGAAATATCCACTCCAGGCATTACAATGACATCCATAGCAGGTCGATACCCCTGCCTAGAGCCTCTCATCAATGCCAATTTCTCATTATGGTGAATACTCTCCCGGACTTCAGCAACCTTCCTATCTCCATCAACAACATCAAAAAGGGCCAGCGCATTCCCATGCCGTTCAATATGCAAAGTAAGCATTTTCTCATCCCCACGCTTCCCCTGAAAAGCAGCCGCATTCTCAAACGAAAGATCAAAATTCCCAAACGAAGTATTCCCCAGCGTCCATCGCGGAGCGCCAGTAGCTATCGTCGCGGTATCACACCCGGGCAAGCTAACCGACCAACTATTCGTCCACGACCATTTCCGATGTAACTCGAAAAGCGGCAGACCCGAGTCATCGCGGAACTCCCGACACGACCGATCAGTGTATTTGCGACCGGTCACCGTGAACTGTGGCGTTCCATCTTCTTCGGTGATCTTATATGCGAAGGCGGAGTGGGGACTGCCGAATGGTCTGAGTACGAGGGTTGTTTTTGAGCGCGCTATGTATTGGTTGCGGAAGGCGATGTCGCGGTCTGGTGAGCGGAGGGTTTTGCGGGGCTTGGAGGAGTATGACTGTGATAGTCGGGCGTTGGAGTAGGTGGTATAGGACATGATTGTTGCTATGCCGTGTTTATTCACAATACGTGCTGGGATTATGCGGGGTGTCTCTTATACTTCCAGGGTTAGATTGTATGGGTATATCTTGCGCTACTTATCCCTGTTGCGGCATTTGTCCTGTCCAATGCCCGATGATCTCACTGATGGCTGAGCCACATGCCAAGAAGTATACGTGAAGCTATCCCCTCAGGGCTTCAGCGGGGTAAGTGGAATGAGGAACGACTTGTGGCTACATCCGGTCTCGAATGATGCATTTTAATTAATAGGATTCAGCCACTTCTCATCTATCACCAATTGCTCTAGTATGTTGTAGAACTACCAATTCAGTAAAGTACATACATAGAAGTCAACCTTCCAAGGTTGGATGTTATTGAAGTAACAGGCCAGGCTGGACCTCCCCGGGCCCCCATATCTGCTGAGTCATGCTCCACGGCCCCGGGGCCAACGCTGACCTCCGAGGTCCGTTAGGCCTCCTTGAATACCATCACATCTACTCCGTACTGATTATTCGAATATGGCTGGGAAGTTTGCCGTCAAATCCCTAGACCACTTGGTCCTAACAGTCCGCAACATTCCCAAAACCGTGGCATTCTATACAACCTACCTCGGCATGCGGCACGAGATCTTTACATCACCAGCTAACCAATCCATCCAGAGGTAACCCCTCTTTTCTTTTCTTTTTCCTTTTTTTCTTGATCTTAGTGGATGTTCAAAAGACATTGACGATAACAGACATGCCCTCATTTTTGGCTCTCAGAAAATAAACCTCCACCAATCAGGCAAGGAATTCGAACCCAAGGCCCAGGACGTTATGCCAGGAAGTGCCGATTTGTGCTTTTTGACAGACGAGAATGTCGAAAAGGTCCTGGAAGTTTTCCAAGGAGCCAGAGTCGAAGTATGAACTCTCCCTTCTTTTCCCCCCTTCTCGCAAATGGTGCAGATAGAGACTGATCTCTACAGATTCTGGAAGGCGCCAAGGTTGTAGAAAGAACCGGGGCCGTTGGGAAGATTCGCAGTGTATACGTGAGAGATCCTGATGGGAATTTAATTGAGTGAGCCTATTCCCTTCTCTCTTGGAGAAACGAGTTGATTAACCACTGCAGATTGTCGAACTATGCTTGATGAACCCGCCTGGGACCTATAGTCACAGATTTTCTTTCCCCTTTGATCCCATAACTTTTTTATGTTCCTCCTGTAAGGAGATTGGGACAAATTCCGATTATACCACAGTTTTTACGAACAAAATCTCAGATCTTCTTAGGATTGATGCAGGCAACTGGATTAGACCTTGGCCCTCATCTTTGATCCGGTTTTGATTACACGAGCAGAGACCAGAATCAACGCGCCCAGAAGGAAGGCCAACCCGCCCCAGATCTGCGCTCCAATGTAGCCGTCGGCTCTCACAATGAGTGCTCCACCGAGAGGTGGGCCAGTCAGACAGGCAAAGCTCACAATCGTAAAGCCCATACCCATGCGGACTCCGGTTTTGCTTAGGTCGGGCGTAAGACTCGAGAGTGTTGATGGCCAGAGACCCTGCACACCATTGGAGAATATGCCGTAGAGAACGGCAAAGACGTACAGGCCTACCGTGGAATGGACGGCAGCACAGCAAAACATCATCACACTAGCAGCCAGAGTCAGGGGAATGATGGTATTGAGAGGTCCATACTTGAGATCGGCCAAATAGGCAGGGATAAGGCGGCCGACTATTCCTGCTCCATTGGTTACAATAATCAAATTGTCCGAGTCCGAGAACGTTAGGCCGAGAATGTCACGGGCAAATGCACCAATATAATAGAAGGCGAAGTATAACGCCCAGAAATTCAGAAACATACCCAGACAGAAAAGCACATAGGTAGGTTCCTTAAACGCCGACCATTCAATAAAGGCGTCAGCCTTACGCGGGGGTAGTCGAGTTTGGAACAGGAGAATAGCAGGGATGCTTGTCCCGAGCATGACAAACCCCAACACCCTAACCGTCCAACCAAATCCGATCGACGGCAGGAGAGCCTTCACCAAGCCGGGAAGAAGCATACCTCCAGTTCCACTCCCAACCAGACAAAAGGCTAAGGCAAACACCCTCCTCTCCGAGAAGTAGGTAGCGACGAGACTCATCACAGGGCAGAACTGCAGGCCACTACCAAGGCCTGTGCAGATTCCCTGAGCGAGGAAGAGCTGCCAATAGCGCCTCGAGAGGGAAGTCATAAAGACCCCGACAAGCTGCAGAAGCACCCCGGCACAAAAGACTGGGTGAAAGAAGCCCGCGTCTAAGGGCCCGACCGGAGAATGCCCCGACAAAGAAAATGAGGAAGACCTGTACGGACCCGACCCATGAGATAGCTGATGCTGAAACGCCAAGCGTTGATTCGTAGTAAGCCTGGAATACGCCGAAGGTGACGATGTACCCCCCAGGTGTTAAACACCACTAAATGGCCCATCACGGCTTGTGTCCATGCCTTCAGCCCTCCGTCGGGCGGGGGCTCAATGCGGGAAGATTGTCTGTCGTGTGAAGACTCGGGGTCTTCATCATTCTCTGTCATGGTGGGGTGCAGTGCAGTATGAAACCTCCAATGTGGGAGAAGAGTTCAAGTAGGATGATTGGAACTCTTCGTGTCCCAATTCCGGCGTCTTAAATTGGAAATTAATCAATGAATGACTCAAAAGAGTCGGATCCAAGAAGCAATTGCAGCCCGTTCTACCCGCGATACCCGCGATACCCACGGGGGGCTTTTTAAAGAGCGCACTATCGTTGGACGTGATATATATAATACTTCAGGATATATGGAGGGTTCATTAGTCGACACATCCGGGCCACTGCGGAGATCCATCTTACCATCTTACATACCAAGCGTCGGCTGATCGACCGGCTCCATTTTTACCCAATCCGGCTTTTTGGGGCTGCCTATGGTACTTTTGTTCTAGCTTTTCGATCCAACCTTGCATGTGGGCATCTTTCCATGTGTGGACAATTGAGGCTTTACATAATACAATGACATTGAAGTGTTTATATAGATTAGGTTCTAGCCATTGCAGATGAAGCTGAGAGCATTATTGGCCATTTGAACACAGTAGTGGGAATTCCCTTATAGTAAGACTATGCTCCCACCGGGATACCTCGTAGCCAAATGAAGCAATGGCTGGAGGGCCAGTTGACAATACCTAACTATATGAGTTGTGATTGTTGGTATTAGGTGCGCGCATCTATAACCGACATCAACACTGTCTCCATTCGACTCAGCATGTTGTTATATTGGCTGTGTATTGGTTGTGTTTTTGCACTTACACTTGGGAGTTTATTGATTATTCTCTTCTGACTTTGTACATAGTGTAATGTAGACATCTTTTAGACCTATGTTGTACTATAAGACAGATACTAGGTGCTTGGTAGAATCACAAAACTACGGAACTACAAAAACCCACCCTTTTGCCTGACCAATTAGTTAATGCCTAGCATTCTCCATAAAAATTCGGCGGTTGTTACTCCTTACAGGGTCACAGTTTATGCGGAATGTCAATCTCAATATCAATGACGACATCGTGGATCAGCCCTGAGCAGGATAGGGCCGCACCCTCTCTCTGCCCTCTCGCGTAAACAGATGACCCGTATAAAGTATCTGAAAGGGTTGGTTAATCATGATCCCTTGATCCCTACAACTTCCAATAGCACAAATCTCGCCGAATCCCCAAAAATGTTTTGGATTTGCCCAATTCGTCTTCGGGGTATCCTGTTTTGATATGGGACAGTTTTTCGAAATATGAAGTCTTGATGATATGTGTGAAAAGGTTTTATAACAGAATGTTGTTTGTTGTTCGCCCACATAACATAAAGCTTTTGAATTCAATCTTCCCACTATCAAAGTCATGAATCACCATCTACATGACAGGTTCAGGATAACTGTTCCGTGATGGTTCCCCGTTCCCGGGCGGGGCCGGCTAGCTCAGGTACGCGATGCACTTCCATTCTGTCGATTCTACATTCCAATTCTTTTCTTTTCTTTTTTTTTTGGCACGCAATGACGATATTCTATCCGTGGCTTACCATTCATGGTGAAATTTGATACCTTATATGTTTCAAGACGGGTTTCTGAGTGCCGATTTTACCTTGTGTTTTGCAATCTGTGTCTTAGTTATGTATCCATGCTAACTCAAGTGAAGTCTATAGGGATCTTGGAAATAGGACTTGATGCTTTTAATATCATGGTAATTTTGGCGACATTCGAAGAGTAATATAGTTAGTGTAGAGGTACGTGTTTTCCAACTCTTTTGGGCAATGGTAGCCCCATCTTTGCTAGGTAGATAGTTGAATAGCTTCAATTACCCATTTCTTTGATTTACATTTCTTCCTACTATGTTCACTTTCATAAAGTAACTAATTATTTGATAAACCCAGTTGCTGATTGCTGATTAACTACGGAGTAACTGCTGATAAATAGTTAAATCCGTAATTCCGCAATATCACGAAATCGCCTAGACCGGGTACACCCCGGATTAGCAATCGAGTGATAAGCAAGAGCCTGCAGGTCTATATAAACCACAGATCCACAGAAAGAAAACTGTACAATTCACTCGCAACCAAAATGACAACCTACCTCACTCAATCTCCCCTACAAGCCATAACCCGTGCAGCATCCAGAATCAGCCCAGCACGCCTGGTATCCCGCCAAGCCCATCTATACCAAACCCAAACACAACCACTCCGCTCGTTCTCCTCTTCAACCAGCAAACTGGCCCCAACCCCAGCAGCAAACATGTCTAGCGCTTTAATCAATCTCGCTAAGAATAGGCGCACGATCTACAAGCTCGGCAAGGAAAGTCCAGTCCCAGACTCCAAGATCGAAGAGCTTGTCAATGCCGCCATCCTACATGTTCCCAGTTCATTCAATACCCAGTCTACGCGGCTAGTCGTGCTCCTGCACAGTCAGCACGACAGATTGTGGGATATCGCCATTGAGGCTTTCGAGGGTCTTGTTAAGGCGGGTAAGCTTTCGCAGGAGATTTGGGAGAAACAGACATTGCCTAAATTGCTCGGTTTTAAGGGGGCGTATGGGACGGTACGTAGTTTCGCTTTTCCTTTAAAATTCGGTTTCATTTCCTTGAAAGTCGAAGTATCCAGTCCTGTCCATAGCTAATCAATACCCAGATCCTTTTCTATGAAGACCCAGCCCACATCAAACCCATGCAGGAGAAATTTGCTACATACAAGGATAATTTCCTGCCATGGGCGGACCATTCGAATGCTATGCATCAGTACTTCCGTATGTCCATTTTCTTTTCTTTTCCCTTCGTGTGTCACCTCTTTCCTCGTTCTAACGTTTACCAGTCTGGACGGGCCTTGAAGCGCTTGGCTTTGGAGCGAACTTGCAGCACTATAGCCCGCTCATTGACGCTGGTGTTGCAAAGCAATGGGATCTGCCCAGTGATTGGCGGAATGTTGCCCAGTTAGTCTTTGGGAGTCCTGAGGCTGCTGCTGGGGAGAAGGCACAGAAGCCTGTTGAGGAGAGGGTTAGGGTCTTTGGGAAGTTGTAGGGTATATAGATACAGATAAAGCAGGATTAAGAAAGAATTAGTGTATAGATTCTCGTATAGACTGGGTTAAAGCTGCTTGCAAATTAAAATCATCGTCAGTGAAGATCATCACAGTCGTGCCTTCCTGTCACAGTCTCCCCCGGTGGGGCGAGCCCAGTGATTAAGAGCGTAGGTCGAAACCATAGTGAAATGATGCTTATTTAATTCTTCTTTAGTGTGTACCTTGGCTAATAGCTGGTTAAAGAGTTGCTCATCCTCGGATGGGGGGGGGGGTGCTTGAGATCGTCGGACGACATGTTGCGTTTGGTTGCAACGGTTAGGATTGATAATGATGGTTGGAATTGATGTTTATGTTTGGTCCAACAAGGTAGATGGGTGCAGAAAAACTAAGGAGTCTTAGAGGGACTGTCTTTGACGGTCCGAGCCTTCGAACTCGTCAGAGCTTTGGGTGCTTCGAATTCTTTTCTTTTTCTGGATTTGTATATTCTTACCGAGATACACATAACCAGTGTACTTTTTGAATCGAAGGGTACTGCTTTTGACGCGTTATGTGTGACTCGAAAAGTCCCATTTGATTTCTTGGGTTCTACCGTGCAAAGCTGTAGAAGCCCGCCAATCCCGACACAAATACCAAAAGCATTGCCTCACTGGAAACCTCCTTGGTCGATCATGTACTCGACGACTTGGCCAGTTGTCTAACGCAAATCTAGCTAATTCTGATATAACTAGATTCTTCAGGCAGCGGGCGCCAGTCTAGGGGACTTTGAGCTCCCCCCACGTCTTTTAGGGCAAGTGGGACACTGCACGACACCACAATGACCGGTGTATTGGCGTAGCCAGTCCCTCAATTTGAGAGCAGTAAAGCAAGTCTCCACCATTTATGCCCTTAGACCGGGAGAGGAGAACGGCATCCCTCGAACCTAGAAGATGTGGGAGGAGGCAAAGCTGAGGCTCTGGCTACAGAGTCAGATAATGTACCACCTGGAAGTTCTGGGGCTCTTACCATGCTTTGCGCTTTTAACTCAAAGTTAGCGAATGGCAAATTTTCTTTCGTTTCCCATATCACCAAGAGAGGTGGTGTGGTGACCGTCACCCTGCCGTCGATAGTCTTAGTTCTCCGCACCTCGGCTGTGGTGCATAGATCGGCGCCATCCTGTGATATCACGAAAAAAGGGGCCTATATACGACTTAGTATTAGCACTGTATAACATATCTGAGGCTGAGGTATAGAAAGGCAGGTCTCACCGCTTGGGACCGACCTCTTGTGTCATGAGCAACGAAACCACTTCCGTCGTCTCTTGGATAGAGACTTGGGGCTCATGACGATTTATTGATCCTGCTTTGGCCTTGAGGATTATCTTTGCCGGCCCATCTTCCTCCCAAAGAGCCTTACGATCGAAAATAACGTCCAAGTACGAATCGTAATCCGGGGGAGTGTGGTTGGAGTCCGTGCCTAGATGACTTCAGCCTCCATTTCTGCGCCATTGCCCAATTTGGCCTTGATTGGCTTCCGATAGCGGTCCAACCGCTATGTATGGAGAGTTGGTGGCCGCGAGAGACGTAAGGAAGGCTACCAGGCTCATATTAACGGAGTCCTCATTAATCGGCCGTTCCTTTTTGTTGCGTCTTCCTTGAGCAGCGCCCAGATAGTCCTGGCCTGCTCGACCGCCAAGCCAGCCTTGGTTGCAATGAAGCAGCATATCCCAGCAACGATGACAGCACCATCATCAATAGCAAATCGGGAAACTTTTACTGTTGGATTTTGATCCTGAGAAAGATGGAATACTGTCCATCTGCAATGCCATAGACGGTTAGATTTGTCTTGACCGTCTATAGGTGTCTTAATTGGGTCGTAGCGGGCTCGACGAATCTTCGTAAGGAGATCTATAACCGGTTAGCAACTGGCATATAACCGGTAGGCAACGGTACGTGCCTTGTCATCTCTCTTCACTACAGGGGACTGAGGACATTCCTCAAGGTCTCATTCTGCAAGAGGTTCCTCCTCAAACTCAGAGAAGGCAGATGACCATATGCCAATATCGTATTCGGTGATTTTGCCGATTCTGCGAGGTACTTGCCTCGAGATCTTTGCGTCTTCGGTGTACACACTCTTTGATCAAGTTAGATTATGCACACCAAGTCTTCAAAGCAAGGCTAGTAGAAGCCACTTACCCACGGATCCAAGCATCCAAGCAGTGTCTGAAACGCTATAATCAATGGCTATGGTGGGTACCAAGTGCCAAGTAATATAGGATATTGTGTGAAAAAGAAAAGAAGATGATGTTCTCGGACGTGATGGATGGGAAGTGGGAAGCGACTAGTTGAGCAAAGCAGAAAGGAAGTTGTTTATATAGCTTAGGTAGGTACTAAACGATGGTCACGTCAGCTCACTCTCATATTTCATTGATACATATTTTATTTGAATCTTACCATTGCTTTATAACTTGCATTAGAAAAGATAATATTTACTGAAGGGAGGCTAGGAGAAGAGCGAGAGAACTGTCTCTATATTCACGATCTAACCACAGGCATGAAGCTCTCTAAATAGGTTTATGGAGACAAAGGTACAATGGTACAAAGGCATGAAGCCAGAGAGAATCTCAAATTGGCGAAAGAGAGGTTTGACAATCTGCATGTAAGTGGCTTACCCCAGGGCTGTGTCAATGCATCATATTTACCATTTTCATGAGCCTCAGATCTATGCATGCCCAAAGATCAAGGTCACATCAACTGAAATGAGACTAAGCAGTCATTCTATATCCATAGTAGTTCAGCTATTTTAATTCCAGTTCTAACTCAGACATTGTTAGCCTAGAGTTACATTGGCCAGGTACGTATGTCTACAGATTGTCGTCAAGAATAACCTATAAGTTCAATGGAGCCTAGGACTTCTATACACAGGAGTCCCTTGGCTCAAGTATGAATATCAAAAAGAACAATCACCCAGGACAACAGAAAATAGAACATACCTCGAAAGCCACACAAACCATTTATCTCCCAGTACGATACCAATACTCAGACGGATCACCAAGACACTCGCCAACAGTAACAGCTATAAGCGAACGTTAGCCTCAAGCCAATAAATGTACAAAAACACAAAGAAAAGAGAAACCTACGACTCAGCCCTCTCCTCTCAACATTCGCAAGCATATTATCCACCAAGATCTCAACCGTATGCTGATGCGAATCATGCGCCAACACAATGGTTCCACCAGCATCAACCTCCCTCAAGAACTTCTCGAAACTAACCCAATTTGTATCAGGATTATCATTCTCATAGTCCTTCGTGTCAACGCTAGCCCCAATAACATGGTATCCCAGATCGGCCATAGCGCCCAGGACGACGGGCGTATGTCTGAGGAACGGGGACGCATGTAGGTCGGGAAGAAACCAAGGATGCGCATGAAGGTTTCTTCAAGGAGTGTCATTTGCTGTACGATCTCTTCGTATGGGAGGGTATCGAGGGAGGGATGGTTCCATCTGGGTATTTGGTTAGTGTGTGTTGGTATTGGTGCTTGGTCTGGACTGGGGTAGAGAAGGGAAGAGAGGCTAGGTCAGTGGGTGATATCAACGAACGTATGAGACCCCAGCTGGTGTCCTTCTGCCAATGTGCGCTGCACTACGTCGGGTGATGTATGGATGTTTCCTCTGTTATGGCCGTTGAGGAAGAAGGTTGCTCTTGCGCCGTGTTCGGCGAGAGTGTCTAGTATCTGGGGTGTGTAGATGTACGGGCCATCGTCGAAAGTGAGGGCGATTGTGCCTGGGATAGTACAGTGGGTGATTATGGCTCCGACGGGTAGGCTGGTGGTGCTGATGGTATTGGTGTTGATACTGGTTCCTGTGGGAGCGGCCTGGGATAGGGTTATAGCCGAAAGAAGGAAGGGGATTAGGGGGATGAGGAAATGCATTGTGAATGAATGAAGTAGGTCGGAGTATATAAGGATAATTGAAACGACCAGTGATGCTGATTGGAGTGATGGGGTGAGGTAGAGAGGTTGGTGAGGTGTTCGGCTGCAATGCCATCTACGCTGCTTCCTAAGATTCGAATCAGACAGGACGTCGATGATCTGAACATAATTTGCATTGAATATGGCTGAACGTTTGAAGATTTCATCCCCAGTTCTCATGGTAGATATTATATCTTCCACAAATAAATATGAATACATCAAATTAAAAAGGTATCAAAATGGCAGGATAAGACATTCAACCCGCATCCTTCCCACAGAAAGGAGCGAGAAGACAGCATAAGAACCTCCAGAACAAAAGACACCCGTCTAACCCTTCCGCGTGCTCTTCTTCGCCTGACGTCTCTGTCCCTTCTGAGCCTCACGCTCAAGGAACTTGCGCTGCTCGTCGGCGCTTAATCCACGTAAGATTCGCTCACGCTCATCCTTCTTGATCTTTTCGGCAGCAATGCGGCGCTCCTCGGCCTTCTCTTCCTCGTCGACACGGCGCAGCCTCTTGATCTCCTCTTCGCGGACGTTACGGACTTTGCGCATGACTTCGCCACGGAAATGGGCGGAGGCGACCAGCTTGTCGGACAGGCATAGGAACTGGTTGAACAGAGGGAGGGTGGAGGTATAGCCGGACGGGGAGGAGGCGAGGTTAGCGGATAGCTGGATGCGCTTCTTAGGAATGGTCTCGTCAATCCTTAAAACACAATTCGTTAGCAACGGATCTAATTTAAAGGCTCGCACTAGGGCGACTCACTTGGTGGGTCTGTCGATAGGCTGGTCCGTGACGATCAAGTACTCAAAGTCATTACCAGCCTGTTCAATGGCCTGGATCAACTCCGGGGTGAGGAGGGTATCGCTAATCTCAGCGCTCTCGGTCATCACAGTGACCCACGAGGGGAGCTTGGGGCTATCCTTAGAGAAAGTGAGAGAGGCATCGTAGCGGTCGTTGCGGAACTTGCGCATGTGGCTCTTGTGAACAACAGCCCAGATAAAGCCGTCGTAAGTCGAGCTAGGGGCCTTGATGGGAGCAGAATCCTTGGCGAGAACGGGAACCAGGTCCTTCTCCTTACCATCGAAAGCATACGCTAGAGCCTCGTATTTCTCAACGGGGGGGCTCCCAGCTCTCGAAGAAAAAGCTGAAGACATACTCCATAATGAAGGTGATGGGGTTGTATCGCTTAGGCATCTTAAGGTTGACATCGAGGAAGGCAACGTTCTGGCGGCCAGTCGCATACGAGGCGAACTCACAGGCAGACCTCTCTTTTAGCAGCGACTCGGGCTTGGCGAGCTCCAAGGTGATCGCCTCACCGTCCACGGCAGCCGGTCGGGCGATTCCATCAAATCCGACGACGGCAAACTCCTTCTGAAGAGAAGGTCCGTGGGCCTGCGCCCAGTCCCTCGCCCTCTTTCGGTTCTTGCGCGTCCCCCAGAGGTGGAAGAGGACAATTAAGAGGATGACCGGCATGATCATTGCCTCCTGCTTAAAATCGCTCGGGGATGTCCTCTCCCATACCCGGTACCAGGCAGTGTAGGGGACCTGCTTGGCGGCTAGGGTATTGGCTGCTGGGGCGACAGTCGAGTCAGCGACGAGGGAGGCAGGCGACGGGTTGGGAGCTTCCACGAAGTCGGCGAAGTCTACCAGAGTCAGCTCAGCAATTGAAATATATCAATTAACGTACCATCGTCGGGTTTAACCTCCTGAGAGCCAAACACATTCTTGAACATGCCCGCCATATTGGAATCGATTATGACATGATGGGAAAAGAAAGGAGTGGGAACCAAGAGATGGTGGTGCCCGGTGCCCGGTGCGGAGCTAAGTTCATCCCGGGTTTAGCGCTAATCTCCAGCTTTTTTACCCGCATCGGAGATATTTAGGCGACATATTCGATTTATACGATTCATGCGATTCGAAGAACAAAGGAGAAACATTATAATTTAATCCCCCAAATATCCAACCTTCTCTAGGGACCCCCCTAACCTGGCCCCCAAAAAAAAAATACAAAAAAAAAAAACCAATGGCTAATGAGTGTGGTATCATGTGAAAATGAAACCCCCGAACAGAACTCAACGCCAGCTGTACCATGACAGAACCCAGTTTTGTACAATCCCGCTCCAAAGAAATACCAGTTTAGCCCAAAATTGAGGAAGAACAGAAAAAGAACCAAGAAACCGTAAGAAATAAAAAAACAGAAAAGAAAAGAAAAGAACGGAAAAGGAAATCGTAACGGTCATGCTCGAGGGTTGCTCAAGTAGAAAGAGATGTATGGAGGTGAGAGCTCAGTGGCCATACGCCGGAGGAGGACTGTCTTCGTGCTGGCGGCTCCAGAAGCCACTGCATGCATTTGTCATAAGTTTGTCCTCACGCATACGACGAGCTATTTCACCGGCGAGTCTGTCGACCAGGACGGGATCGACGTTGGCGTTCTCATCCTTAGAGAACGGAAGAATAGTCGCAGGCAACGGGGTCCGCTGGTTGCTAGACGGTCCCGCCTCAGCCCTCTCCTGGGGATAACCACGCATAGTAGCACGAGGGGTGGCGTCCACATCCTCTGCTTTGGGTCCACGGATAGTCTCATGGGAGTATGACAAGTCCCCATCCCGACGAGTGGGGCGGGAGAAGCTCGGCAAATGCCTTTCGGGGATAATAGGTAGGTGGGAGTCGACTTCGGGTGACAGAGGTGGTGTGACTGGGTCATCTGATGGCTCATTTACAATAGGCAGAGGCGCGGAGGCGATAGAGGGGGGTCTGGACGACTCGGTCATAACACTCTCATCGCTAACACTCATAGCGTCATCGGTTGTCTTAGGGCGGCGCAGATCCACAACACGCTTCTTACGTTTCCGAGCGTGGGCTTTGGAATGACGTCCAGCGCCTAGACTCAGACCATAGGTGCTAGTGCTAAATGAATGGCTAGACATGGAGGGTCGACTTTGCATGGAGGCATTGCTGGCAGTTTCGTGAAGGGAAGACATGCTTCCCATTTGGGACTGCTCTCGCGAAAGAGTCGGGCTTAGTGGTGAGATCACGCTCGAAGGGAATTCGCTGGTATCGGTTGGAGAGGTCCATGCTCGGTACACTACTTCCTGGATCGACGGAGTGAACAAGGACAGAGTACGTTGCGAATCTGTCAGAGCGGCCAGGCGAAGGAGATTCTTTTGCGAGAAGAGGGAGTGGGTCTCGACCGATGAATCTAAAGAGAGCGACGCAATTTCGGATTCATTTAACGCATTTCCGAGGGAGTCGACGGGATCCTGTGGCGGGCTAGCCAGAGGATCTTGGCCGGGGCCTTCGCTTGACTTGGCTGTGTTATCGGTCTCGTCGTTCATTTCCTCCCCGTGCGATATTCTGGAACCCACAAGCGGAGCGACAGTCGATGAATGATGGCTGGGAGTTCGTCCATAAACAATATCCGAAGCTGAGCTTCGATCTCTTTTTTGCAGGAAGTCGCGCACGAACGGGATAGAATCGAAGGTCGACGAAACCTTAAGCGACTCAAGCGGATCATTACGGAACACGACTGTGATTCCTTTTTGTTTTGAGAAAACTAGTATAACGAATCCAGAGAGTTTAAAATCGGAGAGGGTGATTTGCAGAGGTATAGTGAGCGGAGTACTAGAATCGCGTATTAGCAAATATATATCTAAAGGAGAGAAGTGAGACTGAAGACGTACGCGGCAGCAAGAGGTACTGGCGAGCCGAAAGTTGGTCGTGTGAGGAGGAAGGTATTGAGCGGATTTGCCTGAACCCGGGTCTTCAAGGTGAGAAAAGCGTCGCCAGTGTATGACATCTTAAAGATGCCGCGAAAGCGATCCTCGGCCAAGTCACCGATTTCCAAAATTTCGAGTTCGGGGGGAATGGATCCCAAGTTCAACTCGGTGACGTGAATATCGTCGACGATTATTGGGGGTTTTGGTGATTTATTAAGGGCGGCAGTGAGCAGATCTTGGGCGCGAGTGTAAAAACTCGCGTCCGCCATCAAAGGCGACCAGTTGAAGTTGAACGCCATGCCCTGGCATTGAGAAAGGTATTAAAGAGTATTAAAAAAGAGTATTGAAAGGACAGTAGATGAGAGTCTCTAAGAGAGAGGGAGAGAAGAGGCGGGAGGGCAAAAGGGAAAAAAAAGGCAAAAGCGCACATCCGAGGCGCGTGCCCAGGTCGGACTTGGAGTTTTTTACTTTACTTCTCTTCTCTTTTCTTTATTTTAAATACAACATATATATACAAATATATTATTTTACTAGTAACTATCTAGTTTTCTAATTGTATCAATTAATTCTTTTTTTTTCTCTTTCTTTTGTCTGTGTTGTACATTATTTCTTAGATAGTACGTCACAATGTGACTTTGCAGGAACCAATTCCGGTCAGCCCCGGCTTGATGCCCACTATAGATGATATTGGACCATTCACCGTTCAGGGTTATCCGGCTTATATCTAGACTCTTCCTTGGTTATCTCTAACTATTTTGCGAATCTTGCCCTCGAGAAAAAAGGGGGAAACACGGGATATGTGGATGTGCTTCATACGAATAACGTACAGAAACACGGGGGTGCAGATCTTCAACGGTCTGAGTCCCACGTTCGTTTCATGTACGATGTAAGGGAAAGACTCCGAAGGTCCAATATCAGAGCAATGGAAGAAAAATAAAAATTGTATCCCTTGTAGGATGTATAAGACCCGACATCTACCGTAGATATACCCCAGGCTTGTGGGATTAGCAGTCTTCCCCCGGACTTGTTGTTACTGGACATATCCCCAAATATTTATCTCCAACGTGGAATTGTATTCTGATTTCTTATGCTTTTAATAGTCAATAAATCAAAGCAACATCAATTAAAATATACAACAGTCCAACAGTCCAACAGTCCAGTCCACCAAAGCAGAATGTTTTTACCGCAGCAACACCGCGCTAAACCCGATTAGGCTAAACGTCAACACCCGTGGACGATCCAGCACTTCGGGCCCAGATTGACTCTCCTGACCTCATTCGGTCGAGCAGAACCATCCTAATCCCACTACCACAGGTATACGAAGCCCCAGGTTAATATACTGGGTGTATAAAACTCCCCCGACAATGTCAACCCGGTCACACTCGCCAGTCTCAAGTCACGCGACACCAATGGAGCCCAAACAATCCAAATCCAAATCAGTGATTCAACGCAGAGTATACGGGAAACGAAGAGCCAATGCCCCCAGAGCGGTATTTGACCAAGGAACCCCTGTCAGGGACACCAGATCCAAAACCCAACGTGTCGACCCCGTGGAAAACCTCCAAGCGAAACTAGCCCAAGCGACAATCCATGACGACTCAACCCCTCAGCCAGACAAACATGCAGAGCCTACAAAGACTGAGAGCGAGCAGCACCAAGAGCTGGCGAAAATCCTCTCTGATGAATCGAGTCCGTCCGCGACAGAGGACACCTCGGACACCTCGGACACCCCGACAACGCCGCAATCTTCTGGTGAATCCACCCCGGCGGAAGCGAAGCCAAAATCGACGCAATGCGAAACGATGGTGGAGGTCAGAATACGCCCAGAGGATTCAGACAGTCTCCCCCCGATTATACCAGATTCCCCAGCTCCGACCTCAGAGTCCACAGGCGAGGACCGAGAAAAGCCAAGTACATCTTCCGACAGAAGGAGAGCGGAAAGAAAGAAGATCCCTGCACCCAGGCGATCGTCTGGAGTCATCCATGACAGCAAAGCTAGCGATTATGTTCGCCCAATTCTGAATGAGGCTTTGTCTCCAATTGCTGCGCAAGGCATTCAGAAGTTCAGCTCATGGGCTTCGCGATCAGCGAACATGTTCGACGTCGCAAAACTCGCAGAGGGATCCTACGGTGAAGTCTACAAACTTCACCTGCGGGAAGAAGCTTGTAGGCCGGTGGTCTCAAAATCAAAACTAGCTAAACTGAAATCGTATGGCGATGGAGTCTTTAAAGTCGTGCCTCTGCGAGCAAAGAGCGGTCCCGGCTCCAAAAAATTCACCGCCATTGACGAGATTGTTTCCGAGGTCAAGATGCTCAAGTATCTAGATCCAATCCCTGGCTTTGCTCGCTTCAGAGAGATCCATGTTGTCCAAGGTCGTTTCCCTGAGTCCTTCCAAAATGCATGGGACCACTACAAGAAGACCAAAGATGACTGCATGAATCCTAATCCGTCCAACAAAAGAGCATATCCCGATACACAGCTATGGGCGATTGTGGAGATGGATGATGCGGGATGTGAACTGGAGAAGTTTGCTTGGTCATCGATCTTCCAGATCTATGATATTTTCTGGGGAGTTGCCATGGCTCTGGCCCGGGCAGAGGAGTATGCTATGTTTGAGCATCGAGATCTTCACTTGGGAAATGTTTGTATACGATCGACGCGGGAAGATGGTTGCATGGATCCCCCCCACAGAGCTCGACGTTGCACGACAGCCATCCTCCAGTGGATTTGGAATCAGCTCCCTCGAGACTACCATTATCGACTACTCACTCTCCCGTGCGGACCTACTCTTGACCGATGATCCCGCCGGTCTCACCGAAGTTGCGTCATCAGATCTGGACAAGAAGCAATTGTTCGATGCTATTGGCCAAGATGAAGACGAGATTATGCAAAGAAACACCTACCGATAGTATGTTTCCCAATGCCTACTTATTTACTTTCTTACACAACTTGCTAACATTGAAAATCAGTATGCGCGCTACGCTCTATACTGGTTGCCCCACAGAAACAGAAAAAGTGGCGGATATCCCTGGCATCTGGGCAGAATACTCCCCACGCACCAACTTGGTCTGGCTACTATTTCTGCTTCAGAGTCTTTTCAAGAACCGCAAACCTGAACCATCGCCTACACAGCCACAGCGAAAAGCTCTTGCGTCTTGCTCGCCCAACAAGATGACACGGAAACCGGAGACGGCCAAAGGGAAAGACCAGAACATTGCCGAGTCCCTCGTCAAGGAGAGGCAGACGAAGGAGGTGCAATCTGGTATTTCGCGGCTCAAGCAAACATTAGATGACAGGCTAAAGGCCGTTCTCGAACTTCTCGACTTGGAGCATGGACATGAAGATATGTGTTGCGCCGCGGATTTGGTGGCCTACGCGATGGACTCGCAATGGCTTGGTGAACAAGACTTTTTCTGACGATTCCTTGGTATACAAAAAGCATTAGCACACGGGGGAGTTACATGGTTTTTGTCATTTGCATGGTTAAGGAGTTATCGTTTATTTACATATTGTGGGCTTGGGGGTTGGCGTTGGAATATAACATGTAATACCTTGGATAGGTCACCAGTATACCGGGCCTTGAATATACACTACCTTCATATTCTACGTTTTTATTTTTTTTACCACCACAAACCGTCTATAGGCTTCCGGCCAAGTTGTTATGCAGAAGAGTATGTATTAGAATATTAGAACTTGTTTTTTTCTATTCTAGCAGAAACGCCTACTTCCAAATCCTTCCAACCTTTTGTACCGGGGTAGTAACCCGCGGATGACTAGATGCATGTATGTACTGAAAACCCCAGGGAGGACGAAGCAAACAGCCCAGCCGTAGCCCCGAGACAAGAAGAAGAAAGAAACGCCATTTCAAAGTTTTTCAACAAACGCTTTTCGGACCCATGCTTTTCCACAGTCGAGACAACGATCTATCCCAACTGGATGTGTAGTAAAAAGGAGATATTGTCAGTTCGTTTCATAAATTCATGCACTTAGAGTGCAGGTCCAGCACCGGCACGGAAGAGCTTAACCATCAGTTCAGGACGGCTCCAGAGTGAGAAGGACTTCTGGTCGGTCCAGTTCAGTGACTGAGGAAGAAGCTCTAGGTCGAAGTTCCACAAGAGCTTGGCGAGCAGGAGACGCATTTCGGCGTTCGCGAGGCTGTAGATGGAATATTAGCAAACACTTCCAGATATGGCTCAGGTGAAAAGACGGATGGAGTGAGCAGGCAGTGATGGAATGGGTGCTTACTGTTGACCAAGACAGTTGCGTGGACCGTAGGAGTAGGGCTGGAAGGCCTCCTTCTTGTCATTGATGTACTCATCAGACTCGTTCAACCAGCGCTCTGGGACGAATGCCTCGGGGTTCTTGAAGTGCGAAGCGGCGTGGAAGGCAGAGTATAGCGAGATGGAGACGGAGACCTGTTTGTATTCAACCATTGTCAGTGTCGAGGTGTGGAATTGGAATTGGAATTGTATTTTGTGTTGAGATGGGGCGGAACTGTCTTCTCTAGAACAAGTTCATGCTCGGATATTTTTCCGCAAACAACACACACCAACATATTGTAATTACCTTTCCAGGGACGTATTGCTCGTTAATCATTGCTCCTCCTTCCGGAACGATGCGTGGAAGCATGGAAGGAATAGGCGGGTAGATGCGCATCGCTTCAGTCAGGACAGCATTCAGGTACGGGAGGTCCACCAGTGTGGACAGCTTGATGTCAGTGTCTTTGTCGAACGCACCGCGAATTTCCCGGACCAAGCGTGTGTACTTGTCACGATAGCGCAGAAGGTAGTATGTCACACCAGAGAGCAGGGCAGCTGTAGTCTCGCTGCCGGCCAGGACGAAGACCGCCGAGTTTGCATCCATCTCCCCGGACGACATGCCCTTCCCGTCCTTGGAATGCTTAAGGATATATGAAGTGAAGTCGGGGCGGGTAGCACCCAGGGTGAGACGACGACGGACCTTCTCAACGCTTAGGTTGAAGCTGGCTTGGCGTTTCTGGAGAAGGTGTTTGGGGACCAGGACACGCACCAAGGGGACGAGGAAAGGGTAGTACCAAAAGACCTTGAGGTAGGCGCTTGCCTTTACAGCATCCAGAATAATTCGAACCCACCAGTGGTATGTGCTGTTTGACAAGCAGCCGAAGGGTTCTCCAAAAGCGAGATCGCCAATGAGGTCGAATGTGGTGAAGTTGAACCAGCAGGTGATATCAATGTTTTGGGACGTGGCGCTCCCCATGAGGCCCTTGAGCTTTTCCATGAACATGTTGGCGTACATCTGGAGGATTTCTTCCTGCTCGCGCAAGGCTTTGTTGGAAAAGGCGTGGGTCAGCAAACGGCGCATCCGAGAGTGGTCATGCTCATTGGCTGTGATTATTGCATTAACACCGTTGGGAGTGGGTGAATACAAGGCCGGATCCTTGACGAAGACTTTTTGGCCCTTCTTGCGGTGACCGTAGATATCCTTCCAGGCGGGTGCGGCGCGGTAAACGAGAGCATTGGGAGCAATACGGACCACGTCTCCGTACTGGTCATGGAGGCGCTTCATGGTCGAGTGCTGCTTACCTTGGATGTCCCACATGAGATGAACCAAAGGAGTGATGGCAGCCAGCTTGGGTCCAGGGTAGCCACTCAGAGGGTGGAAGCAGAGAGTGTGGATGATCCAGCCCACATAGTAAACGCACAGCTGTGAAAATTTGATTGGAATGAGGCACATACTCATTAAATACTTAATCTTATACATCAGTACTCACCAAGGCAAGGAGTCCACTCAGTAAACCCCAGAACGAGGGACAGCTAGGGCATGGCACCGGAAGCCCATAGCCAAGGAATCGAAAATCGTCATGAACAATAACTAGTTACTGTAAGACATACGACCAAAGACATCCAGAGAAGTTCTCCTTACTGAAAGACAACTGTAAAAAACAAATATTAGACGAGGGAACGGTGTGTGGGAAAAGAAGAAGAGAAGAGAAAAGAAGAAGAGAGAGGCGAAGCACCAAGGGAAACCGGAGTGGGCAAACGCCAGATGAGACGATAAGAGATTTACAGTAGAAGTTGATTGGAGACATCAAATGGCGGGAACTGTTTAAGGAGGTCGTTTAGGGCCCCAATTGACTTGTGTGTGTTTAAGAGCGATTGAAAATGCGAAGGCGACAGCCGGCAAACGTCGACTTGGAGTCTCAACTTAGGGCTCCTCAAACGGAAAACAGGGGCTACATTAAAGGACCCAATGTGTCAGCTAACAAAGGAGTACTCACGCGGAGATCAAGTAACGGAAGAATTTTCGTGGCTCATCATTCGTTATATTTGGGTCTATTGGATGAACAAAATAATGTCACCAAAATCAACCACTTGCAACAGAGAAACTCAACAAGCTCCCAGCAGCCAATCCACCAACAAGAACCAGGCTCATGAATCCGCCAGCAGCCGGTCTTTCATCGGCAACAACCCAGTGACTAGCGCCCATCATACAGCTTGTCCCCAGGTACCCATTGGTGGCACCAAAGAAGAACTGTACAAGGAAATAGAAAACGTCACTCTTGACAGCAGCACCTTGACCGTTGATGTTGCAGAGCTGGTACATCGGAATGAAAATAACACGGGCAATAGCCACAATGGCAGCTATCTGAGGATGTTGTCCCAATGACACTCCTGGGATAGCCACACACATTCTCCCGGCCAAATCGCCCAGATTCCAAAGCAAAAATGCGAAGGGAACGAAGACACTAGGATCGTAGATCCGTGAACTGGCAGGGTCGTTGACGGACCTGATCTCAGCCGTATAGACTGGGAACACCATAGAAACCAAAAAGCAGACGAACACAGCGAACGCTAGGAACCGCAGCTTAACGAACAGAGACCAGAGGCTGACAGTCTTGGAATGCTCACGGTCATCCGCGATAGACTCATCATCATCCCTTGCCAACTTTTGTCTCGAAGAAGGTTGCTGTCTCAGAAGATAGAGGAAAGCCAGCAGGGCAATGACCGAAACACCCGTAGACGTAAGAAAATATATAAACGCAGACGTCGACGAACTCGTCTGGGGCATGCTAGGGTCTTGATCTTGACCTTGGTCTCGACCAACGCTATCCTCCTTCGGCGGCACAGCCAGCACAGAGAAGATCTGAACAATGCAAGGCAACACACCGGCAACACCCTGTCCACCCATAATAGCCTGGGTATATTCCTCTCTACCGAACCCGGAGACGTATGCAAAGACGCCATTCTGGTTGATACCAGTGGCCAGACTCGCGGCGCACACCATCACCATCAAGAAACCAAAGTACGCTCGCGGCGAGGAATCGGTCATCACTACTGCTGAGAAGGCCAAAATAGTGAACACAACAGAGTTCAGCAACAGCGAAAACGTTATTCGCCGTGGATAGGAGGCGTTCTTCTGTAGCTTTGCTAGGGCATAAGCGGCTCCGAGGTTGGTGACGGTTGACATGGACTGGATCGACGGTTGGTAGTGTAGTCTTGTCCAGTCATCGGACTGGAACCGGCTGTAGAAATATGGTGCCGCGGCGAGGAACATGTTCCTAGATCGTGCTCCGCATTAGTTTCGGTTGGGTCAACTCACACATGTATGTAGCTTGTTCCTCCGGGTTTGAAGACTGTTGAGTTCCACTTACCAGGCCCACAACATAGACACTCCGAGGAGGAAGAATATGCCATACTGTAATCTTGAAAAGTGAGACTGCTGCTGTCGCTGCGCATATGTTGTCTCATCGGTGTCGTCTGCGGCGGAGTCCTGCAGTCGCTCATACGCCGCCGGACGGGCGATGAGACTACGTATGCGGTTCATGTTTGTCTTTTTCAACCCCCGCTTCTTATGTAAAAGTAAAATATTCTGTAAGAACAAGGGGATTATCTCATATCAAAGAGCTGTAATGCGCCGTTGAGGTTGGCCCGGGGCATATGACTGGTTACTAAGCAAGATATGTCGCCCGGGCGGCCGCGGGATCACCCGCACGGGACTCCGCCTCAGGCGATCTACAAGTTCTCCTGTGAGGGCTCATCTGCGACTGCCATGCCTTGTGTTGTACATTTGGGGTCTGGACGAGGCTGTAGAGCGGTTCCCGGAAAGAACAATAAAACGATAATATTGATATCAAGATTTGTACACAGTAATTGCTGACTTAGTATCTATCGCAAAATCTAACATGCAAAATGTGTGTGGGAGTAGGAGAAGAGAGGACGGTGAGAGGTGAGTGTAGATGAGGGAACATGTATTTCAAGGAGAAAAATCAACAAGAATGAAGAGACATCGTAAGGAGATGGTCGTGTAACGGTAGGGTCAGGAGTAAACGAGGGAGTACGATTACTCCTTCTTCGAAGAGGCTGTCTCCTCTGCCTCTTCTATGTCATCTTCCTCCAGCTCAGGCTCCAACTCCTCCTTCTGGAACTCCCAGAGCTGATCTGTCTCCATAGACTTGACCGGAGGTGGCGTTGTTTCGCCACCACTCATTTGCCATTCCATGAGCTTCGTAAAGGCGCCATCTGGGTGAGAGCTGAGCTCCTCGTAGGAGCCTTGCTCGGCGACCTTGCCGTCGGGGCCAAGGACAATGATGGTGTCGGAGCGCTTGATGGTGGAAAGACGGTGGGCAATGCTGATTGTCGTGTTGTTGCCGCGAAGCAGAGCGGCCAACGCACTGTTGACGAGAGTCTCGGATTCGGCGTCGAGGGCCGAGGTGGCTTCATCCAGAATCAGAATGTCTGGTTCCTTGATAAGGGCACGCGCAATGGCAATGCGCTGCTTCTGACCGCCAGACAACTGAGCCCCACGAGCTCCGACGTGAGTATCGAGTCCATCAGGCTGTACTAGGTTAGCTAGGTTCCCCAAAATAATAGCTGGTCGGCGGACTTACGAAGTCGCTGATGAATTGGCAATTGGCCTTGCGCGCAGCAGCAATAATCTCCGATCGTGTTGCTCGAGGAATGCCGTAGGATATGTTCTCGGCGATTGTTCCAGAGAAGAGCACAGGCTCTTGGGAAACAACGCCAATCTTTCTGCGAAGGGACTTGGCGTTCATGCCCTTGATATCTTTCCCGTTGATCAAGACCCGGCCCTCGGTGGGGTTATAGAACCGGAGCAAAATGGATGCAATGGTAGATTTGCCTCCACCAGATGGTCCAACGATCGCAACGTTAGTTCCTTGAGGAATCTCGAAGTTCAATTCCTGGAAGATCTTCACAGCGGGGCGGGTAGGGTAGCAGAACGTGACATTCTCAAATCGAATGGGTCCACGCGCGGTCTCGACCTTGAGACCCTTGGTTGGGTGAATCGTAGGCTCACGATCTTGCAGCTCAAAGAGTCGACTCGCCGCACCCACACCCTTCATCAGCTCTGAATAGAAGCTGGAGAGACCGAACATGCTGGAGCCTGCATAAGCAGTGTACATTAAAAACGAAGTCAATTCTCCAATGCTGATAGCACCCGATTGAACCATCCCACCGCCGACATAAAGCAGGGTCAAGATGGTCATGTTGCCCATCAAGCCAGTCTAGGAAGAAGTCAGTCAAAATCGCAATAAGAAGCCAGAAAGAATCAAGGCTTTCGACTCACCGAGCTGAAGAAGGTTGCGCTAATCAGAGACTCCTTTTTGCCAAGCTCGAAGATCTTGCGAACTTGTTTGTTGTACCGGTTGACTTCGATAACTTCACCGGCAAACGACTGACTAGTCTTGACGTTGCCCAGGCGCTCTTCCGCGATCTTAGTCAACGATCCCAGGTTCTTTTGCATTTTGCGACTGATATTCCTAATGGCTCGACCGTAAAAGAGAGCGCCGAGACCAATTGGAGGAAGCAACACAAGCAAGATAGTAGACAGCTTTGCACTAGTATAGGCCATCAGACTGAACCCAGCTGCACCGCTAACAGCAGCTCGTAGACCATCGGACAGGTTCTGTGTGATACTCTTGCCAACAATGATAGTGTCGGAGCTAAGGCGCGAGATCAGATCACCAACCCGGTTGGCGTCAAAGAACTCGGCATCCTGCACGAAGGTTTGACGGAAGAGCTTGGAACGTAGCCGGGCAACAATTCGCTCACCAACAATTCGAAGAATAATGATGCGCCCATAGTTTGCACCGGCACCCAGAAGTAGAATTCCACCGAGAGCAGTGTAAAACATGGGCATGCTCAAGCCGAACAGTTCGCCCCCTCCTTCGGTTACGCTCTTGGTCGCAGAGTCCATGATTTTACCAATGGAGAAGGGAACTGCCATTGTGATTGAAGAGGAGATTAGAAGGAAAAAGAAGGCGAAACCAAGGGCCTTGGATTCAGGGCGCGCGATCTTCAAAAGCCGCCAGATTTCGGAGAAACCGGATTTCTTTCCCGATGCGCCGTCCTTGGCCAATCTGGCGCTCATGTTGACCTGCGCTGCCTGCGCTGCTCGCTCAGACAATTCGAAGCCCTTGTCCTCCTCCACTTCTTCTTTTAGTTCTGGAGCTGACCGGGCAGTTGGGACTGTGGAGGATGCGGGTGGTTTCGCTTGGAAAAGTTGAGAAGTTGAACATAAAAGGCGTGCTTGGGAGACAATGCGAGACGTAGAAGGGGTATATTTGAAGCTGTTGTTTTGAAGCAGGAGTGGGTTCGCACCGTCCCGGAGTGTACCCGAGGCGGTTGAATAGAGACGGTTCAACCCATCGTGGTCGGCGGAAGAGACAATAGTCGGTCTCGCTTTAGGAAGTAGGTCGCGAGTAAAGGAGCTATATGGTCTCAAAGCCTGCCGTGGGCTGACACCCAAGGCCAGAGACACAGGCAGCCTGGCACCGCGCATCTCGGAGTCGGATCGGACACCTTGTGATCGAAACGGAATGGAGTTACAATGATGTCACCGAATAAGACGTCGACATGCCATATCTAAACGGAATAAGTTCAAGTTGAGCACATCACATGGCACACATTCAGCTCCTTGGAACGTGCAATGGACTAGGAGCGGATGTGTCTGGAGCTTCGTCCGACGCCCACGGCCATCGGCAAAGCGGTTTTCGGGGCCGATTTTGCCTTAGTCGACCGCTCGTGATTTTGCCCGTGCTTACCGCCCATGGAAGCCGGTCGAGAGCTCTAGATACTTCATCTGTCCTGGGCCAGGAGCTTCATTTCTTTCGAGTTTCACTAGGTTGAAACGCTTCAAAAATATATCGGTCAATTTGCTGCATTATTGTTTGCATCAGGATCGTCAAAAACTTTTGTTCCTCCCCTGTTTCCTCTGCCGCTGATACACCACCCCACCTCTTCTACTTCTGCACATTCACTGTCAGACAAGATGGTGCTTGACTACAGCAAATGGGACGCCTTGGAGCTGTCCGATGACTCGGATATCGAAGTTCATCCCAATGTTGACAAGCGCTCTTTTATCCGAGCAAAGCAAGCCCAGATTCACCAGCAACGAGAGCAGCGTCGTCATGAAATCAAAACCCTGAAGTACGAGCGCATTATTAATGATGGATTGTTGTCACGCATCGATAAGCTTCTTGAGTCTCTGAAGAAGCACGAAGACTCGTCTGCCTCCCCCGACGAGTTCATTTTCACTACAATTATGGAGTTCGCCAGCAATCCCGCCGAAGACCAAGCCCCCACCCCGCCGGAAGGAGTATACACACACGAGCCGGAACAGCCCAAGTTCTCCCAGATGATGAGCTCACTGGTGGATCAGGTGAAGAAGGAAATTGGCGATTCCAAGCCTGAGAACCTCTTCAAGGCATACATCCAGGGTGTGAATGGACACCTGGAAAAGATTCAAGGACTTCAAAAGGAATTGTTCGCAAAGCTTGCGCAACTTGAGAAGGAGGAAGGCTCTAAGATCACCAGCGATAAGCTACATGAAGGTTTCAATCAATCGCATGTGGCCAAGATTGCTGAGAAGGAGAAGGAGAAGGCGGCTCCCAAAACAAAGGAGAGCTCTGTTGAGCTCCTGAACCCTGGTGTGGGAAGCTCCGCCGCCAAGGCCGATGATGAAGGCGATGATGAAGATCCAGCCGATGTCGAGATTAGCCCGCTAGCGAAGAAGTTTGCTCAGCTCAAGCCTGGAGACTACAAGGCCTATCTACAGTTCATCTCGGCGAACCCGGAAATTGTCGCCGAGAAAGAGACTGATGGTCTACTCGTTGAGGCGTTCAACAGTCAGCTCAAGGGCCAAGATGACTATGCTCGCCAGTGCGTGCACCAAGGTCTTCTTCTGCAATACTGCCGTTCGCTTGGTCGTGACGGTATCCAGCTGTTCTTCACTCGGTATGCCAATCTTCTGCCCATATTTCTTTTTCTTTTCTTCGGTCAATGGCTAACATATAAACTTCTAGCATCACCACTAAAGATCACCGCGCATCAACCCTGTTCCTTAATGATGTCAACGAAACTTACGCTCGTATCAAATCCCGCTCCGCTGAACTTAGCAAGGATGGCTCAGCGTCCAACGATCCTGCGGGCGTAGAGCAAATCCAGCTGCACGCCGTTGACCCCAACACCAAGATAACCATCAACCTTCCCGCCGCCAACAGCGAAGACCCCATTGAGATTGAGGCACGCAAGATCTTCGACGCTTTCCCTGAAGACCTGCAAAAGGCACTGGCGACCGAGTCCTTGGACGAAGTCAACAAGGTTCTCGGCAAGATGTCCGTCGAGGAGGCAGAGGTCGTTGTGGAGCAATTGGGCAATGGTGGTATGCTCAGCTTGGAGGAAGGGATCGTGGATGCTACGACAGCAGAGGGCCAGAAGAAACTGAAGGAGTTGGAAGAAGAGGGAAAGCAGGAAGTGGGTGAGCCCGGTGGCGACGTTACCGAGCTTGACTAAGGATATTCAAAAAGCGATGATGATATGAATGGAGTATGCATTTATTTATTTCTCTTAATCCGAGAACAGGTTAGCAACTACTCCCAAGATTATCGTACATTTGTGACTTTCCATTCATCAGAGCTAATCGGCCGGCGAAGGAAATCCGTGGTATTAACGATGCTATCAATTTGAGTGAGATACTAATTTACAAACCCCCCCTAAGAGACTTCGCTGCGTTGAGTAAAATAAAATAAAGAGAACAATTGACGTAGCGGCCAGATCACGGCCAGGCTACCAAATAATGCGGGGAGGGGGATGTAGAAAAAGCCATATCATATGAGTAAATGTGGGAAACTTGTGAATACCACGTTCTTAACCCCGGACTCCCGAATCTTCTATCCCCCCACGCGCCAAAGCAAACCACCTAGATTCCGCTGGAGCCGGGAGCCTCCTGGTCTTTTCGGAGGTCGATCAACAATTCACGGAAACGCTCCTTGCCGGAGCCGCTGGCACCGCCCGCGGAGCCCTTGCCCGATACATCAACCAGCTTAGCAATGCGCTCCCAGCTGGTGCCACCCGCAGAGGTATCCTCCCGGTTGGCAAGGAACTGTTCGGCCTCGGCGCGGGCGTGGGAGCGGTTCTTATCGGCCTTGTTGTTGTAGGAAACGTAGAAGTCGTCAATATCCTCTTGTGCCTTCTTGACGGTACTGGCCTTCTTCTCGGCGGAGACCTCTGCACGGCGGGCGATCTCAGAATCACGCTTCTCACGCCATTCACTGAGGATGGAAAAACAGACGTTAGCTTGGGAATCAGAGCCGAAACAAGATGAATGCAAATCGCAAAGGCAATGCGCCTCAGTCATTCAGAGCCTGGGATCCAACTCACCGAACAGCATCTCCCTCATCCTCAGGTTCCTGCGCGCTCTGGTATCCGGTGCGGGGAAAGGTGAGCCGGAGCCAGTGATTGTGCCACCGGGAGCAACGCGCTGCAAAGATGTAACCCCTGGTCAGCATACTGTATGTTCACCACCATGTATCCAATAGCCAATTCATACCTCATTCTGGTTCTGTGTCGCAACGGAGGGGAAGGATGATTCAAATTGGCCAATTTCCTCAGTGGGCTCATCACCTCCGCCGAGCAGGTCGTCATCCATCGTGCCTACATTCGCGCCGGCAACGTGGTCTTGAGAAGTAGCGAATTGCTCTGCATCTTCACCGAGCGCAGCACGCTCACGGGCAAGGAAATCATCATCGGTGGTGGCTTGGACGTCGGCTACTTCGGTTTGGCCTAAATGCGGGTCATGTTAGCTCTGGTGTAAGGAGAGCAAGTAAGGTGGGTTGAGCATACCCTCAGAGAAGTCCTCTAGGGAAGGGAAACGGTCAGCCATGCTGGGAATGAATTGTACTTGACTGTTGTATGATTCAATAAAGGCGTTTGAATCAAGGAGATGGTCTTGAGGAGAAGTAATCAAAGGGCCAGGAAGTTGATAGTTATAGGAAGCAGTGTTGACAGGTGTGGCCGGGGCGGGCTCGGAGCCCCGTTGTTCTGCCGGTTCCGGGGCGGTAAGCTTATCCATGTTTCAAGCTTTGGGGTACAGACCACTTCGACTTCACTTGTGATGAAGAAGGTTGAGAGTTGAGATCTTCGTTTGATATTGCTTTTGCTTTGTTCTGGTGGCTTTGCTTGATTGCAACTTAACTGCAGTTTTAAATCTCACCAGTGATCTTCAATTGCTCCTCGTTTCCTATTTGCTTTCACAGTGGTTGCGACTTGCACTTCGGATCTGATAATTTCACTCCTCAAGAGCTCGCTACTTAATTCAAGTGCTGACTATTTCTATCATTATGGCTTTCACTGATGATGCTGTCAAAGCAAAGCTATCAGCTCTGAATGACACGCAGGAGAGCATCGTTACTGTTGCGCAATGGGTCATGTTCCACAGGTACAGACGCTTACTCCAATCTCAAAGAGACTTGCTAACTTTTGACTGTTAATTTAGACGCCATGCTGAGCGGACTGGACAAATTTGGCTCCAAAAGATTCGCGAATCGCCGCCTCCCAAGCGACTCAACTTGATCTACCTAGCTAATGGTATACATATCCTCCCACACCTGAGCTCCGCTCCGCTTGCTGATCATATACACAGAGGTTGCCCAGCAATCCAAAGTACGCGGAAAACATGACTTCCTCATTGCGTTATCCCCAGTCCGTCTCCCTACCGGTCCGGCATTGCAACTCAACCTAACAGAACAGTAGATAATTGTCGACGCTACGTCAGCGGCTTACAAGGGTTCGCCGAGTGAATACCAACAGAGGATACGCCGAGTCGTGGAGGTCTGGAGACAACGCAGTGTATTCGATGGACCTATTTTGGATGCAGTGGAAGCTCGTATAGACGGTAGGTTGGATCAATAGGCACGAGTGACTAGCCAAACTGATCATTGTTACAGAACTCGACAAAGCTCGTCCTACAAACAAGAAACAAACCCTCGGAGGATCTTTCTTCAAGGACACTTCTTCGGGATCCACCCCGTCCGAACTACAGCCTCTCAACCCATTGCAGGTTGCTCTCAACAAGGCTGTCATCAACTCCACCAATTCCGCCACAAGCGCTACTTCGGAGTTTGATAAGCTTCACGACCCCGAGACACCGAAGCCTACGCTGCCTGTACACGCCGCACGTCTAAGTTCACTCTTGAAGACGCTCGCCAATGCAGAAAACTCCGTCTCTGAGGTAATCAAGTCGCGCCGCGCCTTGATCGATGGGCTTGAGAAGATTCTCCAGACCAACCGTGCAGAGCTATCGAAGGAGGAAGGCCTTAGCACCGAGCTCTCCCAGAAGAAAGCCTCAGTCGATACCGAGAAGCGCGAAGTCGAAGATGCGATTATGCGCGGTCTACCCAGCGAAGAGTCCTCTACAAACCCCGGCGAACACAGCGGACACGATGATGCATCCGTCCGCCCAGAAGTCGAAGCTTTGACACCTCCCCCGGTGGAAGCTATTACGCCGGTGGGGTCCCCACAGCCAGAAAAGCAGCAGCTTCGTCGCGGCCCGTTTACCGAAGAGGCGGACGACGACACCTCAGAATGGAACCCCATGAACATCCCCGATATGCAGCAGTCAGGCAACGGGACTGCCATCACTGATAAGCCTACTACCACTTCTTCGAGTCATGGCAATGACTTTAATGTCGCTGCCGATGGTCATGCAAAGAGGCGCAAGATCTCGCATGGCGAGGAGGACTATGCGGCTTTCGCGGCCGGCGAGCTAGATGCTGATGTTGCCGATCTGCTTGCCACTCAAGGCAAACAGTAAGCGAGCTTGAAGCATAATGGTCGAGGCCAGATTTTACCTTGGTAATTTATGTGCGTCGGCTTCCCTTGTTTTGGTGTGATTTATTCATTTCTTTCTCTATTCTATCGATTGCCTCTTGGGCATTGTTTCGGTTTATTCTGGATATCTTTATTTTCGTGTATGAAGTAACTAAATGTATGAGTTGGACCATGTAACATATGGCATTGATCAGACTCGTAGTCCGATTCTCTCCGAATTTTCTCCGTGCCAGTGTCTTGCATGGTGTCTAGTGTTTCCATATACATCGTGTTTACGTGCCTATTTGCTTGCGACTGGAACTAAGCAATACAGCAACTATCGATATGCAACGGGGATGTCTGCCCTTCTGGTCACATTAACTATGAACCCATGCTATTTGCAAAAGAAACGTCATCGGAATATATCCGGATCCATCCACCGATCTCGCGCGAAGCGGTTCGACAACTGATGCCTTCGCCCCCGGTAAGACAACACAGAGCGGATATTGTTTGAAGATTCATCTTCTGGAGGTGGTGGCGGCTTTGAACTGCCCCTTTCGGTTTCACGACCAGTAAAATGATCATACCCACCACGACAAGGAGAAGTAATAGCATGATCTTACGCTTAGTGGTTCGTTGTTGATAACTCGTAGCCTATATGAGTCAGTTTCTCGTTCTAGCGACATTGAATGAAAAATAAAAAAGGAGAGGTAACATACCACTTTCAGCTCCTTGTCCGCAGCCTTCACCTCGGTGCCCATTCGCTCGACGTTGTAATCTATACGGTCCAACATGGTTCCTTGGTCGATAATCATGGTCTGCAGTTCACGGAAAATATCCGAGAGTTCAATAATGCCCTTTGCGATATCGTTGATCTCGCGCTCCCGCTGCGCAATAGCCGCATCATTCTGACCGGTCTGCCGTTGTGAAGTCTCCTGCAACATCGTCTGCGAAAAGGACCTGTCGGCATCTGACTCCATCATCGACGGATCCGTGTATGGGTTCTGGACCTGCGTAGGCGCGCCATCGAACGGCGTCGCGATACCCTCAAGATCTCGCAATTCTGCACAGAAACAAATCACCACATTAGCATATTTGAACCGACCGATTCCGCCTGTGCCACGGAAAGAGAACAAGAACGAAACAAAAAGAAAGAAGTGGTCCCGTACTCCTTAAATAGGTGCTTTGCTTCTTCCTAAACCTAGCACTGGCCTCCTGCACCCTCGCAGCAAGCGAAATCTGAATATTCTTCGCCATAGTCTCCTCCCCACTCGTAACACCACCATGCGCCTTAGACTCGCCGACCATAGTCTCGATGCGCATGATAGAGCGCTGGCAATCATGAAAGGAGCGCGTGACATCCTGCGTCAGGCCCTCGATAACGCCTTCATCCTGCCTGCGCAGCTCCTCATCGCCGAAGCCGGGGAGAAGGTGTTTCTGGTGTAGCTTGTCGAGCTGGGCGGAGTTCTGGGCGATCTCAGATAACAGCTCGGAGACCTCTTCCTGCACGTCGACCCAGCGCGGCGGGAGGAGGTCCATCTCGATGACCATGTCGCCATCTTCGTCCGTTTCGGGTATTAGGCGCCTGTTTTCCTCCGGGTGCGAGGGTGTGTCGGAGAAGCCATTTGATGGTGTGAAGTGTGGCTTTTTGGCTGGATGGTGGATTAGGGATTGGCGGTAGGAGAGGTAGCTAAATTTGGAGGTGGAGTGTTAGTTATTGTTATGATCTGTAGGTTGGTCTTGTGGGTGGTGTTTCTTCTTTTCATTTCTGGCTCTTCCCGGCGCTGACGGATTGCGCTTGGGGTAGGGTAGGGGATATGGGGTTGCATACAGGTTGGTTCGATCCCGCCACATTGTGAGGGCATCCGGAGGATCCAGTTGTGTGGCTGATTTATTAGTATGGTGAGGTTATAGGAATCATGATCAGGTGGGAGTGTTAGGCTGGGATTGAATGGTTTAGAGTCTCGATGTAGCCGGAAGTTGATAGGAGCTCTCCACATGTCGGAAGGGGTCACGTATGGTATTCATCATGTAATATGTGGTTTTGTCCACGTGGAATGTGGTAATTTTGGTATGGCTGGGTAAGATGTAAAGACAGCTTGATTTTCACATATTCTCTACTACATATGGAGAAATATATCGTCTCTCTTATGCCGGTAGCTTCAAATGGCTTATTATATGGCTCGTGTGCTTAACTGAAAGTGGCATTGACAGTGGACCCCCGGATTTTCGAGCACAATATGGCCCAAATAGGTAACTATATGTTCTCAAGGTAATGCAAATTCGAAGTCTAACAGACTGGAGAATAACAGAACAACTATATTCCATTAATATAGGCTATTATAATATGTCTCGTAGTCAGCTTGGTTCTAGGTCTATAAATACACCCGCAATCTACACCCTACGAAGTACTGGATATAAGCTTGGAAAAGTGATCCAAGATGAAATAAAAGCCAAGACCTTCCTACTTCCTAATGCAATTAAAGCAATCAAATCCCATATCTATTCTGGTATAGTACCACTGTTAGCTCGATCATAAATAGCCCTGGGCCACAGGATCAAGCTTTCTTGTCCGGCGTTACATCCACATCATACAAGATGTAGAAAGGACATATATATAAGATAGTACTTTTGAAAAGATTGAAAAGATATATCCACGTGTAGTAGACACAATGAGATAACAGAAGAAAAAGAAGAAAAAGAAATACCAATGCATATGCCCAGCCCTCCAGTGGTAACACATTCAGCCCCAGGAGAGTCCCACCGCCCTGAGATGAAACGACGCTGACTGGGCACCTCAGACACGCTATTTTGGTTACTCTCGTAAGGCTACTCCCCTTAACCCTCTTCTTCATTTGACCCCTCCTTACTTTGTTGTTATTTTCCACCTACATTCATCATGGTATGTCCCTGATCCCCCTGACTTATCAGCTGTGTTGTCGAAAATAATTGACAACAAAACCCCCCACATTGCGGGGCATCGTCCCTGCTGAACCTCACTGACCATCGTATTCTCTAGGCTGATTCCCTCACCGAAGAGCAAGTTTCTGAGTACAAGGAGGCCTTCTCCCTGTTTGTGAGTGACTACACATACACATTGAAGACGTGATCATCGAAAACATGCTGACCGGGGTTCGTCTTGTTGCGAAATAGGACAAGGATGGCGATGGTACGTGTGGTCGCGCCCGACACAGCTTTGTCGAGCCCACAGCAGGGTCCTCGGCGATGGAATTTCGAGAGAAAAGAAAAACATTCTAACATGCAATCCTACGAATAGGACAAATCACCACCAAGGAGCTTGGCACAGTCATGCGCTCGCTGGGTCAGAACCCCTCCGAGTCCGAATTGCAGGATATGATCAACGAGGTTGATGCCGACAACAACGGCACTATTGACTTCCCCGGTACTTCACCATAATCTACTGTTATAAACGAGAGACGGCTACTGACGTGCGGTAGAATTCCTTACCATGATGGCTCGTAAGATGAAGGACACCGATTCTGAGGAGGAGATCCGCGAGGCATTCAAGGTCTTCGATCGCGATAACAACGGGTTCATTTCCGCCGCCGAGCTTCGCCACGTCATGACTTCCATCGGCGAGAAGCTGACCGACGACGAGGTGGACGAGATGATCCGCGAGGCGGACCAGGATGGTGATGGCCGGATCGACTGTATGTTTTGGAAACAATCTTGGAGCCTACGGGCGCTTGCCTTCCCAAATGCTAACCTCTCCGTCTCCATATAGACAACGAGTTCGTTCAGCTCATGATGCAAAAATAAACGCCGCGTTCCCACCGTGCGCCTTTTCAATGTTAGCTGACGTCGCGGTTTTTTAACGAGAATGTTTCTCTTCCATTTCAATTTTCCAATACCGATTTCCTGTAGTCTATGCTCACTAGGCTATACATTTTGGATGATTTACGATCAAGCGTGTGCTTTGAAATGCAGACGGAGTGGACTGGGCGGTACTTTGGGTCAAGTGTTCATAATATAGGAATGATGGCTCTCCCTATAGTTCTGATGGTACAGGACTTTCAACATCACCTTGTGCCAACCAGCCATGTCCATGTCCACGAAATACCGTAGCAAGCATATAAGAAAGTAACCTAACCATTCATCCATACCAAACCCCACCACTTAAGCATACAGCTATCGATTAAACCTTAAAACCTCCATAAACTGCCTCGCAACATCTGCCCCAGACCACGGATCAGGATCTTCCTCAGCACGCTCACCAACCACAGAGCCAGTCCTATCAACCTTAGTATCAGCCCTAGTGCCAGCCCCAGACCCAGCCTTCTTCCACCTCCTCAACCGATCCTTGACCTCCCTCCCAACATTCGGGATAAGAATCGCCTCCCGAGCCTCAACACCCAATCTCCCCCAAAACTCCCGAATCAGCGATGCAGTCGCCGCATACTCAGCATCGATATCCGACTCTTCAATCGCAGAGCTAGCGAGGTCGATACCTGCGACTTCAACGTCCACATCACAACCACCGCCAGCACCAACACCAACATCAAACGACCCATCATCCCGATCCACAGGAATGGCCTCCACAACCGACGGACCACGCCACTCAATCTCAACAACTGTGCCACGCACACGCGCCGTCGGGAACGTCTGTCGCACGTCACCAAGACGCACGCGGAAGTCACCGACCTCATAGACGACCCCGTTCGGGACAGCTAGCGTGAACCGGTGGTTCCAGAAGGGCTGGCAAGCGTAGGTGAAGTGCTGGAAGAGGGTCCCATATGACGAAGGGGGGATAGTGGTCATAACCATTGGCGGGGAGGCGGAGTGATCTGGCGCGATGGCATTTACAGGGCCGCGCGCGCCTTGGTTTTGATTCTGGTTTGGTGCTGGGATGGGCTTCTCTGGCTCCGAGGTGTAGATGAAGCCGTGGGTTGGGTAGTGGGTTAATGAGAGAAATTGCATGTAGCGGGGGTTTGAGGGTTTCTTGTTTGAGTTTGAAGAGGGGAGTAGGCCTTGGGTGTCGCGGAGGAGCTTTTGCTCGAGGCCCCAGCGGCCGATTGGAGTTAGTTCTTCATTTGGGAAAGCGGCGCGGAGGCGCTCTGTTATTACTTGGAGGGCTGTTGAGGCGTTTGGGTTTGAGGGGATGAAGTAGACACTTTGTTGGGTTAGTTTGGGGGTTTGTTATGGATTGGAAGAGGGCATTTACCCTGTGATAGGCATTTTTATGTTTGTTTTCTTCTTATATTCTGGGCAGGTACAGAAGAGATGGAACTGATGATCACAGCAGTGTTGAGCTGAGAGATATCGATTGGGGCATTGATATGTTGAGAAGATGGCGGTGGTCAGCCCTAGATAGTGTTCAGTCCTGCAAGAGGATTGATTCAAGGGATCTGTAGCGGGTAGCGACCATGCAATATAGATATAGAGATTGATCAATAAGAATGATCAAGAAGTCCAGTGCCAGAAGGAATGACAAAGAATGATTCCTAAACAGGAAGGGAGCTTTGCAATCTATATAGCTTGATTAGTATAAACACTGATAGTGAGAGGAATCCGTTACCTTTGGACAATTTCTATGTATATGAGATTGTTCTGGAGGATCAAGTGGTCAACCAAATGAAAGCCCGCGATATAACATTGGAGTGCAAACAGAGCAAACATCTAAACACTTCAACTGTCTGGAAACCAAATCTTTTTCTTGCAACGATAATTGCCCTTTTGTTATATTCATTTCCTTTTCTATTACATGGTATTACAATTAGAAATTCAGATATTCAAAATGCTGCAGTTTTTTTTTCCCTCTTTAGCTCGCAAAGGGATTGATATTGCTCGAAAGTTCCCGAGGTCAGCCTTACGGTCACATGTTCAGCTCAGCTTCTCGACTTCTTGATACTATAGTCCCTTTTGACTCCGTTCCCAAAGCACAAATTGATGCATATGAACGACTTCCTATCGATGTGACATAAAGATACAAGCGGGCTTTCAGACTTGCAACTTGTTACTGCTTCCCGATCTTCGTCTAAATATCGACAAGATCAACGCCTACTCCATCAGAGAGAGTCAGGGGCCGCAGTGGGGTTGGTGGCGCCCTCAGACAGAGTACAGCTTAGAGGCACAGAAGAGCCTCTTGGCGCTTTTATCACAAGTCTAGACTTGACCATTGATACTCTAATAATAACATTATATCGTTTGGACCCTGCAGTTTTCCCTGATTGCGTGGCCCGGTGTTGAAGGGGGCACATTCTCAAATTGCGCCAATCATCATTCGATGCTCTGCAACATCATGCCTTGCACCAAACTTCCGACAGCCACAAGGACGATCAATGGAGCTCCAAAGAACTCGGCCGTGTCTGACTCCTTGAGACCTCTCACAATCCATGACGTGCCACATTGTGTAAAACTGTGTCCATTTCCTCTTTCGCTTGTTCTAACTGTCGCGAATCTTATTCTCCTGGAGACACCAATGTCGGCCTTTGTTACTGGTCCCTACACTTGACAATTGACTTGTACACCATTCCACTCCTTCTCTGGGCTTCCTAAGACTATTCCTTTTTTTTCCTTTTTCTGGTTATTTTGGCACGCCCCTACTGCATTCATTTATTATGTATAACAAGCGCAAAAACCGACCTTTATCAACAGCATTGTTTGTGATTATCGCGACATACATTTTTCTTCTTCTGGCTCCCTAGTACAAAAACATATCGAGGTCGCCTAGCAAAGCCAGTTTCCAGAAAAGACAGCTCCGTTCGGCAAGATGCTATTCGTCTAGATAAAGTCACCGAGCGATTCCCTGTTACAGAGTACATCCCATTGCCAACAAGTCCAGCGAAAATTCCCCGCATCCAGCATAACTTCCCCGAAGAAACGCGCGGCGAGCGCAATGCCAGACTCAAGAAGCGGGATGCTGTGAAGGAGGCTTTTCTTCATTCATGGAATGGATATAAGGACCATGCGTGGATGCGAGACGAGGTGAAACCCCGCACTGGAGGATATCAGGATACCTTCAATGGCTGGGGTGCCACTCTTGTCGATTCGCTAGATGCGCTTGTGATTATGGGGCTAGACGATGAGCTGCAACTGGCCCTGGAGGCTTTGGAGGAAATCGATTTCACAACGACTAAGAGCAGACATGTGCCTGTCTTTGAGATCATCATTCGCTATATGGGTGGTTTTATTGCTGCTCATGATCTGACCGAGGGCAAACATCCTATCCTGCTGAGAAAGGCTGTCGAACTGGGCGAGATGATTTTCAATGCGTTTGATACGCATAATCGCATGCCCCAGGTACGCTGGGAGTGGACTAGGTACGCCAAAATATAAACAAATATGCAATGATGTTCGGGACTGACAATACCCAGATCCGCCCAAGGCAAAGAAATCACACCATCCTCACGCACGAGCTTAGCAGAAATGGGGTCCTTGACAATGGAGTTCACTCGCTTGACCCAGTTGACCGGTGATCCCAAGTACTACGACGCCGTGCAGCGGATTATGAACGAGCTCGAGATCGGACAGGACAAGACCCGGATGCCCGGCATGTGGCCGACATGGATTGACACCGACCGAATGAGGTTCGACGACTCCGAGTTCACCATTGGCGGATGTGCCGATTCGGCGTACGAGTACTTGCCCAAAGAACACATTCTCCTGGGCGCACAGACAGACAAATATCAACGCATGTACGAAAAGGCCATTGAAACATTCAACGAGAATCTACTGTTCAGAGGAATGACCCAGGACGAGGATCAACACGTTCTCTTCACAGCTAACGTTGTTGCAATGCGGGGTGACTCGAAGACCTTCCAGTATGCGCCTGATCACCTCAAGTGCTTCATGGGCGGCACCGTGGCTATTGGGGCCAAGGTCTTCAATCGACCGGAAGATATGTATGTTGCCCGGGGACTTACCGACGGCTGTGTCTGGGCATATGATGTTATGCCTACAGGGATTATGCCGGAAGTGTTCAAGGTCAGTCCTTGTAAGCATATTGACGAGTGTCCGTGGGATGAAGAGCAATGGATGTCGGATGTCATATCGCACTCTATCAGTACCGAGGAGGACCGCGAGAAAGCGGAGGGCCATATTGAGGCTGAGCATTTGCCGCCCGGTGTGACAAGTGTTCGAGACGCATCGTATAAGCTCAGGTACGGTTACATCTCATTCCTTCTGCTGCATCTCACTAACATACTACCCTTCTAGACCTGAAGCTCTTGAATCTCTGTTCGTCATGTACCGGATTACTGGAGATAAGACTCTTCAGGACTCCGCGTGGCGCATGTTTAAGAACATTGATAAGGCAACCCGGACTAAGTTTGGCCATTCGTCTATCAACGATGTGCGTCATTCGAAACCAAAACATCAGGACAAAATGGAGAGCTTTTGGCTTGCCGAGACTTTGAAATACCTCTATCTTATCTTTTCTGAGCCAGATCATATCAGTCTGGACGACTATGTGCTGTATGTTTGCTCCCAGCTATGTTTATCCTATCTGAACGAGCTAATAATTTTCTTCTCAGGAGCACCGAAGCCCATCCTTTCAAGCGACCAACCAACTGAAGCGTTATAATATTGAGATGCAGCCTTCATCACCAGCATAATATTGGTTTGATTTGACAGGACCGGCGTTACAGGCATTAGTGTTTTCAATATCATACACAGCATCTATTTCTTCCACATCTACCAGAGCAAAGGATGCATCCCTGGAGCCCAATCCCCGGATTTATCTATGCATAATATCCCACATCCACAGGTGACACAAGAAGCCTTAATATAAAACAAAATTATACATAAGCACAAACATCAACAGAATTAATCTTCAAATCCTCCCGCCTCCTCACCTCCGCCTCATCTTCATATTGAATCGAGTACCGAATCTCCTTATGAATAACCATCTTATCAGGCCCCTCTCCATCATCCACTCGCTCAGTCGCACTACTCGCATGTCGATTATGCGGCCTCGGTACAAGCTCGATCAAATCAGATTCTGTCGCAAACGAACCCACAGACCCAGCCCTCGCGCCATTCTTCCCCTTCTCCGGTACCTGAAAGCTCAGATTCTTCCGCGGTGCGCTGAGCGGGAACATCGACCGACGTACAGGCTCACGCACCGTATCCGGTCTGCCACTCTTCGCATCCTTTCGGGTTTTCCCAAGCGCTCCGTGCGCACGGGGACTGGTATCAACACACAATGAAGGGTCCAGGCGGGGGCGCTGATTCTCCGACTGTTGCAGCCCAGAACCAGAACCAGGACCACTAACCCCCGGAGTAACTAGCGGTGGCTTTGACCCTGTCCCGGCTCTTTTCCTCTGTATGCGGGACTGCGACATGGACCTCGAAGCGGTATTTGAATTCGAGCCGGACCCGGACCCAGACCCGGTCTTCGAGCTTTCTTTCGTACCGTTTGATCTCGACGCGCTATTCTCTAGCGTCGAGTCGCCCGCGGTACCGTAGTTTGTGCTGACGGCTGCCATGAAAGGTCGGAGACAGAATACGCTGCATGCGACTAGGGCGTAGTGAAGCTCGACTTGCATCCAGATTGTTGGTTTGACGGCGGCGAGGGTTGTGTCTTTGTTGTTTAGGGCTGCGTGGAGGGATGAGATGTGGATTAGGGAGAAAATTATAAGACTGGCATTTTGCGGTTAGCCTTGGGGCTGAAATTGGGGATGCGTGTTTTACTCACGGAAAGCGAAATATAAATGCAAACCCGACGGCTAATTTGCGGCGAACGGACATAAAAAGACCTTTTAGGAGGATCACGGCGAGGAGGAAGAGGAGGAGCTCGGTTATAACGTCGACTGCGGCGATGAATTGCCACCGTATGTACTACTCTTGCGAGATTAGAGACGGGCTTCAGGGAATCGATGCATATAGTATATCATTGGTTGGTTTCACATACCAAGTCGCTGCATTCGCCGCCGTCACTCCGCCAAGGTGTGTTTAGCTCACAGTTGACTAAGACGATGAATATAGCCGGGATTACCCAGGCAGTGCACAGAGCTAGTGTCGCCCAGGATGCACGGTTATGTGGTTTCTGCGGCGTGAGGCGGAGGTAGATAGCCACGACGCAGCATTTGGAGAGGTAGATGATTATCAGAGCGATGATATCGCTTGTTGCAATTAACTTAGGTAGCTGCTCAGTTTGGGTCCATGCAAACAAAATAATAGAATATCAAATAGCAACTTACAGCTTGAATCTGATCGAGTCGACCATCCTTCAATAACGATATAGAAGTCCCGAACCCGCGCGAGCAGGCATAGAATACGAGACTTGATTGCACCACGGCGACAGCCTGTACAGTCATTAAAATAATACATGTTAGCAGTGTACTCAGGTAACTCATCCAGCCCAAATTTGACTCGAATCTTCGAGGCAACTCACCGTAGCACCCAACAAAACCCAATCATCGCGCGCAAATGGCGGAATCAGCATGAGCCGCACGTATAACCGAATTAAGAAACACACCAAGGACACAACCAGTCCCAGTGCAGCAGTGATGATTACCCACGCGCCATGGTGCAGGTCATCGACAACCTCAAAGGGCGGCGACTGGCCGGGCGGCACATATGGGCCCATGACAGGGGGAGGGAGCAAAAGCCACCGCAAACGACGGAGTCTAAATAAGTACTCTTCTCGTTGTTATGGTGTATATCATGTGGAAGGATGTACAATGTGGTGTTATGTGGAATGTATATATGGGCCGCAGTGATCAACACAGGCACAGAAGCGACTGTGAAAGGCTGTCAGATCCGCGAGCCATGTGGCTGGATGGCGTGGTGAGAATAAGTTAAAGAAGGGATTTATTTGAGACGCTTGTATACGATAGGAAAACAGAAGTAGGAGGTATGCGGGTCAAGGTGAGGTCAAGGCGAGGTGACAACGACCGAGCTAGGTTCCTTTTCTCCTATGATACGCTTGCGATTGTGGTTATTTTTCTGTCTTGGGAGATCATATGCTGATATCCGATAGAAACATGGATTATCGAGTCCAGACATGTACATAAGTACGGAGTAGGGCTGGTGGGGTTCGCTCGATATGGGGGATATTGGAAGGGGGGGTTCGAATGTGCATGGCCGGTTTATCCCTTTCTTCTTGAAGGGTATAAGTGGCAATTATTATTATCGGCATAAGTTCATGTTGTCTGGTTGGAATGGTGATCGACCTCTCTCCCTCACGTCGAACTTCGATTACTCCGTACTGTGGACATGCTGCTTTAGGGCACGGCGGCCCGCTGTAGGGTCGTCGATCAGCGTGCGCCCTTGAGAATTAGCCTGTGGGTCTTTGGGGGGCTACCATCCTATAGGCTGTGTGATTTGCGCTTGGACAAATCAAGCGAGGGGTTTATGCATTCACCCGTTATTTGGATCGAGGCAAGCATGGAGTGTGGCGGAATCGTCTGGGGGATAAGCAACGAGGGGATGTGGGACAGGGATTGATAGAGAGTTAGCGCAATTGATACATCAGAAATGTAACGGGTAGTGGTGCCGAGTCTATTCAAGGGGTTAGGTTTTGTTTATATTTCGTACTTTGTGTGTTGTTCTATTATTTTGGTGGTGCGTTCTTGAAAGAGAGAAACAAGTCATGGTTTATACAACTGCGACGGAATAGAAGGATTTAGAGTAGCATTATAACCCCAACAGTCAGTCCGAATTTCAATATCTCCCAAGTTTAACGACGTTAAATGGACAAAACCCCTGTGGCATGCAAGGTGCCAATACGCCCCATTCCGGGCAAGAGACAAGGGATAGCAAACTCCAAAAATGAGTTCCGACAGTCACATTTCCAATTGGATTCGATGCAGCACCCTTGAGCAAAGAACGATGTATCATTCGGATCATTGCTTGGGTGTTCCGAGGAGGTCTTCTCTCCCACATGGCGCGTGAGAATTATTCACAGGCCATGCCTTGCGCCCACGTCAATACCACGCTTCGGTCCCGGCAATTCAGTGGCCATCACGATTCCAGTCCTTTGGATCTTCTCCTGATAACTGCCTTTTCTGGCTACAACCATTTCTGTTAGCTTTATTAGAGGGTGCTTTGATCGTTCAGCGCTTTTATACTTCGCACCCTACATCCTTCAGGGTGCCAAGTTGCCAGGGGATATAGACTTTCTTTTTTATTCTCGCGATTCCCTTTTTTTTTTTCGCGGAGAATTTTGTTGTCTCATCTTGAATAGATTTTTCCATCTAGTCATTCAGTCACGCACGCGATCATGACGGTCTTCAGCCGGTCCAGACCTGACTCGCAGCAGACGATGACTGGTCTTGACGACGAGGAGTATGCTCAAAAAGGCCTTGTTGAGCCACGGTATATGGGCACGCTGGCAGATCGCCGTGATATGAATGCTCTTGGTCGAGTGCAGGTTCTGCGAGTAAGTTGCTCTGCTCTTGTCATTGCGGTTGTGGCGGTCTTGCTAACATCAGGAAGAGAAACTTTCGGTTTATCTCTATTGTTGGATTCGGATGCACTTTGATCTGCACATGGGAAGTTATCTTGACGTAAGTGCTAGTCCCTGCATATGATGATCATGCAGACTTCTGACTCCATTAATAGATTGCTGGCGGCTGGCTTGACCGACGGCGGTACAGCGGGCTTGATATGGGGGTTCATCGGCGTCTCATGCGGATTTACCCTTGTCTATGCCAGCATTGCTGAGATGGCCTCGATGTATGTGGCTGATGGCATGCTGTCCTTGGCTGGATCCCCGCTAATCAGTCGACAAATAGGGCCCCCACTGCCGGTGGACAGTATCATTGGGTGTCGGAGTTCGCACCAAGGAGAGGACAAAAGTACCTCAGCTATATCACAGGTAACACAGTTGACACAGCTAGTCCTTGTGTAAGTCTAGCTAGCTAATGTATTATCTCAGGATGGCTTTCTGCAATGGGTTGGCAATGCGCTATTGTGTCCATCGCCTACCTTGCTGGCACAATCATTCAAGGCCTGATCGTCTTGAACCAGCCAGATTATGACTTCCAGCGATGGCATGGCACCATGCTAGTAATTGCCATCTCGACATTCTCAATCTTATTCAACACCTTCCTAGCCAAGAATCTTCCCTTCGTGGAAGGATTGATCTTGATCATCCATGTTATTGGCCTGTTCGCCATCATCATCCCGTTATGGGTACTCGCACCGCGGAATAATGCCCACGCGGTGTTCACCACGTTCAACAACGGGGGTGGCTGGAACAATGCTGGGACGGCAACATTAGTCGGCTTGTCTACTACCATAACCTCCATGCTTGGTTATGATTGCTCGGTTCATATGTGTAAGAAAGAGCCCTATGAACGACCTCAGACTTGGTATATTGTGCTGACATCGAAAAGCCGAAGAAATCAAAGACGCATCAGAGACACTCCCAAAGGCAATGATGTCCTCTGTCGCCGTCAATGGTGTGCTAGGATTCATCATGCTAGTCACATTGTGCTTCACACTAGGCGAGGTCGACAAAATCCTCGATACACCGACGGGATTCCCATTTATCCAGATATTCTACAACACCACGGGTAGCATAGCCGCGACAAACGCCATGACCGCTGTGCTAGTGGTGACTCTGACAGCCAGCACAATCACCGAGGTGGCGACGGCATCACGCCAGCTCTGGTCGTTTGCACGGGACGAGGGGCTGCCCTTTTCGTCTTTTTTCGCATATGTAAGTCCCCGACCTAACCCCTGTGTGACATCTGAAACAAGATGTGTAGATTCAGCCATATTAACCCGTAATCACTAGGTCACACCCGGCTGGAACATCCCCCTCAACTCCGTGATGGTGTCTCTAGTCATCACAGTGCTACTATCGATGATTAACATCGGGTCGGAGGTCGCCCTGAACGCCGTTATCTCGCTCACAATCACATCCCTATTGTCCGCGTATATCATCTCGATCGGATGCGTATTTCTAAAACGCATTCGTGGCGAGCCGCTCCCACACCACCGGTGGTCGCTTGGAAAATATGGCATGGCAGTGAATATTGGGGCATTGGCGTTCCTCTGTCCGATTTTTGTCTTCGCGTTCTTTCCCTTGTCGACGGATGTTACGGTTGAAACGATGAACTGGAGCGTGGCGATGTATGTTGGCATCGTTGGATCCGCGACGATTTACTATTTGGTTAGGGGGAGGCATCATTTTATTCCGCCTGTGGCTTTGGTTCAGCGGGATGAAAATAGTTAAGGATTGTCTCTTTGTCGTTTTCTCTATCTTTTTTTTTCTGTTATTATTTTCCTGTCTATGTTTGACTGCCCAGGTGCATTCCAAGGTTGTGTATTTTGATGACGTGATGATGTGACATACTCGGTGTATAGGTACAATGTTGAGATTCTGCTATTATCATGTACTCCGTATTACCTTGAGCATCATTATTTTGTCCTTTTCAAACAGGGCTACTCCGTACATTGTATAATAATGACGTGGCCTCACCCCTATTCGTGGTGATAGTTACTCGATTTAGACGTATCGGAGACTTCCACACAGGCTCGACCGTTCAGCCGGCCAACGGAATTGAAAATTAAGTTATCAGATGGGACTGTTTCTTTCTCCTATAACACGAGCAGTTCGTGACCTCTGCTACTTCGTATGCAAAACACGGCTTCTTGTTCTGTCTAACAAAGAAAATAGTGCATCTGCAACACCTAAAATGTAGCGCTGTTGATACATAGAGATCTAGTGAACAATAAAAGCCCAGGGATGAGCTATAAGTGGAGGAGTCAGCCTGATATCGGCAGGGAGTGGTTTCAGGCTATGCGTTATTATTGAATCCTTAACCAGCCACCAATGAAACTTTCGAGCTGAAAGCTCCAGGGGTGACTGTCTTTTCTAGAACATCCCTAGCTCATTCAATCTGACCCACTGATTGATTCATGACATCCCCACTTTGGACCGAATGGTTGGGGAAATTGACTTACCGAGGGTTAGGGACGTGTAAGCTAGGAGAACCGTGATGGGTCAACGCGATACACCGGCTAGTCGGAAAAGTGGGGGAGTCCGTAGAGTTCCATTTTGTATTTTTTAAGAATGAGGAGGCTTGGAATTAGGTGAATTTATTTTATCGCTAAGTATAAGTACCCCAATATACGGAGTAAGTATCCCTTAACTGGGCTTGCCCTATGTACTCCGTAGATGGTGTGGAGTTTATCAGATGGGATTGATTACTCAATGAGGCGGACAAATCCTATCTGATTGATCTGATAACCGAGGTAATCTGTATGGTATTGTCATGTTAACGAAAATTACCCCCATTCAACATTTTCTGTCGGCCCACCTCGGAACATCCATTTTCTTTCCAATTGCAATTTAAAATATCCCTGTAAAACCCCTGTTCAACGTAAGTTGTATTATGTTGTATATTGTAGGATAGTCTACATTGCAATCATATGATATTCTTACTATGGTCCAGGTCAACAGCCGGGACTCCCCTCGGCTGTTCCCAGCGCCACCGAATACGGGTAAGGTACAAGGTCATCTTCATATGCACCGTCGATCTGGATGGATACGATGACCCCAAATGGAGCCTTTGCCATATCCAGTAGTCGAGTCCTTATTACTACTGACTTTCAAGATCTACATAAGTCAATATCCCATATTCCAGCTCTTATATAGTGTAAAATATCAATGTCGGAACCAACCGCGTAACATACCCCGTGACCAAGAATGTGGCAAATCTGATAAATCCCTGTACTGTTTCCGATCTTCCTGTGAGATCCCGTATTTCTCATTCCCATACCGTCATTTTCACTTTGCCGATTCCCTGTACGGAACTATCGCCCCGACCATTCTTCGGGTCCGCGTTCTCTTCCCTCATCCCACTCTTCTGTTCCCATGCTCTATTCATAGAAAGCAAAAAAAAAGGGGCTTTATTACGTCCCTCAACCAGTATCACGTCTCGACTCATATACCCCGGTCTTCCCTCGTTGCGCCGATTCTTGTGCAACTTTTCGGTGACTCCCAAAACTCCTCTAAATTTCCTCATGGGTATGCGGAGAACATTCAATCCCAATTCAACATTTGAGACTTAAATTCTGATTTATCGAATTAGTTCACGCCGTTCAACCTATCATGCCATCGGCGACTTACTCTACGGGGTCCCGTCCCCGCAGAGGCACTTATCAAGAAATCCCAGTGTCCTCGACCTCCCACCCAGATAACCCAATTCCCGAAGAGCCTCGAGGTGTGCGTTCGCTCTCAGTAACCGATACCAATTTCAACGTCATTTCCTCAGGCTCCTCCCAGGGCACTGTATCGAGCGGCTCAAATTCCCCCGATACCCCTCTAACATCACCCCCGAGTCCCAATCCGAGGAAGAAAATGCAGAGGAAAAGGTCGACGGTGGTCGGCAACGACGACGAGCATCCACTGTCCTCATCTCGCAGAACGCGGTTGATATGCGAAGGGTATTGGAGAATGTGGGCACAGCAGGCACTCAGAAGCTTCAATCTCTCTGCTGTGGTGGGGGTTGTTGCCGGGGACAGGCATTGCGCCCTGTAGATGGACCGATCTCAGGCTTCAATTCCATCGTTGCACCTATCGGCAACAAGGCATTTGATAGCCTCAAGCTGAACCTTGACCTCCTCACCATGGACAGTGAGCTTTCCAACATTGCCCCGCTCCCAGAGAAGACCGTTTCGTTCAAGCCGCCTCCCGCATCAGCAGCCGACATGACCTTTGGCCCTGCAGACCATCCGCCGGAATTCGTGCAGCCGCACCCCCTTACCAGGTTTACCGTGCGCCTCTGTTCCACACCCGTGAGTTGACGGGACCCGGAGCCGAAAAGCGTACCTACCACTTTGATATCGATGTTACCGACTACCCCGCCGAGAGCGGGATGGTCGACTTCGTAGTCGGCGGTGCAATTGGCGTGTGCCCCAAGAACAAGGACTCCGAAGTTGAAGAGGTCCTCAACCTCCTAGGTGTTCCGAAGTCTATGCGCGACAAGAAAGTCCTCATGCGCACAACCAAGGGCCGCTGGCCGACAATCTGGGGTGACGACAAGCCGCGCGAACTCATCACTACCCGTCGCGAGGTTCTAAGCTGGTGTTCCGACATCCAGAGTTACGCCCCAACAAAGCCACTCTTCCGCCTCCTCGCCGAGTACACAAGCGAGCCAAACGAGAAGAAAATCCTCGAATACCTCTCCTCAGCCCAAGGCCAAGGCGCCTTCTGCGACCTACGCACAAGCTCTTTCGTCTCCCTCACCCAGCTCCTAACCGCCTTCTCAAGCTCTCAACCACCCCTTGATCATCTCCTCTCCGTCCTCAACACTCTGATGCCCCGCTTCTACTCCCTGTCCCAAGACCCCCAGATCTCCTGCCAATACAAAGGCAACGAATGCCGACGCTTAATTGAAGTCGCCGTCACAGTTGCAGAATCCGCTGACTGGCGCGGTGGGACCCGCACAGGCGTAGGATCTGGATACCTGGAGTCACTCGCGCGGCGAGCGATTGCCGCCGAAGCCTCCGGCGAAAAGCTGGACCTCCACGTGCCCATGTTCCGAGGACTGATGGCGAACCCTCTCGCAACGCGCTTTGCCTCAGATGGTCCGATGCTGCTCATCGGCGCTGGCGTTGGCATCGCACCTTTCCGCGGCTTCGTGCAGCGCCGTCTGCAGTCGGCGAACTGCGCCAATAAGGTCTGGGTGCTGCAAGGCGTGCGCGACTCGCTGCTCGACGAGCTTTACTCCGGCGAGTGGGGCGTGCATGAGGATAAGGTGCGCACTGTTGTGCAGAGCCGTAGGGGCGAGAGTCGCTATGTGCAGGAAGAGGTTAGACACCAGGCTGACCTCGTTTGGTTCGTTATCAACTCGCTTGATGGTCGTGTCTTCGTTTGTGGTTCGGGTAAGGGTATGGGTGAAGGTGTTGAGGCTGCTCTCATTGATGTTGCCATGGCAAAGGGTAATCTCAATGCTCAAGAGGCCGATATGTTCTGGCAGCGGAAGAAGGAAGCTGGACAGTATATTGCTGTAAGTTTTGATATGTTTTGATGTCTTGGGGGTCTATACTGACTATTTTCAAGGAAACTTGGTGATCACTCAAATTCTAAGTGGCTTGACGCATTGCGCCTTGATGGTTAAATGCTCATGCATGTGCAAAAAGACATTGTTGGTCCTTCGTCTGTACATATTTGTCCCATCCTGCCTGCATCTGCAAAAGCTCTGCGGTTGTTCTTTCTTTTGCTTCAAGCTTATTGCTAGACACACTCGACCAGGTCGTCGACTGGCCTTTATCCTTTTGCTCTTTGTCTGATTCATGTTCTTTTAGCGGGGCGGTTACTTGTTCTCTCTTGTCTTTTTCTCCTTTTGCATTATTTATTTCTCGGGTTTATGGCTGTTATCTCTTTCATTTTAGTTGGATATGCATATATCAATCTTTGTTTCTATCTGATTGTTCTTCTTGGCGAATTCTTCGCACCATATCCCGGCATGCACGGCGGATTCGCTGCTTGGTCTTGTCCGTCTACTTCACGGCAGTCTCGGATGCCGAACCCAATCACAAAACAGACGACATGATGCACCCCGAAATAGAAAATTACCCTATATGGAAAGGGAATCGGCTATCGCATATCATTTTTTGATCTCGCTCGATTTTCACCGTTACTGTTATCCGTAGCTGGCCCTCTAGACCATTCATCCCTCTCCTACTTTCATCAACCTATCGCCTATATCTATGAAACTGCCATCGGTTCTCTCTTTGTTACCTAAGCTCATCGCCCTCGATATTCAGCGTTGGTCTCTATACATCAATTGAATTCTGACGCCATTGGAACTGATCTCACTGCGGAACCATGGCCATGGTTATGGTTGCCTTTGCCAGCACTAGACAACAGAGCTCGGCAACTTGGTTGGTGCAGATCCAAGACCGGCCATACCATTTGCAGCTCGATAGCCGCGCGAAGGATCAGCTAACCTTCAATCAACCTAGCTAAGCACTAAAATAGGGAAAAGAGACAGGCAAGGTTCACAAACCGCGCGGTATCAGACTCAGAGGCGTTGCGATGAGATCGCCGCGTCGATGTCACCGTTGATCCGTCCTGTTCTGGGTGCCTACTTATTCATCTCAGTCTGAACTTGTTCCGCCTTTCCGTCCTATTCTCTCTAACCCCATCTACATCATGGAGTCCCAACCACCCCTACCCTATTATTCCATCAGGCAGTGCCATGTCGACTAATGCATCGGGTCACGATCTCATAATTGCCTGTTATTTCCTGTCTTTCCAAATTTATATTCGGCCAGTTTGTGCTAGAGAAGGAATAGCCTCACGTCATAAATCAAGCAGAAACTACTCAAGGCAATCGTCACTATCGGAACTTGAAGTGCAACGCACAGCCATATATTCGCACAACAGTGGTGACCTAGGTATCACTCAGCAAAAGATCAGGGTAAATAAATCACCCATCCATCTATCTACGCATCATCCATCATCCACCAAATAAGAACAAGAAACACTGTTGTTGGGGCGATCGAATCAGATTTACCCAAAATGCTAGGACATAAAGCAAACATAACATGAAGATACACATGTAGCAGTCAATTGTGTGCTTGAGGTAATTCATCAAGACATTCTTCGGTCGACATTCAGGTAAAACAAGAGCGGCGGATGCAAAGGATTAACAAGCAAAGCACTAGAGCATGGCAACAACCACCACAACGGCAGCTGCCCCCATTGGCGCAGCAGTAGCCATAGCAGCCCCCGCATTGGGAGTCTGGGTTGCCTGGCTGGCAGTGAACGAAGCCGTTCCTGCCGTGACATCGATCCCGTAGGAGGTGTAGGACTCCGTTGGCAGGTTCTTGGTGGAGGTGGAGGTAGAGGTAGAGGTAGAAACGCCAGCGGCGGTGCCAGTGACTTTCACGCTAAACGAACAGGAAGGAGACTGGGTGGCCTTCGCGAAAGTGCAATCAAAGTTCTGGGTTCCAGTCACAGCATTGACTGATCCCGAGCCCGACGAGGTATATACACCAGTGAGACTGTAGGTGCTTGGGCCCTGGATCATGGTCCAGGGAGTCGCGATTTCACAATCAGACCTGGGCGCATCGCTCAGACATCTGATTTCGTAGGTGGTGGCGACGGCATTGATCCCAGCGACGCTGGCAGCGGTGCTGGTCCATGGGTGGAGGCTGAGTGAATGAGCCCATTGCATTCCACCGCCGAAATAGTTGATTCTGGTTGATTCGTCCGCAGTGACGAGGGCAGCTAGTGCCGTTGAGAGAAACCAAGTGGTACGCATTATGTATTTCGTTTTGTCTTTGGAAGTTGAACTGTTAGAGCAACTGATGAGTAGAGATTATAGGATCAAGAAAGGAACCAAGTGGGAAACGGTTCCTCATTTAAGTGGCATTCCCCAAACTATCAGGGGGGCGGCCCCCGTATGAATTCAGCCCTGCAAATGAGCTGATACATTGCAGGCTAACTATGCAACTAAGCAAAGCGAGAGAGTCTCATTGGGTTGGCTGTAAAGGGACGTGCGTAGGGCACCCGATCAGAGCCGGATCAACCGCTGTAGCCTAATTGATGGTGATGGTGCAGATGCACTAGGCAAACCATTTGATACGCACCCTTTGAACAAAGATATGGGGGGAAACTGACTGCAAAACTCATGAAGTCGCTCTATGTTGTATAGGTTTTCCATCTTGAGGGCGTGATTAAAGGGTCAAGCCCCGGGGGGCCGTTTCACAAGTTCTCACTCCTGTATCAGGTTGGGGCCGCCCCAATCGGGCTGTGAAGCATAATGCACCCTCGACGACGGAACAGGAAATTTATGCATTGAGAATGTATATGCTGTTATTGGATTTTTTATCGGAGAAGACAGAAATAGTTGCAATTATGATCTACGGCATGGGTGGATGAATTTCTTTGGAGAAGGTTGGAGAAAACCGTAGACTGAATTGAGCGTGACTGCGACAGAGAAAGAGAGGAAGATTGATCTAGGTAAGGAGTAATGTGCTGTCCACCTTAGACAGTATGGTTCCTCGGCAATTTCTAGATGCTTTTGCAATCTCTAGACCGCTACTCCGTCGAGAAACCGTCTAGAGCTGCTCGAGCGAGTAGTAACTGTTAAAACGGGTGCCTAGTCAGGCAGTGGAGATGGGTATAGATACCTGATAGTTCAGACCGGTATATTAACTAGCTAACGTATTCCACAAGCGAGTGGCCATCACAAGCGAGTGGCCACCCCAAAACACCATAGTAAATGCGATATATTCCACATTTATATCTCAACAACCATATATTCATCCTATCTCCCCGTTTGTTGATAGTCATTGATAAGACTTATTAGCACTATAAATCAATTTCAAAGAGAGTAGAATACTATCTTACTATCATTTCAAAAATTACCGAAAATTACGTGTCTAAAAACTAGAAATATATATAACGCAGTCACAAAGCCATAAATGTCCCCAAAGCTCCCTAGATATGCTAGATATCATATATAGAGCACTATGCTATAAAGAAAAGTCTCTATAGACCACCATTGTTGAGATATCAAGTTGTAATATATCGCATTTACTATGGTGTTTTGGGGGTGGCCACTCGCTTGTGATGGCCACTCGCTTGTGGAATACGTTAACTAACTAACTAGGGGCCCGTCTTCTTTCTCTACTATGAGCAGCCGCATACTTTGCCAACATATTATTTGGCAGCCTCGCTGTTGTACTTGTATTCAGTATGACTGTCGCGTAGTGCGGAAGTCACATATTTGACAGAGGTATCCCTATAAGACAATACGACATTGTCGGGTTGTTTGAATATCTCATTGATTTAGAAAGCTTTTCCTTCGTGTAATATATCAGTGATGCATAGCATATCAAACATGTTGCAAATAGTCCGTGATATAGTGTTAGACTCGGGAAATAGAATTAACCATCCAATGTTCCTCCGCAGGTGAACCATGGTGTGAACCCTCATTGCACTTCCAAAGTTCTATGGGCTTCCATGACTTCCAAGATGACCTTCCAAGATTTCCAAGGTTCCTTCCGGATATATCAGGCAGTCCTAGGAAGGCGGTATGTGAGCTATTCATGGCTGCCTAGCCTCGAGTCCAACAAGTAACCATCCTGAATATCATCCGCATTTCTTCCCTGCCTAGGTAATACCTTACTATCAAAATGTCAGAAGACGAAATAAACCCAGAACTACTTCCCATCACCATTTCCGCAAATACTTTAACTCCAAATCCTAATGCTTCACGTTTCGATCTCCTTTACTCCACTATCGAAGCCACCATCCAAGATGTGCAAGCTCGACCTGAGATTCATCGCCCGGACTCCATTATAATTACCGATATTACAATCCAAGAAGGTGAACGACTCTTTGACATGCTTGATAAAAATTTCGAGTCGAGAGGGATCCGAAAGACCCTCAATACGCGCAACAGAACCTTGGGGATCAAGCTGTGAGTCTTTGGCAGGAAATGTTTTCAACAAGGCGTTTATTGCTAGAGAATGAAACACTGAAGGTGTGTGTTTTAAGTTGCTAAGATCATGTGGTGCTTGCTCCGGGTTAGAGGTAATCACGTTAGTTATTTGCTGTTTCTATAGGAATTCAGTTGCTTCTTTCTTATCCTCTAACTCCTCGTCTCCCGCCTCCTTATTAGAAGCCTAGACGTCGACAGCAATAATCACCCTTTGTTTTGTGTGAGCATCGACGGCCACCCTATTATATTATAGAATGCGTCGGGGATGCGATCAAGTTTCTTATCCTACTTTAGTAGTGTGGAACTGCTGCTTTATAGTATAGGCTCTAACGCTCTGTAAAGACCCAAAGAAGCTGTTTTCTACCGTGGCCACCGAACTAGTCATACCTCTTCCTTAACCGGCTTCCTACGCCAACCGGACTCGAAATATAAGCTTCGACGCTCACTATTTGTCTCAAAAATTTCTACAGCAATTTCATATTGATGTTCGCTACCAGATATGCGCAAGCCCTTGGTTATGGGGACATATCACTGATGCGCTTGACTAGACTAAGCACGAGATATATAAACCATATTGCAGGATTCGATAAGTGCGCATAATAACTAGAAGGTAGTATTTCGCTGACTATGCGCTGTCGTTCACCCCCTATAGGCCAGGGATTTCTCTCTGATGGTGGTATAGAGACGCTAAACCGACGTGGAAGCAGCGCCCTTATAGATACAACTGGCAGACACAAAGTTCGAAGCTGTGACAATACTCGGGAGTTCCTGTTGCAATCTATTTACATTCTTATTTGGCGTCTGATGCAAGCGGAACAAGTGGACAAAGCGCTTCGCTTCCTTGAGCCATAATCCTTCGATGGACCCCACAACATCAAACCCCTTGATGATACAATTGTGACAACGAGGGTTGCCTGGATGGGACGACTATGTTGACAAATATGGATGTAATGCCACGTTTGTGCAAATTCGTACTTCTTGTAAATAAGAAACAGTCTGAGCAGTCGAATTCGATTTCATGTTTCTCTCGCTTACTTTGGCATCTAACCCGTTAGGTCGCATCTTTATTTTCACTATATTACTCTTAGTAAATCTCCAGTGCTGAGATGTGGATATATTTCAAGGAGATACCAAAAATCCCCTCAGATGTGACTTGTTCAGCATATGTGATAAGTGGGCTATGCCGTCCTTGCCACTCCATGGCCCGGCTCGAAAATGAAGCGAGTGACATTTAGGGGGATATATGCCTGTTTATATCCCCAATTATATTGCATTAGGAAGTAGCAGGAAGTGATACTTCTGACGTCTCACATAGGATCAAAGTCTTTCCTAATCGAGCGAGATAACGTTAGATGTCGGCTCTAAATTTAGCCGACAAGGGTAGCAAAGCTCCAACCGAGCAGAAATCAGACAAAGAAACAAAGTACTATCGACACGGTCTTTAGCGCCGAGCCAGGCACTAATGCATAACCCACCGATTCATCACCCGAGCTCCCGTCGCTACACCTTTCATCATCCAGCAACTCAGATCACTCCATAGGGACAGGAATTCCATTTCCGGGCCCTGTCTAACTGCCTAACCCGTCCAAGAAAGAGACGTCTGACACCCGCCCACGTCATTGAACAAGACAAGGCCTCATCTAAAACTAAAAAAATATTTGATCTGACCAATAGAAAAAAGAGCCTGTAATATCAGTTTGCATGGCGACGAGGGATTGGTGGCCTTATCACGAACTATGTCCTTGGCACACCTGAATCATGCATGAGTGGTCCTCCGGTGACACGAGTCTATGTTGTTTTGGGCAGCCAAATAAGCAAACAATTCGGATTGTCCAAATTCTAGCCAGGTACATGCTTAAAACGTGCACCTATCAACGACCTAGACGTTTAATTCAGGGTGGTTTATGCAGAGGGCCCTTTTGGGATGTCCATTGTTGCATCGTTGTGTTACTATGCTATGGAGTACTTGTGCTATGAGCCAGCCATAAGCTGCAGATCACCTTATTATTTTTTATTATATGTATTCCTGATGGCAATTCCTTTCTGATACCAAAAAAAAAAGAAGAAGAAGAATCGGGCTTGATTTTGGCGGTTCACGAAAAGGAGACTTGTATTGATTCTAGAAGGAATTCTTGGCAATTCAATATTATAATAGACCAAATAGAAGCTCAAATGTCAGGGAAATGAAAAATAAGGTTAAACACTCAAAATTGGATCAAAAAATAAAAATATATATAATAAAATAATAAAATAAATGTAAATTTAAAATTTGGAATAAAAATTGAAATGAAATAAAAAATAAAAACAATAAAAAATAAAAATAAAATAAACCCCCGGCAGACCCAAGAACCGGGAAATGAAAATGACAAATACTGCAAGTATCCATGGATCAGTATGTGCTCCCACCGATCTGGAGTAATTCCTCCGAACGCTAGGGTTTACAAGCCAAAACTATATGCAAGAGAGGCAGAGAAAGGCAAGATGTAATGTTTACCCCTCTCTATTTCCCCTCTAATGACTCTGGCTGCTTTGAGAGGACCAATGATTCGCATTTTGGACCAGTCCATTTTCCAAGAGACGATCCTGGTTGCCTGCGAGATCCGATGATCTGCATTCCTTCATGCACGATCTCTGATCTCGTGAATGAGGATCTAAGGGCATGGCAGGTATGACGATCGGATGAAAATTCCAATTTATTTTTCACTTTTCTCTGTGCACTTTCTTTGTTGGCTGAAGTGTACGAAGATCCTCGGTTTGAGAGTTTCATGAAATAAATCTTTCAAATTCCGCTTTTTCGAACCAGATACATTTGGAAGGACGAATCAAAGACAGTCTCGGGAGATTCAAAGCTTCGAGGCTGGCTCCATTCGATCGGAAATGATTTTCAGATTTATTTTAAAGGGGATCTACCATTCGATGGGTGGGTCGAGAATATGGGCCTAAAGGACATACTTTAGGGCCCGAGGTGACTGCGATGTCAAGTTCAGTTATTAAACTTTGAAGTAAATAGACTCGGGTGTCAGATGAAGACGGGTTATTATAGGGGCTATAGTATAGGGCTGTACAGGGGAAAGTCAACAATTCCAATATGATAGTACATAGACTGATACTTGTCTCATAGTGCTCCAGGATTCACTAGGAACCTATCCAATCACAAAAAATCCAGAAAAAGAAACGCCATTGTCCCGACTTGATTGGCTGACTAACACTAGGCTGGATAAGGCTCAGCTCGCATTTATGTACTCAGTACGGAGACGTAGTCCAGTGATCTCCAGACACGACAGGCTTGTGCCACTATTGAATTGTCAGAATGTGACTAGTTTCTAGAGCGGGTCTGTTAGTGCAATTTGTGTCGTGTCAAGCTGAGAAACTGCTCCCGAATACATGTATAGTGGCCCAGATTCCATCGTCTGGACGCGATACGCGAGGTAAAGATGCTAATTAGCGCAAATCACTCAATTTACGGTCGGTGAGGTTCTAAGTTAAGTACCCAAAATGCAACACAACTAAGAGATATCATATGCGAGCGTATCTTCAATCCAATCATATCAATAGTCGCGACATTACCAGTTCACGAGTGCATAACGTCGTGACAGCAGGCGGGAAAAAAAAGGAAAAAACCAAAGCGGGTTCTCCGGGTGATCCTTGATCTGACATACGGAGACAGAAAATAAATTCCTGAAAAAGAAACCAGCAAAAAAAAAAGCCCTGGACGCCACAAGCTCTCGAAGGAAGTGGAGATGCAAATTGAAGAATCCCTTGGTGATCTATCCCTGGAGACCAATACCAGCCCCTCTCCCTTTCCATTTGGTCGATCAATCACCGTGCCCACCGATGAGAGGCTCTAGGCAATCTACGATCGATCCGAGACGTCACCTCTGCGGAATCTGATTCGTTCAAATTAAATCCAGAACTTTTCTGTCTTTTGTCCCCACCACCCGGGTTAAGCTCTCTTCGGAACACGATCTTTTTAGAACCAGTGACAACTCTCCTTGGAAGTGGCGATCTTTTGTGATTCGGCGTCTGGAAGATCCACTTTGGATACTCTTTTCCTCTTTTTTTTTTGGCTTTTTACCATACGAGGGTTCGGTCTACATCTTGAGACTTGACACTCTGGTTGTCTTTTCCTCTTGCACAGGAGTGGGTGTTTCTTCCCCTTTGTCACTATTTTGTCACGAACTACTCCGTACCGAGTACTAAATCCCGAGTACTGAATCATAGATCCCCACAGTAAAAAAGCAATATGGATGTGATTTGATTTAATATGTATTTAATTAGAGAACTAATTAACTTTAGCCTGACTCAGGCACATCATGACAGAATTTCTCCCCCTCCTTACTCCCCTGTCTGCCGGACATCCCCTCTTCCCCAACATTTCCTTTGTACTCTCTGTATATTCCCTTTAATTGTTCTTTTATAAACATTTACTTTTCAAGTATACTATACTATCTGGTTTTAATTTGATTTCAAATGACCTTGGAATATCTCTTTTTTAGGATAATTGGAAATACGTATTGGTTTATAAGCACTGGCATAGGATCCCCTCTCGATTTGACGTACACTAGCACCTTATTATATTTTCAATTATCAAGAAACTCCGAGGTCCTTTACCCCGAAGCATCCAATCAAAACCCCTCCTAAAATACAAGTAGTTCGTACCTAGGTAAGATAGATCCGCTAAGACTATTCCATAGGAACCAAGGAAAGACTATATATCTGTCAACCTTAACCACTTTCTCTTGATCTCCGCTCTGCATGCCCTTGACGCGGAGCCTTGGTGCTCCGACTCAATGTACCCACTAAGCCCACGATCGTCATTTTTCGGCCCCCCCTGTTCTTGCTTTTCCATGGACCTGTACCAGCTGGATCTTTTTTTATTTTATTTTATTTTTTTAATTTACTTTAATGTAGATTTTGGGGCCACTTTTTTTTGGTAGAAATAATGTACGGGGGCCCTGCATTATTTGGGAAACCGCATTTCCATCTTTGCCCTCATTCCCCAACCTTGCATATAATCTTGGCCTTTCTCTTTTATTTTACCATGTCAACGTAAAATAAGCCTGTTTTCCCTGGTGAGTGCTTCCTTCGGATACTTCCACCCCTCATCCCTTCCTTTTTTATACCTTTACCTGGAGAGTCTCGACCTTTCGACCTTTTGAACTACAAACTCGTCTGATATTCGATTCTGACTGTGTCGAGTATAGTTCTTATTTTGTAATACACTGTGAAACTATTTTCCGGACATTTCTATCCTTGTCCCTCCCCAAATACCTTGTCTATGTCACAGTCCCATGAGGTAGACGAAGATACCAATATGGCTATTTCGTATACAACCCAGTCGTCAACCGGACACCCTCACCAAACTCTCCCCTCATTCCGCGAGGTAAGATTACAACCTTCAATCCTCTCAGAGATATGACCTGAAATCAATATCTAACATCCCTCAGCTGCTCCCCGCTCACCTCCACGATGAAATCGAATCAACATCCCCATTCTACACCACCCCCGCCACTCACAAGACCGCCCACCCTCAGGCCACGAGATGGCCGACCCCCGCTCAATCGCATACACCAATCAAACCAACCAAATTCCCTACGAATCCCACCGTGAATACACAGTCTCCCGCGGCGCAGACCATCAACCCCGCATGCCAGACCCAGGCCACCACATGCATCTAGCCGAAAACGCATCCCGCGGGCCCAGCCCAATTCTTCCCCCAATCCGTGACCTGGACTCCATTCCTGGTCGAGCAATGAACCCGGCCTCCAGCAGCGGGTATTCCGAGCGTCCCCCACGCTCCGACCCCTTCGTTGCACAGGAATACCGCCAGCCTGCGCCGACGGCAGCAATGTCCGCTGATCCGCGCGGCGAGCACTTTACCCAGCCCATCATGCATCCCCAGTCGCCGTATGGACATCCTGGTATGGCGTATGCGGATGAGCAGATGTCGCCGCAGATAATGGGACACGGGCAGGGAAATTTCGGCATCATGGGGGACCCAATTGATCCTAAGACGAAGCGGAGACGGGGGAACCTGCCCAAGCCTGTTACCGATATCTTGCGGGCTTGGTTCCATGAGCATCTTGATCACCCTTACCCCAGTGAGGAGGATAAGCAGATGTTTATGACGAGGACGGGGCTTTCGATTAGTCAGGTAAGCACTTTTGAAACTGGAGACCGGCGACTGAGTTGCTAACTTTTGTCTTTTCTATACAGATTAGTAACTGGTTTATCAATGCCCGGAGACGACAGCTTCCTGCGCTGCGGAACCAAATGCGCAGTGGTGCGGATACGGAGTCTCAACGACAGTCGCCTTTTAGTGATGTGGATGGATCGGAGCACATGCCCTCTCCTCGTCACTAGTGGCGATGAACCTGGACCTTGAGTTCGGGTTTGATCATGGCACCCTTCTTTTTCATTTCTGTTCATTCTTCAACGTTACACGGCATTCGAAACGTCAGCGTTTTATTCACTTTACGACTGGGACGCTTTTATTTTGTTTCTCTCTACCATTTACGACTCACGGGGTTGAGGACACGGCGAGCTTGATAGACTGGCATCTTTCTTTCTTTTTTCTATATGTTTTTTTCTCCCTTTCTCACCTTCCATGTCTCTGGAGTTCCCTCTACATGTCACATTGCTGTCCGGTACGAAGACTCTGGTCGGACATTATATTTTGATACCCTTTCTCTATGGCCGCGTTTACCAAGCGGGAACTCATTTCGTGGAAAATCAACAGGCAAAAGGGGTACACGACAAATTATGGCATTGGGAATCCTATTGAATCCTTTGTATGATTTACTCTACTTTGTGGTTTTCTTTTCTCTCCATGTTGCGCCGCATTTCCATTGCATTGTGTGTCCCTGGACAAGACCCGCGAAAATTGCATTACTAGGTGTTCTTTCAAATCTGCATGACACAATTTTTTCAATTTCATTTTCATTTTCAGATTCTGATAATTGTCATTTCTCCATCCCTACAAGCGCCAACGCGGATCCGAAATGTGAAGCAATACCGAGATACGGAGTACCAAGCAGATCTCAGCTGCCCACCGCGCAACCCGTCTCCACTTTGTCCCCATCGCGACTAGCCTATCCATGTTCTTGCTCGCATCCCGAAACGTGGATCTTACCTTACCCACGGGTCCCAGCACCACCCTTTCGATCCCCATGGTCTTGCGAGTTTGAGGACTGGCTTGGATATAATTTACCGCATGTCCGTACAATATACGTAACCAAAGCTATCTGGACACATACCTAGGTAATTTTCTTGAGCCATTTCCAGGGAAATGCCATTGAAAAAGTGGTTTGCGGGCCGGGGCAATGAGCCAGAACCATGGTTTGGGCCGTCACTAAACCACTAAATTCCAAATTGATAGACCCGTAAACTAGTGGATATCCGACTCCACCAGGGCATGTGTCAAGATCGACCCCATTTTTGAGTTTTTATTTTGTTCATGACGTCGACCTCGGGGAGTTACCAAATATCAACCTCATCCCTACCACGGTCTATGTTCCTTTTAACTTTCAGATAGCGCGTAGAGTTTGGTTCGCGCGGGACCTTAGTATGATCTGATTCTCTGTTATACGCCTTGCATTGCATTCAATATTAGGCTTATAATAAAGTTATCGAAAAATATTAACTTTCGAGATTTCGAATGAATTCCAAATGGCGTGAACTGACAGCTGCATGGAGCCCCAACTTAAACTTCAGCTTTTCGGTCCCTCCGTTGGTCCACAAATCTACAAATCTACAAACTTAGACATCCACAAACCCACACAGGAACCACTCCAGACCATGGAACTTATTTTGACTTTGTGTCAGCCACGTGAGCCGGGATTCGATCCAGATCTCCTTCTACACGGGGTATATTCGGGGCTTTTTTTTACCTTTGACAGTCCCGAAGCATGGTATATCGACGTGTTCGACCAGACTTAATTTTGATGTGGAATTGAACACGTTAATTAAACATTTACAATAATGGTGGTTCATGAACCACATATGGCTTATTCTGGAATATTATCTATGCTTGCTCAGATCCTATTCCGATTCCGAAACATGCCTAAATTGAGCGCGGTTGGGAACTGAGACAGGTGGGATTCTCTTCGGTCGCATCACATTACTAACGGATTGTACCTGGCAGTTTCTACTTTTTGTGTTCTTTCTGTGGTTTTCCCGAGCTGACCCCGGAAGACACAATTATGGGGTTCTGACAGACCCCGAAAAACTTAGTTGACTGCCGATCTTGTGCTTCGGCCACCCTACCGAGTAGAATTGAATCATTTGCAGGGGCGGGTACAATACGGAGTATACGATGTAGGATCTACCACTCAGATATGTACAGATCTCCAAATTTGAGACTCCAGTGAGGGGACTGCAACCCACTCGGTTGAACTCATATTGAAAAAAAAAGTGATATCAAATTCGCATCTCATAAACCAAGAAAAAAAAAAAAGGGGAAAGGAAAGGAAAGGGGGCAAAAACAGGATTAGGGTTGCAGTTACACATATCTGCCCCGTGCTGCAATAAAGTAAATAGCATCTAATGCACAATGTACCTCGACATCATAAAAAGCAAAATCAAAAAAGCAAGCATCCCATGTATACGGAGTACAAAGTACATATGTTGTACCCTCGCGATACAACATAAAGCATATAAACGAACAGGGTGTTAACCCCGTAACTTAGTCCCAGATAGGGGGGGCCAGCGGATATGCAAGCCACTAGCCCAAACCCCGGCATGCACTATCTCTGACGTCCACGACTGGCCGATCTAAAAAGCAAAAACGCACCCAACAAAAGTCGTGCAGCGTGCAGCGTGCATACAACTTCCAGTTTTCGTCGAGCTGGCCGAATCACAGTCCATGGGAACATTTATCCACCCCCTTACCGTTGTACCCTTACAACCTGCCTCTGTCACTTGTCAACTAACTCGAGACAAAATGCCCAGCCAAACCCCGGTTCTGCGGGTTCTACGCCTTACGCTTTCCGGACCTGTTTCCGCCCTTAGATTTCTCGCCACTGCGGTGGATCCCCGATCGGTGTCTTAGCCACCCCCACTTTAGCCATTCGGTATCCAGATACTTGCATCCGACCCGTCACATAGCGGTGAAATTGACGTCTGACACTTCGTTGTGCACAAGCGTAAATATGCACATTTGGAGCTGTATTAGGCAACTATCGCGCATGTGCTCCATACGTCGTACATATATGTTGGGTGCTATGTATGTGTACGTCTTCCCCTCTGCGCTGTCACGGGCGCTTAGGCCTCGATTATGGACGTGCGTGTCGATCACAACGACGTCTGTGCTAGGTGAGGTAGGAGGCGTGCGCTTTCTTTTCCATCAGAGGTGTCAACTGGGGGATTTGTGAGCTGTCTCATGTCAGGATTTGGGTTGTGATGATCGCGTGGAGATCGATAGATTGGTTCGTGCGATCGTGACTCTCACCGTATACTCCGGAGAACTACATAGTACTACTAGGACGATATCGGAGTACATCTGTACTCTGTACGGAAGGGGGACAACGTATGTTGTCCATATTTGAATAATTGGATCGGAGTGCGGAGTACGCGGAGCAGTATAATATAAGTCATATGATTCAATCCGACCACATATTGGATTTCAATCCTCACTTTGAAGGGGGAATTGAAATTGAAACCCTTGACCTACCCTACATGCTTTGAATGTAACGTCGTATAATTTATGGATACTTTATTTTTAGATGTTCCTCGCTACAAGCCGAGTGACATGATCTGGATTTGATCCCGTCCAAGCTTCACACGAACTATTGAATCTTGTCATATTAATTCGAAACGATCGACAGACCCACCGTTCGACGTCGATTATGCACTAGGTTCAATAGCGTCGTTTAGCCTGGCCGCAGTGGCCTTTTTTGACATTTGCATTCTCACTTTTCTGGGGTCTTTGCTCGGGGGTTTGTATTATTGTGGACTAGCGTTATACTCCGTAGACGAGATAGCCGCTTGTACCCCATACTCTTCTGTACTCCGTACTATCCGCCACGATATAATAGCCCGTCTTTTCAATAATGTACGTAAGTGTGGGTTTGCTGTGGGTTCATGGAGAGTCATGTCCAGGTAGGATCTTGTGCGCCTACTCCGTACCAAAACAGGTTCGATGCTGCTGCTTCGTTTGTGATAAGTGATGACATGGCTGCCCACGTTCTAAGATGGGTTTTTACCAATTAACACAGGCGTAAATCGGCTTCACGATCATGTTCCACGGCGCATACCACTATTTGTACCAGCCAAGTATCAACCAGGTGCTTATCTTTTGATCGACCAATCCCAACTAGCAGTGACATGCAGCTATGCATTATGCGCTCTTCGAAGTGATATATGTTGTATATCTATAATACCAAGTCATAACTATCCATCTGTGTGTCACACTCCTCGCTTGTCTATCACAGTTCTGTAAGGGGAGAAGCAATCAGCACATAAATGCACCAGCTTGTCATTGTGCACGAAATATTTTGACCGATACAACCAAGTTACCTAGGTATGCATGCTACACATGTAATGCTACGAAGAGAAAACCAAAGGAGAATATATGAGATGTCGGGCATAGATAGATTTGTCAATGCATATCACTTCTCGGGTATCTAGAAGCTCGGGCGTCTCACTTAGGACGCTAATGCACACTTGATGTAATTGATGTCATACTGCCGCGTATGTAAGCATGGTATTTGAACTACCTTCTAGTACAGCATAGATAAATCTACTCTAGTGGGCTGCATATCTAGGTAACTCGGTCCGTGAGCATTAATCTAAATGTCCTACGGCTGGAATATCTGCTTGCAAACGGTTGTAAGTATATCTTATCTTGACATATGAGTTGTACTTCTCTTTGCGCTTCGTGCATAACCGTGCTATCTTCTATGTTTCGACTTGAAACCGAGACTCGAATTGGGGGAGATAACCAAGGTAGATACACCAATTAGATGACTATAGAATTCTTAGTGGTTTCCGATATTGGATATTGAATTGTATTAGCAAAGGCAAGTCTAAAGGAGAGACCCTGGTTATGAGATTATATGGTTCGGAGGAAATGGGTTATGCCTACACACCCAACTTATTGATTTTTTTTTTTCCTTACTAGGGTGTTTCAAATGGGATTCTCCCGGCCGTATGATTTCTACTCGACGTATCGCTCAGCGTGCCGTGCTGTCGTTCTGTTGTCACTCCCAGTTTCTACGGTAATGCCGGGGAGTAACCACACTGCTTTCTACGGCGTGATATCTCCTTTTACAATGCATATTGGACAGAACTACCTCGCATAGCCGCTGTAGCATGAGGAGAAAAGTTATATGCGCTTCAATAGATCTCGCGTAATGTCTAATAAATTTTCAGTCGTGTTTTCTAGGCAAGTTTATGTTTCGCTGGACACAGGTATGACTATTTCAAACTTCGCTTTTTCGTTTCCATGCTCGTTTAGGTCTGCGCCAGGTCAAAAAGATTGTAACTTTGGCTAGTTGTGCCAACGTTTTACTATAGCATTGATTTCCAACTGTTGGAACACACCATACATGTCTTTATATATAGCTCTTATATAGCCTTATATAGTTCCTATTAACAACAACACTCTCTACCCAGTACATAATCATATCCATACCTCATCCAAGTCAATGCTAGAATTCTTCAAAACCAGCGCAATATTTCAATATTGTGCAGTCCCTAACTCTGTTTCTATGTTATCATCACCAGATGACTGGCAATACACAACCATGAACCCGCCAGATCATGGACCAGCCAATCCAGTCCCTCACGGAAAACGATAAAACGCGCCCGAAATAGGAAGCAGGATCTGGCTTCTGGTAGAATTACACAACCAGACGCAAAATATCGACTCTACAAGCCTCTGGCAGCTGATATCCGTAGTCACGTGCATAATAAGCGGTCATAAGCGACTACAAGCGCGTCTAAGCGAGACAGACGTTGTCTTCGCTTATTGTCCACATTTCGGCCGAAAGATCATAGCAGGCCGGCTGGCCCAATGGCAAGGCGCTTGACTACGAATCAAGAGATTGCAGGTTCGATCCCTGCGTCGGTCACTTATTTTTTTGCAATTCTGTCCTTTTTTTGCCCTCATAAAGGCCAGAAACATGCTGCTGGGAGATGCAGAATTGTGCGAAGCAATTGGGGGGAGGAATATCTCGGAATGTTCTCTTTTTCTTGATTCCATCGTCCATACCGCAGTGCCAGAGAAGAAAACCAAGAATTCCACCAGGCGAATAAGAGTATGAAAAGAGAGACGAAATGCTCGCAGTCCCACGGAGATGGGAGTCGTGGGCAGCAGGTTACTTGAATGATAAAGCCTCACATATAAGGCGAAAGGGTGGTCACCAGGTGGTGATGGTATGCTCGCCTGAAACAAAACAATTAAGCTGCGAGATCTTATAGTATACATGCTGACTAGTCCTGGAAGGTAGTACAACGTAACTTGAACCGTCGATAGACTGCCTATCATTGTTACTAATTCTTGCTTCACCCTCTCCTAGGCACAGGTATGATATTATTGTCTACGCGAATAGTGAAAAATATAAGGAAAGTTTATATAGGAAAGGTTAGTAACGTGTTATTTAGATTATAATCGATTAGACTCTTCTACCACCGCATTTGAAGTTATTTTATTTTGTAATAGAAATATAGGCTTATTTCCATAGGAGCTAAATGAAAGTATAACACTAATTTTAAAGTAAGAAGATCCTATAAAACTAATCCTTAATTAGACAAGAAGAAGTAAATAACCACCTAAGCAAGGACAAGTGCTAACTAATACTTATAATCTATTGCATCCAGCACTAAATGAGCCGTAAGGGTCTATAGAAATCAATCTCGCGTGGCGTATATTAAGTGTTAGCAATTACCCGTCTATACGGAGAAGGTTATATCTACCTACTACTGCCACCTGTTAGCACATAGCTACATCATCCATACAAGGTTCACAGAAAGCCGCTACCCTGTTGACGGTAGCCTTTGTCTGCTAGATGGACATAGTTCTGAGTATATGATGCTAGAATTAAAAGAAACTCCTTCTTACTTCAGAGGGAGGAGAACGCTATAGCTACGTCATACACAACATATTGGAGAGTTACAGTGTATCCCGTGCGGTTTCAATCTGTCTAGATTTTTCTGAAATGCAGTTCACGATTCTATACTCCTAGACGTTTATACGCAGAATGGAGGATTAAGTGAGGCAAGTCCTGATATAACAAATGGCCTATTCTATTTCAGATTCCAATACTCTCTAGTCAGTAAGCCTGAGCGATCCTATTGATACCGCCTTTATAATACAAGTTGGCTTTACCCGTTCTTAAAGCTGGGTAGTTCAGCTAGTTCGAAGGATCCAGCGTAGTATGTGAATGTCATTCTTGAAATTACTGCGTGAAAAAGGGCAATCATGTATGTATGCTGAGTATCCCCATGTCATGACCAAATTCATTACATACTTTGCTGCGTTCAACCGGAATAGTGTATCTATGGCATTACAGATCTCTAATTTTGTCTCTCAGCAGATATCCTCATTCTTCTATAGAGTTATACGCGTTGCTAATTGTGCTCAGTGGGCGGTTTGAAACATCATCTGAAACATGGCAGCGGTCTTTATCATACGGGTAGTCAGTATTCGATTTGAAAGCCGGGAGATATTGTGAGTGCCCTGGGTGATCCCGTAACCCAACTTATACTCGCATATCCCCTTCATACACACCACCCTTGTCACTTCAAGTCGGCGTCAGCGTATTCATACGGAATAGTATGGGGAAATCCGTTCCTGGAAAACGAAGAGGACGCATTGGAGCAGGTTCGTCCATCAAGCGCCAATAGGGAATTGCTCTTCAGCCATAACGACTGCCAATCCTTCATTTCAAGGTTTTTCTAACGTCTTTGCATGTGAAGGAACCTAGGGCCTACCGGGCGGACATCTTGAATTCGGCGAGTCTTCCGAGGCCTGTGCGGCGCTAGAAGTGCTCGAGGAGACTGGGCTTGGGGTCCATGACCTGCGGTTCCCGGCCGTCGCGAACAGTATCATGCACGAAGAAGGCAAACACCATGCTGTAGAGGGGGGTCTGCCGCAACCACAGGTTAGTACTGTACTTGCCGCAGCAGCTGATTGGGTGTGTTTTACCATTAATGGCATTAGCTCCCTGAGCCCGAAAGCTGCACGTCATGGGAGTGGGTTTCGTGGGGTGAGCTGCAGTGTTTTAGCAAGGAGAAAATGAAGCCTGACAGGCCAGGATCTGAGGGAGGGGGCTGTTTTCGCCTCTTTTAGAATTATTTCAGCAGTGGCCAGACTTTCACCTGCAGCCGCGCTGTATTAGGCCATGTGATATTGTATATGGTGACGCCAATAAGGAGACAGTTTTATTCCCTATTGTAGAGGTTCTTTCAGTAATTTCCAACTGCGCCATCCGTGCTGAATGTTAAAATACCGCAGTAATGGGAATTATGAGTTATTCTTACTTAATCATTAGGAGACACTCCAGGGCTAGCACACTAAATCCCATATGCAAGGTATGAACAAGGTTCGCACTACCGAAGGAACCAATTGACATGGTTTGTTAAACCATCTAAGAACCATTTAAGAAGGTAACATGTTAAGTAGTTAACTGCCTAATTAGGAAGGTCTGAATTTCAGAGGCGGGGTATAGTTAGCACTTCCCCATATATAAGGCTGGTGCAGATCAGGAACCAAGCCGCATCATCGGAAATAATTCCTCCACATATGGGCACAATCCACTTTGTACATCTTTCGCTATTTTCCGAATCCACCTTTAATCCAAGTATCCACTTATGTCCTACCTGAGGGCCATATAGATAACCAACAGTCTTTCGCAGGTATAAAATAGTGGTGTGACAAGGCAGTGGGCGGTTAAGGGGCAGCTTGACATCCCACTTCCTAATTACAGGTGGAAAGGCGGCCGTTTCTAGCCTTAGAAGCGGTCATTTTCGTCAATTTCACATGTTATCGGGTTCTACTAGTAAATCAAACTGAAGGCGCTATAATGCATGTTGGTCTAGACACGGGTCGAGAGATTTACATCACTAAACATGTGTTCGCACCCATCGACCAGACAAGATAGGGATATCTAACAGTCAAAACGGCCCTTATCTCTGAGACATGCATGTACATCTTCCCTGCGAGTACTTCGTACGGAGTAACCTATATCGGGAAGCATGTCTGTCGTGTTGACGTGCATCAAGTCGCAAACCACCGTGCGAGCCGCACGGATGTAGACTTGGGCGTTTGAGTTTAGATTCACGTCTTGTGGCTTCATGTCATGTGTTCATTGGAGGATTCATGGTCAGTCGGCCCTGCAGGGAAGATGCAGAGAAGCAATAAAGAAAAGGGGGGGAAAACTCTCAGCTAGCCAATCAGACGTTGTTTAGACGTGCTGCTTGATCTGACTGCATTGCGTTGTTGACCCCTCGTTGATGCATCATGCCCATCGTGAGAGGGGCTGTGGCTGTCTGTTGACACTTGCGTGCTATGACTGAAGGTTTGCCAATGCATTACTGCGCCTCTGAGAACCGGGCAATATGCTCTCTCAGTATCATCATCCGAGACATGTTGATGTGATCGGCGTGCTCTAGAGAGATCTTCCTCTATACTCTGCAGGGTTGCTTCTTCCGAACCTGGAAAGATAACAATGGAAATGCATTTGCATGATGATCATGTTTATTCGACAGTGGGTCCAGCACTTCCCTAATCATGGTCGTAACTTATAACTACGCCTGGACCGGTGATCCCAACCCCAGCCGTTGGGGGGCGCATCGCCAAATCTCTGGGCATAGCTTGATTGGGCTATTCCGCCACGCCGAAGGTAAAAAAAGTTACGCAATAATAAACCTAAGCGATACAGCTCGCATATTGCAGCTTAATCAAGGGTCCCGATAACGAGTCAGGCCGAGGGCATCGGCTAGTTCGTTGCCAAAGGATGTGGGCCAGGGAGCTAGCCAACGGTCGATTACCCCAGAGTTCAACGAGCCAAGCCCAATCCAGTCTTCAGGATTATAGTATGTTATACTCCGTACGTATCTTTGTACTCTGTATATTAAGCGACTCGAACAGACCGCTTCTTTATCCGATGTTCCCGGGTTCAGCTAAAAAGAGCACTAATATCCGGATGGGTAGGTGCTAAATCCTCTCTGCATGAAAATTAATTGCATTCTGATAGAGTGGATCCTTCAGAGGCAGCGAAAAAAGATACCTCGGCTGATTTGGGGAATTTCCGCGGGCGACTGTTGGATATTCTTCCGCATTGCCCCTTAGCATTGCGCGATTAGCGAGTTTAGGATAAATTGGAACAACTTGCTAGGGTTGTATCCCGGGTTAATATTTTGATTAGTTAGGCCGAAGCTCAACGCTATTAGAAAATGTTAGAAAACTTGAGGTTGATGCTTAATTTCCGTGCGATCGGCGCTGTCAATATAAATGTGAATATCATATGAATAATTGTCGCTATCCACACTTCCTTTGCTTTAAAGATAAGATATAATTAAAATGGAGGATGAGGCGTAAGCCCCTCTGAGATCCAATAAAATGGAGAAGGAGACGAGAAAATACCATATCTCGAAGGGCCCCCCCTCAAGTATAAGAGCAAATAAGGCTAAATATCAACGACTAACTGATAGAGGGGGTCACTAGGGCATTAAACGGCATGATACCCGTTGTTAAGCGGGCCTAGAAAGTTACAAGGTCACATTGCTGCCATCTCCAATCCTGATAGCCATTTCCCTTTGAGACATTTGCACATGCTAACCAATGATTGTCTGAGAGATTGCTATTTGTCTGTTGTCCCTCTCCACTTGGATTCTGATCCTTCCCCATTTCCCCCCACTTAAGATCAATTTAACTTGGGGGGATTGGCCAAATCATAGTACAGGGTCTGTGGCTCTTGACTCTGGACCCTTGCCTAGATCCTTTTTAGGTCGGAATTCTCCGAGCAAGACAAAGACGCAAAAAAGTGGTTGTATTAGATAGGAAAAAAAGTGAAAGGACTCCGCGATATCTTCGGACTTCGGTGAAATCAGACAAACGAGTCAAGAATCAAACGAAAAAGGAAGTATCTAGTATAGATCGTGCCACTCAGCCCCCTCAAACCCCCTCTCCTACGGTTTTCGTCGGGGAATCGGCTCAGGGGGGTTAGTTAATACGACATTATCAACCCCTCTTGAAAGTATGCACCGACAATCGCTACCTTTCTAGAAGCCAACGGGAAGTTGTCGGATTGGCTGGATGCATATATTCGATTACCCCAGGTCCGCCCTGGTCCGCTATAATCCGCCATGAACAGGATATGTACCTGCGCGGACGCTTTCGATATCGTCAGTAATCGGTCTCTTGTCGCAATTGGCTCAATCTCCTCACCCAGCCTAGTGGTCCTAGTGACCCGCTATTATAAGGCTTGGATCTCCCTGATAGACATGAGATGATCTTCAGGTTTTTGAATTTGGGCCTTTGCTTAAGGGTCTCATTGTTGATCAGCCTTTTCTTCCTATTTTCCAACTTCTCATCCTTCCCGGTCGATCAGGCATAGACGATCCCCTAAACAGTACATACCTCCAGTACACTTACAGTAACCATTCAACCTCCGATACAATGACGAGAACTGGCCCTCCAATTAATCCTATCTCATGGGACACCAAGACTATTGTTCCAGATGATGGCAGCAGAATCGACTCGGTCGCTTGCCAGGATGCGAGGCCAAAAGGGCGTATCCGACGATCAATGACTGCTTGTCATACTTGTCGCAAGCTCAAGACTCGCTGTGATGTTGATCCCCGTGGTCATTCTTGTCGTCGCTGTTTGTCACTTAGGTTTGTTTGGCCCTTTTATTCATGTGGTTGACATATACCCGATTTTTGCTCTTTTTGGAGTCTCCCGTTTCTCTATATGCTGACTATTGTCATAAAAGGCTTGACTGCGAGCTTCCCGAGACAACAGAGCGGTTTCAGGACAATGCATCAACCTGGTCTGACGCCACCGCTATACCCTCGATCGAGGAACGGCTCGTCTCTCTCGAACGAGGAATGGGGGAGATGATACATCTGATGCGGCAGATAGTGAACCGCTCCCCCAGCATGCCCTGCAGCCCAACCTTCCAAACTAGAAACCACAGCATAGATGGAACATCTTCAAGTGATAGCATGCCCTCATCTTTCTATCCGCTCAAGCCAGCGCAGCTCATTCGGGACCTGCAAGCCGAATGCTTCGGGGAGAGAGATCACTTCTCCGATGCTGACATCCTCGGGGATATCGTCACCCAGGGAATCGTAGATTCCAAGCTTTCCGTGAAGCTGATTGAACTGTGTGTCTAATTGTGTGTCTGTCACTGGATTGCCCTGCTAATGGTCTCACCAGTTTTGTCGAACATTTCGGCCACTGGGTCTCAATAAATCACTCGTCCAGCATTCAACGGTCGAATACACTCCTTTTCAATACTGCATGTCTCCTGGCTTCGCGCTATATGCCTGGCCTACCACAACACACTGTCCGCGATATCTCACTCTATGTACAGCATGCCGTCGCGAAGGTGTTGTGGAAGCCCCCGCCCATGACAAGCGATATGCTGCAGGCGTTGACCTTGCTTTGTCTCTATTCTACTTCTATTCACAAAGAAGGACTGATGGACGACTGGTTGCTGAGCGGGATCTCGATCAACCATGCCCTCATCTCTTTTAACTTTCTCAATACCTTGCCAGGAGACAATTTAAATCCAGACGAACTCCTTGCTCAGTTGCGTTTGTGGAACACACTCTGTGCAACCCAACTACAGTATGTTCTGCCCAACAAATTCGTCAGGTATACGATCTAACACCAATCCAACAGCTCCGCCCTCGCAAACGGCCGCACTGTCAATATCCAACAACAATACATCAACCAATGTCCCCGCATCCTAGAGCATGCAGGCGCCACACCAGAAGACGGAAGAATCGTCGCAGAGATCCAACTATACCGCATCGCCCTCCGACTCCAACACAGCCAGAGCCGCCTCCAATTTGCAGAATCTGAATACGAAGAACTAGAGCGCTGGAGAATGGAGTGGGCACATCTCCTAAGTACATCAACCCTCCCCTATATGCTCACCCACTGCAATGCCAATCCAAATCTAACAGCCACACCCGCAGCCACCAACGGAGACTCAACTCTCAACCTAAACCTTTGGTTCTGCCAACTCCTCCTACACCGAACCGCCGCGCGCCTCCAACCAGACAGCGAGCGCCTCCTCCCAGAAATATGCGGCACCGCCCGCCTAATAATAACCCAATTCCTTCAGACGCGCTTCACGTCCGCACCCGCTCTAATCGACCACGTGTACTTCATCGTCGGCTACGCCGCACTTACGCTCTGCGACTACATGCTCACCGACCCATTAATCAACCAAGTGCGCGGCTTCCTACTGCACCTCGCGCCAGGCGGCGACAACCTCTCCTACCGGATCGCGTGTATTGTCGGCGAAGTACAGCGGCGGTACTCAGAGGCGAATGCTGTTGTGACTGCAGGGTCGCACTCGTCGTCGCCGGTTGCCGAGGTCAAGGGCGTGCAGATGTTCGGTCCGTCGCACCATCATCGTACCGGTATGGAGCTCTCGCAGCTGATGTCTAGCCCCGAGGGCTTGGATTCCCTTGTTGAGGGATATAATTGTCTTGAGCAGATGATGCCTGGGTATGCGGCCTCGCAGCCTGCGTTTGAGGCGCCGGATTTGTTTCACCATTCTCCTACGACTGGTGTTACTGGTGGGGCTATGCCTGTTGGTCTCGTGCCCAGGGCTTTGCATGATTGGTGATGAGGTTATCGGGTTGGTCTTTTGGTTCTAGATTATTGGAGTTGGTGCATGTTGGACTAATACCGAGGTTGGATTTTGGGATTTGGGTGTTGTGTTATGTTTCTTTTTCCTGGAGGATCGTAATAGCAAAAGTACAAATGAAAATTTGTCCTGACTTCTTCAACTGGCTTCTCTGTTTCGTGTTGTTACTCATCAAAGTAATATACCATATCTTACCTATAGCTGGATTCAAATTGTATATTACCTAGGTAGTTATCTGGCTTTCAATATGCATCATCGTCTCATATGGCTTAGATATTCCAATACTTCCTCAATTCAGCATTCAGCATGGACTCTCATCTCTACAACTAGACATCAAGCCAACAAAATACGTTAGTATTATGTATAAAGCTGATAAGTCATTAGAGAGGAGGTATATGGATAAAAAACCAACTCAGATGTAATAATATATACACTTTCCCCTTCCCAATAAAGCAATAGGAAGGAATGTCTATCTATAAGGGCCCCGAAAAGGTGAAGAGCAGTCTGGCCTCGATCAGCCCAACTACCAATACCTCGAACTCGAAGTCTACGATGAGCACAGAGTCGAGCCCTCGAGCAAAGACGTGGGGAGCAAGATCCTCGGCGCTCCAGCCGCCATAGGAACAGACACCTCCCCACTATCACCAACAGTAACACTGGCGCAGGAGACAACCTCAGTCAACTTCGCGCCAGCCTTGAATCCAGTATCAGGAATCGAAACCGAATACTCTTTACCCCCTGCACCGAGATTCGTCAGGACAGTGATTGTCTGTCCGCCTTCGAAGCCCTTCCGCATGGCGATGGTGCTCTCGTCTTTGTAGATTGGGTGGTTCTGTGCAGACTGAGTTAGTTCCTTTTCCGTTCTTCTCCTTCTTCTTTCGAGACACAGAGAGAGATGAGCGCATACCTGGTAAATAGTATAATTGGTACTCTTAGCAATCGCCTGGTTTCTGGCGCCATTGGCCTTGGCAATGAGCTTGTACAGCTCGCTGTCGGTGTTGTATCCGGATAACCACAGAGCCTCGCGATTAGCCGGGTCCTCGCCACCACTGTAGTGCTGCTCCTGTCCTGCATAGACAATAGGAATGCCATCCGCCATAATGGTGAATGTGGCTGCGTTCTTGGCGAGAGCAATGTCATCGGTGGCGCTGGATTCCCGAGGTCAGCTTCTAGACATACAGAACGGAATCATTCTCCGTTGCTTTCATGGAACTTCCACTTACTGGGCAAAACGCGGGTTATCGTGGTTTTCCAAGAAATTTCCAAGAAGGGTTGAGTCCTTGCAGGTCGATTTCACCGTGTTGATCATGTTGTATAGATCGGTCATGCTTCCCGAGGTCGATTGGAAGGCCTTGAGGAGTGGATAGTAACTATTTTCATGAGTTAGCTTTGGTTTCTCTGGTAGATTCCATGACAAGGGTCTCACATCGGGTAGTTGAGCACTCCGTCCATTACCTCCTGGTATGGACAGGTGTAATCTGGGTCGCCATCAAGGATCTCGCCTACGCAGTAGACGCCCGCGGCTTTGTTGTAGCCGGGCCAGAAATCTTTCTGGACATGTTTGACTGTGTCGATGCGAAGACCATCGACTATATATCGGTGAGTTTCTGGATGCGGCCATATTTTTGCTGAAGCAGGCGAGTTTGAAAGAAAAGAAAAGAAAAAATAAAAAAAGGAAGGAAGAAACTTACTGGAGTAGTTGGAGACCAAAGATCCAACCCAGTCATACCATATATCTTGCACCTCCTTGCTCTGTGTATTCAGGTCCGGTAGCGAGACCTTGTTATCGCCAAGCCAGCAGTTTTGCGACATGGTGTCGTCGTTGTAATCGGTGATTGGGCAGTAGGAGTGGAAATACTTTGCATCGTTGAAGGGGTTGAATTTGGTGTAGTCCACGTCAGCACCTGCGCCATTGTAGCCCTTTTTATCCAATATATGTCAGTCTCAGTCCAGATGATTGGTGGCGTGGGTGATTTGACTCACCATGTGGTTTGCTACGACATCGACCATGAGATACATGTTGCGTTTGTGCAAAGCCGCAGCGAGGGCCTTGAGATCGTCTGCGGTTCCATAGTTGGAATCGAGAGAATAGCTTAGAATTTGTCAGTAAGGATGCAAATTTTAAGGGATTTCTTTTTCGCTTTGCGATACTCACATATCCTGCTGCCAGTATCCGTGATAGGCATCTCCGTACGCGGTTTCCCCGCTCAATTGACCGGTCACCGGAGTAATCCAAATGGCTGTAAAGCCCATTCCTTGGATATAGTCCAGCTAAGATATCGGTTAGTTGGGTGATGTAGGAAGGATCAGAGTGTTACTGACCTTGTCAATGATTCCCTGCCAGGTTCCGCCACAGTATTTCTATCCAGTATACTTAGCTCTATCTCGACGACATAGAGCCTACGCATAGACAAAAGCTTACTCTGTCAGCGGTATCACAGGCAGCAGTAGTTGAACCATCCGTCCGGGCAAAACGATCCGTGAGCATGAAGTAGATGGACTGCGAGCGCCATTCCGCTGGGGTCGCAGCAATAGCAGTGCTAACCAGGCCGGCAAGCCAGGCAAGTCGAGCTAGAACCATTTTGTAGATACGATAGCTCAGTAACAAAAGAGAAGAAAGTCGTTTACCAGGACATCCCAAAAAAGCGCTACAGGGCCTTGATATATATACCCCGCAAAAAACCATACATACAACGACAGATGAAAAGAATATAGGAGACGAATAGCCGTTGAAATCGGACTCCGTGCAGGATTATGGCTTAAGCCAATAAATGCCAAAAGCCCAAATGAAGATCTTCACAGACAATCTGCGTAAATGGACAGTAATCCCTCTATCCCCGACCCCGGTCACAGCAACATACACAAAATTCGAAAAACAGAGAGAGGTCTACCTAGGTATGTATGGCCAAGAAATCCATAATTAATTCACAGATCACCCCCCCGAAAGGAAAATCCCACTATCATCTCACACCTGATTCGTTATATCTTGATTCTCCCCGCCCTGCCGGGAAAATGCAAAGTCACAAGGGTATATGCATGCATAACCTGGAAATTCCCAGGTGATTAGCCCAGATTACAACCTTGCAAGGCTACAGCATGTGCAAAATTAACCCTGTCGCAGCCCCTGACACGGGCTTTGGTCGAATCAGCGTGTGCGGGGCCTACCCCAAATTAATTTCCAGGGACGCGGGGATGAAGATATAAAATTACAACGGCTATTAACTCGTTTGAGACAATGTCGATCTTTTGGAAATTCCGGGCTCTGGCCGGGGACCAGTCGATGCTAACGGTCTTGGTAGATGCTGCTAGATGATTTAGGGTATATACTCCGATGTATGGGAAACTCTAGGCCTACTAGTGGGGGGTATGATGACGGATGAAACGCAAAGACAATTTATATTTGGGCTTCATAACTCGGGCCGACATAGGAGATTAAAATTCGTGGATCTTTGAATAGCCGATTTGGGAATACGGCCGAGGATGGACAAGAGGGGTAGTCGTACGATTGCTTCTTTACTCAGCTGAGGTGAGGTTATACGGAGTCGGCACTTTAGCAGTGGGTGGTATTTAGAGAGTAACCTGGAAATAGGACAATCGGGAGATATTACGAAGGAAATATATACTAATAAGAAGTCCAGCGTGATGTTAATGAATATAGATGAATTTCATGAATATAGACGAATTTGACTGCTATTGGAATAAACTATAGAGAAAACAGCAGATTTGCATTCCGAAAGAAGACTCAATTCCCAACCATCCCTCAATGCATTTCACAATTTACCACTTCAAAGTCCAGTCCGCACTAAAAGCACCCTTTCTGGTCAACTTCTGCAAACTGCCGACAGACAACACACGCGACGTAGCATTATACTGCAACCCAGAAGCCGGCACAGGTATACCGTTAAGATTAACAGCATCAGGCTGCTTAGACACACCAAGAACAGTAACAGTAGCGAGAGGATTCAACTCCTCCCAGCTACCCTTTGCCCTAGCACTCAAGCTGGACTCCTTGACACTGAAAGTAACATCAAGCGTATCATCAGGAGCATTACTCTCTCCATCATCGAGATACAGCTGCCCAGAGGCAGTTCCGCTGCCACCGAGCGCGACAAGCAAAGACCAAGGCGTACCGCGCGCCTCCTTTGTAGTCAAAGCCGGCTCCTGCATCGGCACGACGCTGCCTCCACGCACGAAAACGGGGATATGGCCAAGCGGGGCAGGAATGGTAGTGTTGGCACCAGGCTTCGCGTCCACGGCTGTCTGGGTGTACCAGTCATACCATACCTCGCCGTGCTTAAGGCCCGGGAAGACACCCTTGACAGAGGTGGCTTGGGGGGGCAAGCACCGGGACGACCATAATTGAGGGGCCGAGGAGGAACTGCGTGTCGACTGCGGCCAGGGAGGGATCTGTAGGGAATTCCCAGGCTAAGGCGCGCATGACGGTTGAGCCGGTTGTGTGGGCTTCGTGGAAGAGGGTGTAGAAGTAGGGGAGGATTGCGTAACGGATCTTCATGGCGGATTTGGTGGCGGCTGTAACGGATTCCCAGATGTAGGGCTCTTGGGAAATCGCGGAGAGGATGTTGTGGTTGCGGTAGAAGGGGAAGAAGGCCGATAATTGCATCCAGCGGTTGCAGAGTTCTTCGTCGGTGTTGCCGTTGAAGCCGCAGGTATCGACGCCGAACATAGGGATTCCGAAGAGGGAGAATGAGAGGGCTTGGGGAATGGAGAAAAACATATATGCCCACCTAGAGGCATTATCACCACCCCAGTGGCCAGCCCATTTACCGGAGCCTGCGAATGTTGAGCGGCCGATGATGAAGGGACGCTTCTTTTCATCGACCTTGAGCAGGGCATGGTAGGTGGCATTGAGGATTTGGTGTCCGAAGAGGTTGTGCACATCGTATTCTTGGACGCCATCGGAGTGAGTGGCATTAGGGGACACAGCATGTGAGCTGAGGTCGTGGCCGTCCTGATCATGGTTGATCACATATGGCGGGTAGTTGATGTTCCGTACTCCCGGAGTGGGTATAGTCCGCGGGTAAGAGGTGGACGAGGAGGTAGAACCGCCAGTTGTGGCGGTAGCAGCCTGGCTGGACGACGCCGCAGATGCAGACGCAGCCTCAGTCTTATTGCTGAGCTCAAACCCTTCGGGATAATCGTAAATAACGTTACCAGGCTCTCCGGGCAGGGCAAACGCAGGATGGGTCGGGTTCATGCTAAGGTTTCCAGATCCGCAGCTGCCAGTGCAGAAGGAAGAAACCTCGTTCATATCAATCCAGATGCCATCAATGGCGACTTTCTTGTGCCAGGTCACGATTTCGTTCGCCCAGAAATCACCTGTCTTAGGGTTGTGCCAGTCGGGGAAGACAGTGTAGCCGGGCCAGACAGCGCCAATGTATTCGCTTCCATCGGGATTCTTCAGGAAGACGTCATCTTGGTGTCCGCGAGTGTAGGTATCGTAGCTGGATATGAATCAGCGAGGTGTTCTGCAGCACAGGCCCAGGGGAACTTACGCATCAGAGGCATTCTTGGGGTTTGGAATGTAGATAGCCGCGTCTATAATTGGAACATAATGACGGCCAGTGCTGTGCAGCTTATCTAGGAACTTTTCACCCTCACTGTAGGGATAACGGTGTTGATCATTGTCGAAGTCGCGGTAGCCATGCATGTAATCAATGTCACTCCTAGTCAGGTTAGATTGGTTTCAACCATCCCGGTGAGACAATTTACCAGATAGTCTCAAGTGGGATCTCAAACTTCTCAAAGTTGGAGACAACTTCTTCAAGTTCAGTCCAGTTATTGTAACCCCAGCGGCACTGGTGGAAGCCGAAGGTAAAATACTGCTGCAATGCTGGTAAGCCAATGGTGCTCAGCTGGTAGTTCTTGGTTACATCCGCTTGGCTAGGACCCGAGTAGAAAGTGAGATCAATGCTACCTCCCAGGGTGCGCCACTTCAGGCCCTCAGGATTCATGACGACCTCCTGACCGTGGGCGTTTCTGGAGAAGACACCATGAGAGAAGGAAACATAGTCTTTAGACTGATCGGCCTTGTCACTTGCAACGACGGTGTGATGACCCTTGTCGTTAACGTCATAGTAGCGGGTGTCCAGATAGAAAGGATGGGAGCCGTATACATTGCTGGTGAAAGTAGTCAGGATCAAAAAAGCATTACAATGCAGGAGGGGGGAGCAGGTATTTGGGTATGAAACTTACTCATCGATAGGATCACCAATATCGGATGCATAGAGAGTCAAAGTGAGATTGTTCAAAAGGCGCAGCTGCTGGATGTGCTCTCCGATGCCATACAAGTTGTAATCCTTGGGCAGAGAGGTAACAAACTCAACAAACTGGTTTTCAAACACCAAGACGGAATCAGTCGTATCGAAAATGACATCACGGGTAGCCTTGCGGATCACCTTGAAATGGAAAGATGGCTCGTTCGACCAGGTGAACTCAAGATCACTATGTTGCTGTGAAGCCTGACGATCGGAAATGGATCGAGGAACGACGTGCTCATCCAACATGAACCAAGAATAGTTCGAAGAATCCAGATAAGTGGGGACGATTTGAACGCTGAGGCGGTCATTGGCGAGGTACTCAATGGAAAAGTCCAAGGAGTCTACGTCAGTGCCGTAGACATTGCACGGCTTTCCGGCCAGCGTCAGGGTAGCGGTCACCCCACGAGCAGACTCCTTGACGTTGGATGCCTTGTACCCGGGACAAACCGACTGCGCATCGACGGCTTCAGGGTCATCTATATTGGCGATCAGCTGTGCGCCAGCCTCAGCGCTAGCGGGAATGGTAAATTGAGTGTATTTTCCCGAAAAAGTTGGAGAAGCGGCAGAATGGGAGCCCGAGGCTGTAGAGGCGGATTTGGAGAAAGCACCATAGGCCAAGAGCCAAGCACCACTAAGAAGGTTCTTCACACCAACCATAATGACCACTTCCCTACTCCGTACAGATTAGCGTGTTGGCGATCAGGGGAGATTTTGTCTCAGATAATTATGGCTCGTTCTTATACGATCGCTGAGCGTAACCGGTCTGTTCTAGGGATTGCGGACGGGGACCAGTAAACCGATGGTATGCCGTACCCAGGATAGTTTCTGTTGATTCTCTGGTGTCACATACTCTGCTTGGTTGCTGCCTTTGCGGGGTTGGTTAGCTTCAGCCTAACGAGAGCTGGGCTGTGTAGAATGCAGAGAGGAGAGAGGTCCCTTACGTTGACCCGAAGTCCACTAATAGGTCTGTATAACCTACATGTACGATGTACACCAAAGAGGGGTATAGGTTCGTTTTAGACTACGTTCTTTAAGATCCAGATATCATAAAAGAGGTCCCGGAGCTACTAGAAGAGGCAAATTCCACTCCAGAATCCTATACAACAGTATTCATACTGAAGAACAAGTGGTAGAGTTTGAAATAGAGACTGTGATGAGAACAGGAACAAGTAGAGTATTCATGCGGATAATAATTAATCCGGTCTGTTCTATAATGCCGATCACAATAGATCAGGCCATTGCTGCTGATTGGCCAGTTGTCCGATAAATGCCCGTCTCCAATAATAGTACTATATTGATTACAGGGTACCTGATCCTGTAATCAATATACAGAATCCTGCTTAGATATTATAGTGGCGGATGATATTGCAATCCTCCATATGGCAAGCTGCAGTGAGTCCTTTCTCTCCGGTGGAGAACCTTATAACTACAGGATGCCCGGACGTTCAAAGGATTTTGGAGTAATTTTAGGACTTCGGGACTCTCGCAGGAACAGTATTCAACTGGTTGAAGAAGTTTAAATTCGAATTGGGCATTCAACTGCTCAACAGTCCCACCTCGACTAAACTGTACAAACCATACCATAGTGGAACTATGCGCTTCAAGCTCATGATATACAACACAGGAGCACCCATTTCGTACTTTCGGGAAGCCGAGAAGGATACGAGAATAGACCCATATCGGCACTGGTAGGATGCACGACCCTGTCGATCCAAATCTATACTCGTATGGCTATATGTAGACCAAGCTTGAAGAAATTGATTGGATCGGATATCAAATTGTGAAATGCGAAGCGGAGATGAATGCTCAGGGTAGCCTAGCAGTGCCCACTAAATACTAAAACGGTTGACCGGCAGGAAAATCCCGCATATTCGATTCTCGTGTCCCTGTCAATCAATATGGAGATGCCAAGCATAGCCGACTTGGTGCCGTAATGACCCCGTGGGTACGGAGTACTCCGTACTTGGCCAAGAGGGTCCTTTGCTTCCGGCCCGAGATTGAGATCCATGCAATATCAGCAGAAGATCATAAGGATATTTGGGGGGTACGGAGTAGTGACTGAATGAGTCAACTTTCATGGTGATCTTGGTGATCTAGGTGATGTCTTGTATCCTTTATAGTCCGAAGGCTGAGGGGTAACGTAGACAGCCAGAGAAGTCGGCCCGAGAGAAATGGCCCTAACCCAGAAGCGTCGTTAGAATAGCAATATCCATAAGGAAGCCAATGCGAATTAAGATCAGAATATGAAGCACACTGGGCAATTCTAACGCAGGGGCTCTGGCGGGGTTTTTTCCTTTTCCTCACCCCCCGCTTCCCCAGGTTTGTGTTTTTTTCTTTTATTAAAATGGGCCATGCCGAACTCCCCGGATGAAACCATCGCACTTTTTTTTTTATACCTTTCGACCTTAACATGAACTCAACTCCGCTGAGTCTAGTAAAGACCTGGCAATAATCCAACAATGTCGACCAAACAGTCCAAGCCAAAACAAGCATGCGACAATTGTCGCCGTCGCAAAATAAAATGTTCCCGTGAACTACCATGCGACAAATGTCAACGGCTACTTCTCTCCTGCTCGTACAGCGATGTCCTCCGTCGCAAGGGCCCCAAATTTCGCACTCTGTATCCCCTGGCCCCGATCCACCCGCTCTCATCCCGACAAGACCCTCCCGAGACTAAGTATCCCGAGGACGCCGGTACCGGCGAGATTCCGGACTACCAATTCAACTCGCCCATTTCGCCAGGGTTTATAATCGCAGACTCGCAATTCGCAGGCCAGGACTTCTCGGATACTTTTCCCCACTTGCCGCCCCCGGACCTCGTCTCCTCTCCCGGCTCCACGGACTCAACCGTCGAATCCGCCATTGGTTATGGTCATGGCTATGCGAGGCCGGTCGCCCGCCGTCTCTCGCCCCAGATTCTGCTTGTCCATGTCAATATCTACCTCAAGTACTTGTTCCCGATTATGCCGGTGGTCCGCGCGGACCAGCTCCGGTTGGATTGCCATCAGCCCGGGCAGCTGTCTGCGCAGCGGTATGCGCTTCTGGCAGCGCTGTGTGCGGCTACGCATATCCAGTTGAAGCTGGATGGGGCGACGCCTGTGCCGGATCCTGCGCGTTTGCAGAGTTTCGGGGATGAGCACTCGTTAATGTCTGGGGAAGAGCTTCTTTCGGAGGCCGTGCGGGCACGGCGGGATTGCGATGTTTTGGAAGAGCTTAACACGGAGTCGCTTTTGACTTCGTTCTTTTTGTTTGCCTCGTATGGAAATCTTGATCGCCAGGATCAAGCTTGGTTCTTCTTGTGCCAGGCGACCTCGTTTGCATTCACACTTGGGTTGCATCGCGAGTCGACGTATGCAGACTATGAGGCTGAAGAGGCGGAGGAAAGACGGCGTGTGTTCTGGCTTTTGTTTATCACAGAGAGGTGAGTCGGCCGATTTATGAAGGACCATGGTTTGGAATGGAGCTGATTTGTAAATTGGCAGAGGTTATGCTCTCCAGCAAGCGAAGCCGGTTATGTTGCGCAGCTCTATTCACAAGCCACAGGTCCTTTGCTCAGAAGATCCTATCCTGGCTTATGGATTCATCAACCTGATCAACATTTTTGAGAATCTCACACCGAACCTATATGATTGGATGTCCGCCGGGGGTGGAGATGGCATCTTGGAGAGACCGCCAACCTCCGCCATCCAATCCAGCCTATGCAAGGCTATTTCCCTAGAGGGAGTCCTTGAGATCCAGCAGGTTGATATCTTGATCACGCAACAGTGGCTGCAGACGATGATGTGGAAACTATCTATGAGCCATGCCACACAACCTGGTTCGCGTGATGACGCAGTTTTGCCATTCCACCTCCCCGTGATGGTGGGTAAATCCGTGATGAGCGTGATTGGTGCCGCATCACAGGGGGCTGTTGATGCGCATGGGATTGGAATGGTAGGTTAATCCGAGATTAAGTTGTTCGTTTGTATACTGATTTGGATGTTATAGGAACAAAAACTCTTTGATCTAGGAGCCTCTGTCGCCGATGTGACGAGATCTCTTGGACCAAAAGCCGTCCATAGATTGGCTGAGTCGATTATTGACCCGAACGAGTTGCTGTGGGGTATACTTCACACTCTGTCTCAGATTCGCGGCTCGCCCTCATACCTCTTCCCTACATTACTGGATCGTTGCAGAACCGTGCTTGGACTCGACTGCAACATCACAACGGGAAATTTCCTTCCTATACTCGGCGCTGCTGTGCCGGATCAGTTGGCTTCATGGTCTGGCCAGCATGACTGGGATTACGCTGCCAGTGCGCAGGATATTGATATCCATGACGTTGATGGACAAGCCGAGTCAGCTCCTCATCCGCATGTGCTGCAGGAACTGGGCTTCGAAGATTGTCTCTTGCGATGATGGGCACGACTGTATTGAATTTGTGATGCGGTTTTTATTTTTGTTTTTGTGATACCAAGTGGAGTTTTATAGATGGTTGTTTACGATATGGAAGAACAACAGAATTGTAGAACACGATCAATGACTCAATGCATCAAATCCATGGCCATTGTAGTTGATGTACCTCGTCGTCGAGAAGGAAGCTCATAACTCGTGAATGGCAGACAAATTGTCTTGGCATGTTTGTCTCACATAGAATCTCCAATCTGGTGATCAGCTTCATGCGACTTCCAAGGCTTCTCTTCTCAATTGCTCAGGATATTCTTCACTAGTATGCTCTCTATTGCTTTCAACGCCCCTTGTATGTCTACAATTAACACTTCCTCACAGATAATCCTCGGGTCTCTGCATCGACCAAAGCTCATTAGAGCACAAAAACCCGGAGCCAATTCTCCGTTGAAGCTCAAATCTCACCTATAACCAACACCATTACCTACACAATGGCCTCCCTCCGGTCCCGTGCCCTCCCTCTCTCAGTCCGAACCCTCCGCTCAGCCCTCAGCTCAACAAGACCCTCACCAAACCACTTCCTCTCCGCACCCGCATCACCCCAAACCCGCGCACACTCAACATCCTCCGTCTCCGCCGATGAACTCTCCCACTTCTCCGCTCTCGCCAGCTCCTGGTGGGACCCAATGGGCCATTCCCGAATCCTGCACCTAATGAACCCCCCTCCGTCACGAATTCATCGCCTCCTGCCTAGCAGAAGGAACCTCATCACCAAGCCAAAACCCAACCTCAACCTCAACCTCAACCTCAACCCCCTCCTCCGCAACCCTCAACTACCTCGACGTAGGCTGCGGGGGCGGCATCTTCGCCGAGTCCCTCGCACGCACAATCCCCCTCGACCCAACCGCCCCAGCCCCAACCCCAACCCTCGCCGCCTCAATGACCGCAATCGACCCCTCAACGGACCTAATCCAAATGGCGCGCGAGCACGCGCGCATGGATCCAACCGTCCACGAACACTTGCGCACCGGCCGCTTCAAGTACCTTAACACGACGCTGGAGGATGTACTTGCCGGCAACGCTGGCACTCCAACGCCCGCTTCAACTTCGACTGCGGCTTCGACCCAAAACCCCAGCTCTCCCTCGACCCAACCCGCTCCACAATACGACGTCGTAACCCTTTTCGAAGTACTCGAGCACATCGACCCGAAAACCTCAACACCGCTAAGCTTCCTGACAAACTGTCTGCGCGCGCTCAAGCCCGGCGGGTGGCTAATTGGATCTACTATTTCGCGGACGCTGCCGTCGTTCATCCTGAACCAGGTTATTGCCGAAGCGCCGTGGCCGATTGGTGTTGTGCCGCGTGGGACGCATGAGTGGAGTAAGTTTGTCAACCCTGGTGAGGTTAAGGGGTGGTTGCAGGAGGGGTTGATGAGGGCTGCTGATACGGGTGTTTCGAGGGGTGGGAGTGCGATTGCGGAGGGGATGAGGTGGAAGTGTGTGGGTGCTATTTATATTCCTGGGATTGGGTGGAAGATGGTGCCTGGGAGTGAGGATTGGGGGAATTATTTCTGGGCTGTTAGGAAGGAGATTTAGATGATTTTGCAGGAGGTGTGTATGTATCTAAACTTGCATTGCTTTGAGCTATTTGTATACTATTTGACTATTGTACTCCATTGCATATCGATATTTCATAACTTCATATTCATTAATTCATTTCTAATGTACGCAGTACACCTCGCTAAATGCATATAACCACCCAACCTATTAGAGACGCAGTAGAAGAATACCCGTGGACAACCCTAGACCATTCACTCCAATCCGAGCAAAAGTAAACACAAAATTTCCCTAACCCCAAACCAAACTACTTCTTCCCCTTCCCCTTCCTTTTCTTCTTCGAAGCAGACGACGGCTCAGGCACAGAAACAGTTCCTTGCTCAACATCCTCACCCTGCCCCTGCAACCTCTGCGTGCCACTGATAAAGAACGTCAAATCGCGATTCTGCTCAGCAAGATCCGCATTCGCAGCCTTAAGCCCGTCAACCTCTTTAGCAAGACCTTCCAACCTTAACATCATATTCCGATTCATAGCCTTTTCCTCCTGAAACCCCTTCTCAAACGAGCGCGCCAGGGCCTCGAATTTCTCTGCTTTTTTTCTCCGCGCGGGCGCGGTCATGTTCAAGTGACGGCAGCGTCTCAATCGTCATAACATCGTACTTGTCTTGTAATTCCTCGAGACGCGATGTGGCGCTGGAAGCGTTGACTTCCGCCACGGCGGCGGCAGCACTAGCCTGCGATGCTTTGTCGACGGCGCGCTCGACGACTTCTTCGAAGTACGCGCGCTGGCTTTCAAGCTGGCTGGTGAGGAGGTGTGTGTATTCGATGCTCATGTTTTCTAGTTTCTCGCGGGGGACGGCGTCGCCCCAGTCTGGTGGATCGAGGGCGCTGTAGTCTGCTGCGGGCAGCTCGAGGAGCTTGCCATCTGTTTTGTTTTGGATGATGCGGTGGACATAGGCGTCGCCTACGTAGTCCCATACACGCTGGGATGTGAGGTCCATAGAGAAGGCGTGGGCTGTTTCCTTCCAGTGGGCGAAGGCGTGGGCATTGTCGTAGCGGCCGCAGCCGATCGTGCCGCAGATTAGACAGGCCCAGAGGTTTTCTTCTGAGTGGCAGACGCTACATTCTTGAGGTTCTTCGTCTGGTTTGAGCGAGGCGTTGCTTTTGCGGTAGTCGTCTGGTGTGTATCGGCATACGGGGCAGCCGGTGCCTTTCCACTTTTGGAGACAGGTGCAGTGGAAGACATGTTGGCAGTTTATCGTCAGAAGCCCTGTGGTTTCATCCATCCGCTCTAGGCAGACGGGACAAGTTGGTAGTTCGATTAGAGCAGGTGTAGGTGGTGCAAGAGGTTTGCCGGTGAGAGTTGCTTGTCCAGTAGAGGATACCGGGGGCCGAGAGGGGGTTGAGAGGTTAGAGACAGCGCCATTCTCAGCAGATGGTGTTGCGGCATCCACGACTTGGATTTCGACCGTCTTCACAAAAACCACATGGCAGGTCTCGGGCTCGATGCTATTAAACACACGCCCATTCCATTCCTTCTGCCATTCCTTCGCCTTCCGCCCACTCCGGAACTTCATCAAAACCATGTACCGATTCGCACGTGCCGTCCTAATCATCCGGAAGTGACTAACATCGTCCATGGTCTTCTGTCCAATAAACCCCAAAAAGTCCGGCGGCGACAGATAAGACGGCACAGCGAGAATACATAGTGTCGTACAATCCTCATCAGGACACTGTGCAGTGGAAGAACTTGTCTCAGGAAAAGGATATTCCGCAAGACCCTTCGTCCCAGATTGTTTACCATCCGCTGCACCGGTCAGACCCTGCCTCAACGTAGCTTGCTGCTCACCGGGCTGGCGGGCGGCAGCTGAGGAGCCCTTCAGATAGGCGGGGTACTCATCGTCATTTCCGAGGTAGGGCGTCTCCTGCGAGTCGCGGTACAGGTGTACAATTCCCCAGATGCTGTCGGCAAGCTCGTAATCGAGTGGGATATACCGGCCTTTTGTATGGAGACCCCCTAGGATGTCAGTTCCAATGCCTGCGGTGACGAGGTTCTCTGGTTCTGTGGTGGGTGCGGAGCCGCGCTTCGAGGTGCGTTTGGGCGGATGCTTTGGGGTGACCATGTCAATGCACTCGATGGAGACGGCGCCGAAGCGCTTGTCGTCTTCAAGTGGGGTGGTGCTAGTTGAGGAGCCAGTAGAGCTGTTAGAGTCGTGAGAAGTGCTGGCGGAGTAAATGGTTCGCGGTGGGGTGCTTGCGGTGTGGGTGGAGAGGGTGGATATGGGTTTATTTCGATGCGCCAAAGTGTGGCCTGGGTTTTGTGGGGTCTGATTATCCCCTGCGGGTGATGGGCGGTTGGAGGGTGAAGGCCGGCTCCGTTGTTGGAATGGTTGGAGAGCTTCCCATGCGGATTGTAGCGCCAGAGAGGATCCCTGTGAGCTCGGCGCGTCAGATAGGCTGTGGGAAAGGAGTTGCAAGCTAAGGTGGTAGAAGTAAGCGGGCATGCCGGATGATGGCTCGCATCCTCTGGAGCTTGCGACTGGTGGTTGGAACTGTCGAAAGAGGAAGTCGTGTTATCACGATAAGGATGCATGATTACTTAATATTTTATTGTCGCCCGCTTCGACGCCTTCCGCCACAAGTAGTTCCTGGCACGCGAGAGTGGCAAAGAGGCAAAAATATCGAGATTCTGAGGCGCATTCTGGTTGGGAAGGTGAGGTGGCAAGAACTGGTGTGGTTGAACAAAATTGCCCAGATGAGCCACTTACATGGCCTCGGGGGACTTGCATGTGTCCAGTGCCCTGCTGTGATGTCGGAGGCTTAAAAGATGTTTGTGTTGATGACTTTTACCATACTACGTCAATTTCTGTCAATAGACACTACCCATCTACAACTACATTACAATGAAATGATATGCTAGGTAAAGACTAGCAAATATTGCTAGAGTGAATTGTAGAGAACTATCTATCACATATCCGTGATGATAATGTGGGCAAGTAAAAGAGAGAAGCCGTCCTCGGGAAACATTGCAAGAAAAGAAGCCTCAGCCTCGAAAACCGACCAAACGCCATGCAGGTCATGTAGAACCTATCGAAGTTGAGAAAACAGAATCGTAAATCAATTACTGGCCGCCACGCAGACGCAACACCAGGTGCAGGGTGCTCTCCTTCTGGATGTTGTAGTCCGAAAGAGTACGTCCGTCCTCCAGCTGCTTACCAGCGAAGATAAGACGCTGCTGGTCAGGGGGAATACCCTCCTTGTCCTGGATCTTGCTCTTAACGTTATCGATAGTGTCTGAGCTCTCGACCTCTAGCGTGATAGTCTTTCCGGTCAAAGTCTTGACAAAGATCTGCATACCACCACGAAGACGGAGGACAAGGTGGAGGGTGGATTCCTTCTGGATGTTGTAGTCGGAGAGTGTACGGCCATCTTCAAGCTGCTTGCCTGCGAAGATGAGACGCTGTTGATCGGGAGGAATGCCCTCCTTATCTTGGATCTTGGACTTCACATTATCGATAGTGTCGGATGACTCGACCTCAAGTGTAATAGTCTTGCCAGTGAGCGTCTTGACGAAAATCTGCATACCACCACGTAGACGGAGAACCAAGTGTAGAGTGGACTCTTTCTGGATGTTGTAGTCGGACAGAGTACGACCGTCCTCCAACTGCTTGCCGGCGAAAATAAGACGCTGCTGGTCGGGGGGAATGCCCTCCTTGTCCTGAATCTTGGACTTAACGTTGTCGATGGTGTCAGATGACTCAACCTCGAGAGTGATGGTCTTTCCGGTCAGGGTCTTGACGACTGTGGCAAATGTTAGTGAAAAGAAAATGAGGCTGTGAGAGAACAAATCACTTACAAATCTGCATACCGCCACGGAGGCGAAGAACCAGGTGGAGAGTAGACTCCTTCTGGATGTTATAGTCGGAAAGCGTGCGACCATCCTCGAGCTGCTTGCCGGCGAAGATCAAACGCTGTTGGTCAGGAGGGATACCCTCCTTGTCCTGGATCTTCGACTTGACGTTGTCGATGGTATCGCTGGACTCAACCTCAAGGGTGATGGTCTTGCCAGTGACTAGAGACAAAGGAATGTTAGCAAGGATGTTCATGGGCTGAAGTCTGCAAGAGAGGTCATCTCTCGGCGTTGAGGCCAGATAAGGGGATAAACGTACGAGTCTTGACAAAGATCTGCATGATGGGCTTTATTATTTGAGACGTTGATTTAAAAAGAAGGATGCTCAAGTGTGAAGCGAGCTGTGGAGAATGGTGGATTGAAAGAAGGGAGAAAGTGGAAGAGGGGAAACAGCGTCCTTATGTAGGAAACCTTGGAAGGATGAGGGGGCGAGGTGTCTTAGTCAGGCGCAGGTGACGCCGTGGTAAATGCCAGAAGATGCCGGATGAGTCAAATGGGGTGCCTGGGAACAGCCCATCACTTCATTTGACGCCACCTGGAAAACTCCGAAACTTATATATCATTGGATATGGTCCTACAAATAGACTATTATTAACATTATTAAGATTTCCATGATCTTCCACTGTTCTATATCTTTTCCTATATTTTCCTACCTAGGTATTCTCCTATATCAAGTCCCCTTTGTCCAAGTGATGACGTTATGTTGCTTATCGCCAAAAGAGGGGGTGGGACCTTAAAATGGAGACGCTAGTGACTAGAAAGTACAGGGTACGGGGCTGTACGCGGCAACTGCTGCGGTCTCCCGGGTACCCAGTACCCGCTTCCAAACTTAGTATCAAAGCCGGATCCGGGTTCACCGCTGTCTTTTCCTTTTTTTTATAGTTCAATAATCAATGAGAATAAAAAATAAGAATTCAAGTTATAGAGTTAAAAACTATCGAGATATAGAGCATAAAGCCCGGTATGAACAAAACGCTTTCGCAAATATCCCTCCCGACGCCGTTTTTCCCGGCAAGAAGATATGCGTCAACCACCACAAAGAATGCGACAGTTCAGGGATAAGACGGCCTGCACACCCTTTCTCAGGGCCCTGTTTTAACTTGAATTGTTGGCCTGTTCCGTGGTGGGT